GCGTTGATATTCTCTTTCACACGGTACGTACGTAGTCCAACCGCGCTCATCACATGGTGCGGGTGAAGGACAAACCAATTAAATACAACAAATAGCAGTCCGAAAGAAATTAGTTTGCCAATCGAGATGATTTAAAAGCGCAGTGCTCCAGTGGCCGACTAATATATCACGAGGAAGAGCGTTCCAGACGGCCGCATCTGAAAGGGCCGCACGATGCGGTGACCACCGTCTTTGCGGCATGGCTGAGCTTAAATCCGCTGCGGCGAAGATAAGCGGAGTTTGAAATGCGAAGATTCAATATACGAAGTTTCAGAATAACGAACTTTGGATTCATTACCATTATAGTAATGGTAAAAATGTAAGTAAAATAATACATAGATGCACGGAAATGTATAAATAAATTATACAATCATCCATCTACAGTATGTATGTTGAACTTCTTTCGCGCCGTACGTATTCAACGGTGCTAATCGGAAGGTGCAGCGGGAAAGGCAACAAACTAAACACAAAGAGGAGTCCTAAAGAAATGAGTTTATCAATCTAGATTATGTAAAAGTGCAGGTCTCCAGTGGACTTGTCATTGGCCTACAACACACAAGTCTGGACTAAGGGCTTGGTGTTGAAGCTCGCAAGGTCCATTCCCCTGCCTCTTAACAACATCGACTGACATGTGGGACGATGCTGAGCAAGAGGCGACTGCATGTCGATATGGGAGACACTCACTCCCGTTCCTCAACAATGGATTACCACAAGGTTCATCAGTCGTCACGCCAACGCTCTTCACTGTCTATACAAGCCACGGTGGTGAGATGTTAACTACCTCGCCGGGTATACAGGAGGTCGTGGGTTTCATCCCGAACCTGACTGATGCTGTATATTTGGAGTTTGCGTCTCTGTCTCTCTCCTCGCTGGTCGCGTGGATTTCACTCTGGCGCCTCCCTTTCCCCCTCCACATCTAAAATCAATCTCAGGAGTTAGAGGATTAATGGCTGCTATAAATATCCACATGATAAGCCAATTCTCGTTGGATTAACACGCAGACTTTCGCGACCAATATTATTCATAATCAACGTTGTTGGGTTTAGATCGCGTTATTTATAAATGTGTCGTAACCCTCCACCTCCCGACACGGCCAATCAGTAAAAAAGTGTCACGTTGACAAAAGACAAATAGTTCACTGCTTTAGCCGACCGGTGTGTTGAAGAGTGAATCCACAACATTTACAGTTTTTGAGTACGACGTTTCGCTGGCAATTGCATCCAGCATCATCGAGCCAATTCTTCAGAATTGTGAAGCCCTCACTTGCTCCCGGTCTTAAATAGAGCAGCAGCAGCAGCAGGGTGACGTCATCATTTAACTCATCAGGTGCGACGATTTCAGGCGGGGTGGGAGGGGGTATTGTAATTGTTTAATAGATTGGTAATCAGTCAATGGTTATGATTAGTAATGAGCTGTAACGTGTGTTTTTATAATTATATGCTACGTTAGTAATCAGTTAATTAGTATGTGTTTCCACTATAAGGAATTGTAATATGTATTATTTAATAATATACTTCCAGCTATCACTTGTGACGGCCAGGTCGCTTCTGTAAAAGAGCGACATTGCTCAGTGGCGGCCTTACCTGGTAAAATAAATAAGAACAACTTTAGAGTTAAATTTCGATTTAAAGCTTTCGTGACTGCAGCGATTCATCTTCTTGGTTCTTTCGGTAAGGTCACGTAAAAGGGAAATAATAAAGTAATAAAAATAAAACATAATAAAATACTTTAGAGTTGCCACCAACCGGGTCGATTTTGGCTGAACACGTGTCACGAATAAAAACTCAAATGCAGGGCCCAGGCCCCTGCTGATGCCTCCTGGATAGATAAATAAGTAATACGCATTATTATATTATTAATGCGAAGGGAAACGTCCAAATGTTGCAGAAAACTGTAAGCGTTGACCTACGCACACACAGGCAGTGAAATTACACAAGAATAAAATGGATTTGACACGTAGCAGGTTTTCGCAACCAATATTATCCACAAGAGTTTTTGTTGGGTTAAATCGCGTAAATATAAATACGTCGTTAAACCCGCCACCACCCGACACAGCCAATTAATAAAAGTTTACAAGATTTCTGTTTACGTGACAAACCTTACTAATTGGCTGTGTCGGGTGGTGGCGGGTTTAACGACACATATTTACGCGATCTAACAAAAATACCTGTATTAAAATGTTAAGATGTTCAAACACCAAATAGAAACCTTTTTCAAAAAGTTCCCATATTACGAGGACCTTTTTAATTTACTTTTAGAAAAAACTCTATTATGAATAAAATGGAGTTTTAAATTGGATAAAACTTAAAAAACAAAATCCCAAAACACACTATCAGAATGTGCGTAGTGACACAATCTGTCACACGCAATTTCCCCGCGTCGCCCCAAATGGACACTTGATCACTTTCTCACTTGATCGCTCACTAACTCACCTGCTCACTCACTCGCTCGCTGACTCACCTCACTTTCCTAGGTGAACAAGTGTAAAAAACCAATGTCCCAATGCTTCTGAAGCATGTGTCCGTCATCTTCCAGGGCGGCATCACCTTCATTTGTGCGTTTGACAGCAGCTCAGCTGAACGGGCGGGTGACACTCTGGGCCACTTGCCCAGACAAGAATGCCACGTCTAATCCAGAACGGGGTGAATCCGGTGCATGGTTCATACCGGCTCTGCCCATCTTATTATCGCCGATGGCTGCTTTTTCTATTGTCAGAAAATATTGGGTGGGTCACGATTGCGAGATATTAACGACCTCGCCCGGTATGCAGGAGGGCGTGGGTTTGATTCCGACTCTGACGCCTGCTGTTGTACATTTGGAGTTTGCGCGTCTCTCTCTCCGTGGTGAAGTGGATTTTTTTCCGGGTCCTCCGGTTTTTTTCTCTCCATATTTAGAAACACGCGTTCGGAGTGTTTGGCTCCTGTAAATGTTCACGTGACGATGAGCCAATTTGTTGGGCTATCATTTGTGATAGAAAAGTGGCTTCTGATTAAGAGCTACATAGAGCAGTGGGCCTGACCTGGTAAAACAAGAGGTTAGTTAGGTTGAGTGGGAGATGGCTTGGAAGTGAAGCCCTGGAGTTTGCTATAGAAGTGTGGGGGCTGGCTGCCGGGTGGCCTGGAGATGGGTGTGCAGCAACGGATTCTTGTATCCACCTGTGCGGAGCTTTGAAACGCAAGGCACTCTGAGTGGCGTACCCAGGTGGGAGGGGTCAGTTGATGATGACGCTGATGACGATGGTGATTATGATGATGACGAAGGTGATGGTATTTGTGGTGATGATAACGACGATGGAGGTGGTGATTCCGATAGGTAACTCGTGAAGCTCATTGACGAGTTCGTGTATTGATGGCGAAACCAACTCTGTGCAGCTGCCAATTCCGGCCTGCAGAAGTGGACATGACAGAGCTGCCTCGGAGATGCCTTCTTCTTCAAACTAAACACAAACTTTGTGTCTAATTTGTTATCCTACCCCCACATTTCTGATTAGCACGGTTGGCTACATATGGTGTGAAATAAGATGCACGCACATTCATACGGTCCACACACAGTCGAGGGACAGCACTTTCCCCCAGCCGCCCCACATCAAAGTAACGCTCGTCAGTCAACCCAACATTTTGGTTATTTCTAAATTTACTTTTTCGAATACACTCACCCGCCCCTAAAACAGGAATGTGGAATTTCCACCACTGGCTCCACAGGGCTTCGCGCGGGGGAAAGGCGCGGCGATAGCCTGAAGGCTCGGTAAAGTATTTGAGCGGAATCCAAATGACTTTGGACGTATTTATTTCCGGGGTTGTTGTGCCCCTGCTGCCACTGCTCCCCCCGGTCGTTTGGAGGTGAAGGTTTCAAGTCCCGTGGAAAGTTGAGGTCACTGGAGATCAGCGTAGCAATAAAACGGAACAATAAAATATCGGCACAATCTCTCTTCACGAGTGTTTGTCATTTGTGAGAAAAATAATATATTTTAGTTTAGAATGTGATATTTTAGTCGTTGCTCTGCATCTGCATCAGCGATACGAAAGAAGAAGTAGAAGAGAGAGAAGGGCCACGCTTTGATCAACGGGGGCAGTGTCTTGTTTGGCAAGGTAAATTGCCAAGAGCAACTCGGGTTGAAAAACAAACAGAACAGGCGTCTTATATTTCATTGCCGATGTAAAATACTAAACCCAGGAATAAAAATCCGGTTCATTACGGATCCCCATGGCGGCGTATTGCCGTAAACGCGCACGTGCATTCACGCCCCTGGTTTTGCAATCGTAATTCCTGGGAGCTGAGAGGCAGCCCTCTTACAAGGACGTAGAGAGATCGAGAGTGACACCGAGAGCCATGTGGTTACATCGAGAGCCGTCGAGTTACATACTCGTGATGATGACCAAAGTGAAGATGACGATGATGGCGATTATGACGACGACGATGGTGGCGATGATGATGATGACGACGATAATGATGATGTTGGTGGTGACGATAATGGCGATGATGAGCATCATGACGATGATGATGACGATGATGATGACGACGCTAATGATGATGATGGTGGTGGTGACGATATTGGCGATGATGAATGAGTGACTCCCGAGTTGCATACCTGGGTGGGGCGGTTGATGATAATGGTGATGACGGTGATGCTGATGATGCTGATGACAATAACGATGATGATGATGCTGATGAAGACGCTGATGACACGATGATGATGTTGAAGATGATTATGATGCTGATGATGCTGATGACAATAACGATGATGATGTTGATTATGATGTTGATTATGATGCTGATGAAGACGCTGATGACACTGACGATGATGTTATAATGTTGAAGATTATTATGATTATGGTGATTATTATGGTGATTATGATGACGTTGACGATGATAAGCGAGGATGATGATGGCGATGACGGTGATGATGACAGTGATGACGATGATGACGATGCTGAGCGAGAGTGCGACTCCGAGTGGCGTACCCGGGAGGCCGGTTGTCAGGCACGTCGCGGTCGAGGGGCAGCCGGTCGCTCAGGTAGGCGTTGTAGCCGTAGGCGAGGAAGCGCGCGCACGCAGCGCGCCTCTCGCGGGGGGCAGCTGCCCCCCCCACTCCTTGAAGAGCGGCAGCTCAGGCCGCGCCACAAACTCGTTCCCCTCGCACTCCTCCTCCTCCTGCTGCTGCTGCTGCTGCTCCTGTTGCGGGTCCCTGCCGCCCGGCCCCGCTGCCGCCTGAGGCGCATTCCTGGCGCTCTTCATCTCTTGACACGACACGAAGAAACGGGACGCAAGCAGAGAGCGAGACGTCCACTACCTCGCTTGGTATGCGGGAGGTCCGTGGCTCGATCCCGACCCTGACGATGCCTGCTGTTGTTTAATTGTATAAGCGAGGGGGGTGTTGTATATGTAAGCCTTTTTCCAAATTCATATTAAGAATAATTGGGCCAATATTTTTATTAAAAATAATAAAAATAAAATAAATATATATAAAACAGATACCCCCAAAACTCTCAACTCTACCCCTCACAAGCTGGAGGTCGTAAAATGCCATTAAACAACAAACTTCAGGGCAAAGAGGGGTTAGCGACTATCTGGAAATCTCCAGGCTGGCAGCTAACCACATGACATGACCTCCCCGGACGTTTTGAAGAGTGCACAAACAAATCTCCAGAGCACATAGCGGAGACAAACGGACGTTACAACTCGCATTTTTTTTAACGGTAAAATTTTGAAACTCAGCAAAAAGAACAAATCGACGTTATAGACTGCAGTCTATATTAGCGGCTTTATTATTACTTATTTTATTTCACCCTTATATAACTCATATATTATTTAGTATTGTATCTTTCTATCTATGTAACTTCACCAAATGAACTAAATACACGAGCCCCTGCCATCACGAAAAACTTAAGTCCAAACTAAAACTATTCCTCCAGCATCGAAATATAACTCAAAATAAAATACCAATCCCTGGAGACAGACTCATAACAAAGCTTGGCAAAACCCTCAAAATAATGACGTAACGAGGAGCATTACGAATATTGATTAAACATGAACCGAATAAACACGTTCCTTCGGAGTGGGCAGGTAGGAACTTGGTTGGACAGCGCATTCGTGCACGACAGCAAGACACATAATCCCTGGTGGGCAGTGTGGAAGCTGTTACTACCTGCATAAGTGGAGTGTATCGTGTCGTGTATAGTGTAGTGTGTAGGTTAAACGTTTAGTTTTATAAGGGCACAACGGGGTGACCCACCCAGCCCCACCCTCTCCACCCAGCCCCACCCTCACCCTCCCCACCCAGCCCCACCCTGCCCCACCCTCACCCTCCGCACCTGGCCCCACCCTCACCCTCCCCACCCAGCCTCACCCTCACCCTCCCCACCCAGCCCCACCCTCATCCTCCCCACCCAGCCCCACCCTCTCCACCCAGCCCCACCCTCACCCTCCCCACCCAGCCCCACCCTGCCCCACCCTCACCCTCTCCACCCAGCCCCACCCTCTCCCTCCCCACCCAGCCCCACCCTTACCCACCCCACCCAGCCCCACCCTCCCCACCCAGCCCCACCCTCACCCTCCCCACCCAGCCCCACCCCCACCCACTCACCCAGCCCCACCCTCACCCAGCCCCACCCTCACCCACTCAGCCAAAGATAATAATCTCTCGTAAGAGGGCACGTACACCGTCGCACACCATTGTTCCAAGACATTTCGTTCATTATATAATCTTGCCGATGAATCTATTGACGTATACTTTTGCATTTGGGGTATAATAATTAGCTTTTATTGCCTTTCGTATGAATATCGTTGCATGCCTGTTTTAAAGACTCTCCCTATCGCCGTCTATGCGCGTGTTACGCGGTGGAATTAATCATATGTGCGGTTGCCAAAGTGAAACAACGCAATCATTGATGGTTAAATGTACTGCTCACTGAGGGGAATTTCCCTGATGGTACCGTGGATAATTCCAAGCATGAGAGTTTGCATATTAGAGTGTCATGTTTTTGTTTAGAATTAAAATTGCTTAACACAGAAGTGTATGAGTGTTTCTTTCATGAGTTCATGCGTAACAATCTTATTTGTAAGAACTGTATCCTGCGTTGAGATTTGAATTTGGAGACCTGACATAAACACACAAAGATATAATTAATACATGTTTAAGCAAGAATAATTGCATTATCCCGATTGATGATATGACCCTGGGCAACGAAGCTAAGCCTAATTATCACAACTACCCACATGATTATGCGGATAATGACATAATTTAGCATAATTTTCGCTAATTACGCATTTTTTTTGTATCTTCAATTTTTCAAAACCTACATATACAACGGGGCGGGGGGGGGGGGGGGGCAATAACTCGAACCCCATGCAGAAGGAACAGATGGATATCGCTGCAGTGATACGTGCCGCTCTCCGAGTCGTCGCGGCCATGATCGTAGCAGGCGCTCAGAATCAACATCACGCGTTTACGAGTCGTATGGCTGCCACGTGACGATAATGATTGCCGCTTCGTTGAGCTCTTATTTGTGATGGCAGGTCGCTTCAGAAAAAGAGCTGCGTAGCTCAGTGGGGCATTACCTGGTAAAAAAAAAAAAACATGCTTTATAGTCGAGTTTAAACCCGGGTTCTCGAGTGTGGCGAGTTGATGGCTCCATCATGGTCGCACAGAGTGGCCCTCTACAGCTCTGGAGCCTGGGAGGAGCCTTCCACCACCCCCACCACCAGCAGCAGCATGACCGAGCCTTTGCTGTGCGTGGTTTTTTCGAATGTCAGACGAGCACAAAACTGGGCTCGTCTGACATTCGTCTTCTTTCTCAACACAATGACTCCGTACCAAGCTGCCTAGTTAACTGCCTCCCATCAACCCTTCCCACCCGACCTTTTCCACCGCCACACCCAAGCCGAGCCAAGCGGTTGCGTAATCAAGTTCAAGTTTAAATCTTGACTTAAAGCTTTCGTGACTGCAGGAATTCATACTCTTTGGGTCTCTCGGTAAAGTCACGCTGAGGCAGTCCGCCTGCTGTACTTTTTCACCCAAAGACGATTACTTGTGTTGCGATCGAAACGTCGTGATTTTAAAATTATTTTTCTATCTACGTGACTTTACTGAAAGAGCCAAAGAGTATAAGTTCAAGTTTGTTTTATTGAAGCCAGCTGAGAACTCACAAGAGATTCGGGATGAGTCATCTGTAATGAGCGAGTGGGTGGGTGGGTAGGTGAATTAATTAGCGAGTGGGTGGATGGGTGGTTGAGCGAGATGGTTGGTGGCTGAATGGATACGTGGCTGACTAAGTGATTGAGTGAGATGGTGGGTTCACGAATTATTGGGTGAATGTGTAGTAGAGGGATGTTGTTGTGGCCGCGGGGAGTTGTGGCTGAGGGAGTTGTGGCCATGGGATCTGTGGTCAAGGGAGTTGTGGTTGGGGAGAATTTGTGGCCATGGGAACTGTTGTGGCCGAAAGGAGTTGTGGTGGTCTCCATACCTTGCAGGATCTTCACCACCATCCTCTCGATGTCGTTCAACTGTTCCGTGTACGGTTCGCTCTCCAAACGCCTACGGATGTTGAACATCGAACCAGGAGCCTCCCCCCGGATGGACCTCGTGGAGGAGGAGTCCGAGGTGTCGTCCGAGTTCCTTTGGAGCCAGAAGAGGTTGACCAAGCAGGAGACGAGCAGCGCCACGCACAAGAGACTCGACCTCCGTGCCATCGCCATGGGAAGATCTGGAGCAGAAGCAGAATCAGAATCGTCATTTATCCTGAGGCAGTGACCCTGACACCTGCCGAAGATTTGGAGTTTGTGTCCACATTTAGAATCAACATAACGCGTTTAGAGTATTCAGGGGCTATTTTGAATTCCCACACGGTAAGCTACTATGTTGAACTATCATTTTCGATAGCCAGTTCGCTTCTGGAAGAGAGAACGCAAACTTCAAATACACCAGCAGGTGTCGGGTCGGGATGGACCCGCGGCATCCTGTATAGCAGGCGAGGGAGTTAACATCTCCTAGCCACCGTTGTGCGCCAATATAGTGCAGAAAGAAAGTTTGTGAACCCCCCTTTTAGGATTTTCACATTTTTAGATATTTCAAACCTAAAATGTTGCTAGATCTTAATATAAGTCCTAATTATAAAGATAACCTGATTAAACAAATTACACAAAAACATGATACTCTTTCAGCATCTATTTCTCTTCCATTGATTCTCCATGCCATAACCATGTGTGAAAAAACACTGTGAACGTTTACATTCAGTAACTGGTGACACCCCCTTGAGCAGCAATGACGCAACGAAGCGTTTCCTGTAACCATTGGTCAGTCTCTCACATCGGGTTTGAGGAATGTTGACTCATTCCTCCTGACATACCTCCTTCAACTCGGTGGCATTTGAGGGTTGCCTGCCATGGGGACAGCTCACTTCAGATCCTGCAGCAACATTCAGATGGGCTTTAGGTCCGAACTTTGACTCGGCCATTATAAAAAATGTTTAGGATCATTGTCTTGCTGCAAGACCCACTTTTGGTTCAGCTTCGGCTCATTCTCCGCTAGAATCTTCTAATACAATGCAGAATTCATGGTTGCGTCAATGATGCCAAGCCGTCCAGGTCCTGAGGCAGAAAAGCAACCGCAAACCACCACATTCCTCCCACCTATGCCTGACGGCTGGGATGAGTTTCTTCTGTTCGAAAGCAGTGTTTGGTTTTCGCCAAATATAACGTTTCTCATTGAGGCCAATACGTTTTGCATTTGACTCATCTGTCCAGAGAACATTGTTCCAGAAGTCTTGTGGATCATCTGTGCGCTCTTTGGCAAACTCCAGACGAGCAGCCAAGTGGTTTTCTCCTTGCTATCCTTCTATGAACTTCATTCTTGTTCAGTCTTTCTCTGAAAGATGAGTCATGTACACTCACATTCGCCAATGCGAGAGTGGCCTGCAGATCATTGGATTTTTCTCTGGGGTTCTTTGTGACTTCCTTGATGATTTTCCGGTGTGTTCTTGTGGAGATGTAGACGACCGCTCCCTGCGTAGAGTGACTGTGGTCTTGAACTTTCTATATTTGTCGAATCTCTGTCTGATTGTATTTGGTGGAGCTCCACATCCGTAGACATGGTTTTGTAACCCTTTCTGGACAGACGAGCATCAATAACTTTTTTCTGAGGTCCTCAGAGATTTCATTTGATCGTGGAATGACTTGTTTCCACACACCTCTATGGCGAAGACCAAACTCACAAAGTTTCTGATCTTTTTATCTGGCAGGGCCTCCCAAACTCACCCCTGAACGTCTACGTAATTTATTAAACACCCGATTCTAATTATTTCCCTTAATGAAGCTAATGAAACCAAGGGTTCACTTGTTTTTTAACATACCCCGAACCTTAATTAATAAGTGTTTGTTTGTTTTTTACGTAATTTTGGTTCAAAAGACATGGAATTGGTTAATATAAACCTTGTTAGATATTTAATAAAAGGTCGGTTATGATTCAAGAGGGCTATCGGATTAAAACTATGGAATCTCCATCACTATGATTGCGGTTCACACAAATCTTTTCTTGCACTGTATCTCTCAATATGCGTGTTACAATCGGCCGTGTTGATCCAGAGTCGTTGGGGTAAACACGCGTGGATGGAACTGGCTCTGGGACGTGATATCATTTATGGCGGCGTTGCTAGGTACACTTCCCCACTTGGTACCAGGCACTGTGGCAACAATGTGAGCTGCAAGGCAGGTGCAGACTAAACATATACAATGCAATGAGGCTCTTGCCGATTCGGCACGTATGCAAATACAGAATGTCCAATCAAATGCCAATTTATGAACATGAAATTCCCGTTTGGCTAGTTTGCATAAATACAGAATGAGACCACGCATCTCCCTGCTACTCACACGTCCGGCCGTCCACTCATCAACCGATCCGCTCCCACACCAACCCATCCACTCACCCATCCGCCCGCGCTGATAATCATTACACAACCAGATAATCATTTGACCGTGAGCGAACTCGGGTTCACCATGATTCGCAGGGCAGCGCGCTAACCACCTCGTCACCACCCCCCCACCCACTTTCCCACCCACCCCTCCACCTTCCCACCCCCCACCCCCCCACCCACTTTTCCACCCCCCCACCCACTTTCCCACCCCCCCACCCACCCACCCACTTTACCACCCCTCCACCCCCCCACCCACTTTCCCACCCCCCCCACCCACTTTCCCACCCCCCCACCCACTTTCCCACCCCCCCACCCACTTTCCCACCCACCCACCCACTTTCCCACCCACCCACTTTACCACCCCCCCACCCACTTTCCCACCCCCCACCCACTTTCCCACCCCCCCACCCCCCCCACCCACTTTTCCACCCCCCACCCACTTTCCCACCCCCCCACCCACTTTCCCACCCCCCCCACCCACCCACTTTCCCACCCACCCCTCCACCTTCCCACCCCCCACCCCCCCACCCACTTTTCCACCCCCCCACCCACTTTCCCACCCCCCCACCCACCCACCCACTTTACCACCCCTCCACCCCCCCACCCACTTTCCCACCCCCCCACCCACTTTCCCACCCCCCACCCACTTTCCCACCCCCCACCCCCCCACCCACTTTTCCACCCCCCACCCACTTTCCCACCCACCCCTCCACCTTCCCACCTCCCACCCACTTTCCCACCCCCCCCACCCACTTTCCCACCCCCCCACCCACTTTCCCACCCCCCCACCCACCCACTTTACCACCCCCCCCACCCACTTTCCCACCCCCCCCACCCACCCACTTTACCCCCCCCCCCCACCCACTTTCCCACCCCCCCACCCACCCACTTTACCACCCCCCCCACCCACTTCCCCCCCCCCCCACCCACCCACTTTTCCACCCCCCACCCACTTTCCCCCCCCCCACCCACTTTCCCCCCCCGCCTGTACCGTGCGAGGTTGACGACCTGGCTAGAGGAGTCCGTGTGACCGCGACTTAAGCGCGCACGGGTAGAACGCCGAGTTCCATTTGGACGAAAGTTCATTTACGTGGCAATAGTTTGGTAGTAAACTCCACCTTGGGGCTTCACAGTCCAGTGGCGATCTGAGCCGATGCCAAGCCTGAATATAAAGAAACCCCGTAAAGAAAGAAGAAGACGGAATGAATCCGATGTCACGTGGCGGTGACCACAGGAGGAGGAGGACGCCGGCTCGAAGCCAGGAACCGCGATGGGGTCGACTTTGTTTAAATTAAGGAATCGGTAAGCGAGGAAGACCTTCACGGAGACGATCAGAATATTTAATTACGCTGGTGGAATCCGATGAGCCATCAAGCTCTTTTTCACAGATGTCCAGTCGGGGCAGGGTAAGGGCGTTCCACAACACTACAGAAAGATAAACGCATCGCCAACACATCTACGAATATAACTAAACCACCGCCATCCTAGCGAGCAAAGCTCACCGAGGTATTAACTTCTTTTTTTTAGAAATGAAAGCTCAAAGTGACGACGCCGACGACATTAAGACATTGGTGCTATACAATATGCGGCCTCGACCTGGGAGCACATTGGCACCACAAGACAGGAAAGTGGAAAGAAATCGCCAATTGTGCTGTGGATCGTCGTGATGATTATGATACACTATACACTACACCATTATACACTACGTTATACACTACACCAATATACACTACGTTATACACTACACCATTATACACTACACTATACACTACACCAATATACACTACGTTATACACTACACCATTATACACTACGTTATACACTACACCATTATACACTACGTTATACACTACAACACACTACAATACACGACACTACTATACACTACACCATTATACACTACGTTATACACTACACCATTATACACTACGTTATACACTACAACACACTACAATATACACCACTATTATACACTACAACACACTACAATATACACCACTATTATACACGACGTTATTTACTACACACTACACTATACACGACACTACTATACACACCACTATTATACACTATACACTTCACACGACTCTACTATACAGCACACGACTACGATGTGCGCTACTTGAGTACATTGACACCACACGTAACAGAGTAAAGTGTAAACAAATTACGCGAGTGCAGTGGACGACACGCCCTCGTGGCTATCTGCTCATGGATGATGATGATGATGACGAGTCTGCTGTGTCCATTATAATAATTGGCACGGATATCCCGCAGGTCTCAGCGAGAACTTCGCGCGCGATTCTCACCGCACAAAGTCGGGCGCGCCGACGACTGCAGAGTGGCCGCCTGCGAGCGGTGGCGCAGCGGTTGGCACACTCCGGCTCCGCGTAGAAATCCGCGGCGGTTGGCACACTCCGGCTCCGCGTAGAAATCCGCGGCAGCCACCCCTCGGCGTGGATTTCCCAGCCCCACGGGGCCCGGCGGACCTCAGCAACGGCAGCAGCCCAGAGGCACGGCCACCACAATTCCCCGTTCACTCGCCCAGCCGCACTGACCAGCGTGGTGAAGTATGGTCAAACAACGCCGCACGGCCGAACACCTTCACCCAGGAGGAGTCTCGCTATGCCGTATATTGGACTACATGCGAGTGTGTGTCTATGTGTATATGGGTGCGTATGTATATTTGTGTGTGTGTCTGTGTATATTGGGGCCTCCCCTAGGTCGACTCAGCCTCGAATGAGTACCTGGTGCAGTGGTGTGTAGAACTCGCCACTAGGGATACAAAGGCGGCCGGGCGTGGGGCTGACCACCCACCCCCTTGTGTGCTGCTACTCGCTACTAACAGCGCTTCTCCCGATAGTCTGTTGAACGCAATACGGGGGGGATATTTGGCTTTTGCGTGCGTGGGTGGGTAGGTGAGGATGCGGGCGAGTGGGTGGGTGAGTAAGTGAGCGAGTGAGTGGCAGGTTGGGTGAGCAAGTGAGCGAATGGGTGGGTGGCTGGGTGAGTAAACGAGTGGGTGGGTGAGCGAGCGAGTGGCTGGGTGAGTAAGCGAGTGGGTGGGTGAGTAAGCGAGCGAGTGGCTGTGTGAGCCACCACGGAATTTATTTCCTTCAATCGCCACCTGCGACACCGAAGCGGACCCCACCTATCCCGCGCGTGTCGCTCTGGAACACTCGAGGCAGATTCCACTTCACTCACCTGCAACATTCAGCCAGGTAACGTTCATTACCGGCTTGAGATGTTGGTCATTGTTGTCGCGTGCCGATTATGGCGCAGGTAAGTCGATTCTAGTCTGTTTGTAATCTCGCCACCTTATATTTATACACGCGCGACACGTTTCCAGATGCCCCACTCATTGCTGATTTTTTGCCGCTCGCATTACCCCCACCACCCCCGTGCCTCTCTCTATCTCTCGGAGCAAGCGAGTAGATTATTTTTGTTCTCTTAAAAATTGTGATTTTGCTCGAGTATCTTGCCGTTTAGAAGTTATGGTCTTCACAAAAAAAACGAGATGTTAACGAGAGAGACGTGGAGAGAGAAGGAGACTTTGAAACGAAACTTTTATTCTCTTGCCTCGGGGAATTATGTTTGTCGCTCGTGCAGTAATTACGCGGGGTATCTACAAATGGATCAGCCTGCATCGAATCCCATCCAATCCACCCCCTGTATTTTGAATAATAAGTTCAAATTGCGTCTTATTATCCGATCGTTGTGTGTATGTCCAGATTTGTGTAACTTTGACTGCGTCTCATAATCCGGTGTCGGTGTGAATCGATTTGCATCGTCACCACCGTGTGCCTATACGTCGCGAGCATACGCCGGTAAAAGAAACTTGGCATCTTGTACATTAATACGGCTAAACAATCCGACGTTTATACAAAGCGAATGACCGAACATATTCTTATATTTTGAGTTGGCAACTGTGAGAATTTTTTGAGGTTATAAATGTTCCGTATGAGAGAGCGAGAACATTTTGGCGTTAACTTTACATTCATAAGATAAGGGCAAAGATCCCCCGATAGCCTTAACAGACTGTCGGGGCAAGTGCTGTTAGCGAGTAGGACCCACCTATGAAGGCCGGCACTGTGGCACACGAGGGGGTGGGTGGCCAGCGCCACGCCCGGCCGCCTTTGTCTCCCCAGTAACGATGTTTACACACCACACAGGTACTTATTTGAGGCTGAGTCGACCTAGGGGAGACCCATGACCGGTTCAGATAATCGGCAATGGTGTTGGCCGTGAGCGGGAATCGAATTCTCTGCACGCTTAGAGCCACACACACACACATCATGCACTACACTTGCATAACCCCACATTCATCTCCCTCCGGTAAGTGCTGTGCACTTTGTTTTTAATCACAATGCAACCTAACACGATTGCGGTAGGTTCCATTGTGTTCCTGGGTGTGTAATTATACATCGTGTGAGCTTGGACTCGGCTTCATGTCATTTGTATATTGTTACCTTTGCCAAATATTACCCAACAGGTCATAACCAACGTCGAGTTTTACGTTGATGGAACTGGAATAAATAATGAAGAATACGTCCAAGCCGACAGGATGGATGACGATGGCATTATCGAAATGTAATTCGATCAAAGGCTGCTCGAATGTGTGGTTCCTATTCAATTTCTGCAATTCAGTAGTTTTTTTGCAAACTTGCAAATGTATTATAATGAAAATATAACCTGCATCAATCTCTCCACCGTATGACCCCACCAACCTCAATTATTTGCGTGCCAATTTGAAGCGATAGGAAGTGCAAATAATGAAGATTCGTCGATGCCGAGGTATTTCAAAAATACTCACAAATCAAGGAGCTTGCAATCTTTCTCCTTAATATCTTCCCCGACCTCTGAGCGTCAACTCTACGTGTCGCGTACGCTAGCCGCAGAGAGGCGTTTCCGTGATTTACACGAATCTTGCGAGAAGCGACAACCGGCGTGGACATAAAAACCCAACTTCCTCGCGACAATAAAGATGACCACAGCAAAAATGGTGGGGGTGGTGGTGGTGTGGTGGTGTGGGGTGTGGTGGTGGTGGTAGCGTGGGGTGGGTGGGTGGTGGTAGTGTGGGGGTGGGTGGTGGTAGTGTGGGGTGTGGGGTGGGTGGCGCGTGGTGTGGGGTGGGTGGTGCGTGGGGTGTGGGGTGGGTGGTGCGTGGGGTGGGTGTTGGTGGTAGCGTGGGGTGGGTGGTGGTAGCGTGGGGTGGGTGTTGGTGGTAGCGTGGGGTGGGTGGGTGGGTGATAGTAGCGATATCGGCAAGGCTAACGAGGCTAACAGGTCTCAGAGGCACTTTGAGGTGCGAGGGGATCGCGACCCGAACGTGGCCGTGAAGGCGACTTCTCCAAGGACATGGCGCAGCGATGATGTCCTCGCTGGTTCACGTCCCTCCTCCTCCTCGTCGAGCGAGACGATTGTGTTTGTCAGCGAGTGGCCGCCACCCGCCACGACTAATCACGTTTTTAATTCGACCAATTATTTATTTAATTCGACTAATTATGATAAAAGCGCAGCGCTTGCGAAGTCGTCCCTGCTTCACGCCACTCCCGTCGAGAAGGGCTCGTTGTGTTTACTTGGTTTGGCTGACCCCCCCCCCCCCCGTACTCTCGCACCCCCGACTCGCACGGCTTGGCTACGTAGGGTGTGAAAAAAGTTCAACATCCACACAGACAAAGAGACGCACGCAATCTCGCGGCTTAATTCGGTACAAGCGCAGCACCTGCAACGGCTCCCGATGATAGAATTACATTTCAAGAATCTCGTTGTCATCCACTCCGCCGGCTTGGACGCGTTCTGAATTATTTATGCTCGATCCGTGGACTTGCAACTCGACGTTGGTGATAACCTGTCGGGAAACATTTGACAAAGTCAACAAGCTTTGAAGCCAAGTAGAGGTTCACGCAATTTATAATCATTACACATTTAGAAATACACATTTAGAAATACATGATGCAACTTAGCTCGATCGCGAATGATGCGAATGCGGTGTTATGTGAGTATTGTGTATATTGTGTGTGTGTGAGAGTATTGTGTGTTGTGTGAGTATTGTGTATAATGTGTGTGTGGGAGTATTGTGTATAATGTGTGTGTGTGAGTATTATGTATAATGTGTGTGCTGTGTGAGTATTGTGTATGATGTGTGTGTGTTGTGTGAGTATTGTGTGTGTTGTGTGTGTGTTGTGTGAGTATTGTGTATGATGTGTGTGAGTATTGTGTATGGTGTGTGTGTGTATTGTGTATGGTGTGTGTGTGTATTGTGTATGGTGTGTGTGTGTATTGTGTATGGTGTGTGTGTGTATTGTGTATGGTGTGTGTGTGAGTATTGTGTATTGTGTGTGAGTATTGTGTATTGTGTGTGTGTATTGTGTATTGTGTGAGTATTGTGTATTGTGTGAGTATTGTGTATTGTGTGTGTGTATTGTGTATTGTGTGAGTATTGTGTATGTGTGTGAGTATTATGTATGTGTGTGAGTATTATGTATGATGTGTGTTGTGTGAGTATTGTGATGTGTGTGAGTATTGTGATGTGTGTGTGTATTGTGTATGATGTGTTGTGTGAGTATTGTGTATGATGTGTTGTGTGAGTATTGTGTATGGTGTGTGTGTGAGTATTGTGTATGGTGTGTGTGTATTGTGTATGGTGTGTGTATGATGTGTGTGTGGGGCTCTGTGTGTATATACAATGAATGCTGTGGGAGGGGTGAGCGCTACGCTGCGCTCCAAACCCGGCGAGCCAATTTCGAATCCTGCTCTCACGGCCAGCGCCAGTGGCGATGATCTGAACCGGTCCTGGGTCTGGAACGCTTTTTCGTTCCCATATCAGTAAGCCACTGGGAGCTCTGCGCTTTTAAGTCATCACCGAGATTAAAAAACTTGTTTAAAAAAAACCTGCTTTTTGTGTTTTAGTTTGTTGTCCTTCCCTCGCATCTCCGAAGTTCAACGTGGGAAAACCCATGGTGGTGTGGGGTGGGTGGGGTGGGTGGGGTGGGTTGTGCACCCTGCTGCTGCTGCTGGGTGGGACGAACGCGGGGATTCGGGAAACGTGACCCCCCTCCCTCCCCTCCATCCCCTCCATCCCCTCCTCTCCTCCCTCCCCTCCATCCCCTCCTCCCTCCCCTCCCTCTCCTCCCTCCCCTCCATCCCCTCCCCTTCCCTCCCTCCCCTCCATCCCCTCCCTTTCCCCTCCCTCCCCTCCCTCCCCTCCTCCCTCCCCACCCCTCCCCTCCCCTCCCCCTCCCTCCCATCCCTCCCTCCCTCCCTCCCCTCCCATCTCTCCCCTCCCTCCCTCCCTCCCTCCCCTCCCTCCCCTCCCTCCCCTCACTCCCTCCCCTTCCCTTCCCTCCCCCTCCCCTCCATCCCCTCCTCCCCCCCCTCCTCCCTCCCCTCCCCTCCCTCCCCCTCCTCATTGCCGCTCGCCTGCGCGACAAGCGTCGTGGTTGCCACCTCGGCCGCCGTGGAAGAGGAGGCCAAAGACACCAATTGGCAAGGATCTCTCCGTGTGTTGCTCTCGAACTCCCCTCTAGTCGAGAGAGCCCCTTGGGCCAGCGTCGTCGTTAGAATGAGAAGGTTTATTGTATAGACTGCAGCAGCAGCAGCAGCAGCAGGAGGAATCCGATGAGCTATGAAGCTCTTTTACACAGATGTCCAGGAGTTGATGATGGTGTTGATGTCCAGTAGAGGCACGGGGGTCAGAACGCGAAAACAACAACAGTAGGAATAGATTACAGGACTTCACCATTACCCCCATAACCAGGAGCGTAACGAGGGCAACAGGGGGTAACGGGGGTAACGGGGCTAACGGGGGTAACGGGGGTAACTGGGTAACGGGGGTAACGAGCGTGGGGACGTGGGAGGGGGGGCCACGCCGCCTTCACCCCCCGCTGGTGGCCACAGCTACGAGTCGGGGCACCCTTCCAGCCTCGTGATGAGATTTGTCTTCAAAAACAGTGCAACAAGAATCGGTTAAAAACGCGGGTTCACACTTTTTTTGTGCATGAGGATGTATTTAATTCACGTTCCACGTTTTTTAATGAAATTAAATAATTGATTAATTAAAATGTTTAACGGATCAATATTGCAGAGACGCCACCACTGCGGAGCTGTAAGTGGCTGTCAGTAGCCGGAGCGGCCCCCCACAGCGTGAAATGTTCGAGACCGTGAGGGCATCACGACGATGTGGATTGGGGGCGAGGAAGTAGCAGCCGTGGTGTGTGTGTGTGTACCGTCATAGCCTCCAGGTTGCGTGACTGTGCGAGAGGCAAATCAAATATTGGGCCAATATCCGAGCCGCACCACCCCCCCCTGCGCTGATAATAACGTGGAGCTGCTAGGCTAACATGTCCCCTGAACTGATAATGTAGCTATTAAGCCCACACGCCCCCTTAACTGCTCTTGGCTTGCTCAATGTCATCTCCGCACGTGAGAGAGATACGTGTAGACAGCGCAGTGGCTTTTAATAGAGCTAAAACAATAAAAACTCGACCCAAACCTTGGACGTGTTTCGAGGTCATTGGACCGCGGGTTTCCGATCGTAACCTGTGTGTCAGGGTGTGTGTCAGTGTGTATGTCTGTGGATGTGTGTCAGGGTGTGTGTCGGTGTGTGTGTGTCGACTCAGCCTTAAATGAGTACCTGGTGCGGTGTGTAAACATCGCCACTGGGGAGACAAAGGCGGTCGGGCGTGGTGCTGGCCACTCACCCCCTTGTGTACCGTTCCGGCCTTCATAGGTGCTCGCTAACAGCACTTGCCCCTACAGTATGTTAAGGCTATACGGGGGATCTTTGTCTTTGTCAGGGTGTGTGTCTGTGGATGTGTGTGTGTGTGATAGTGTAGCGGTTAGCGCGCTGCGCTAGGAACCTGGCGACCCGAGTTCGATTCCCGCTCACGGCCAACACCGGTGACGATTATCTGAACCGGTACTGGACCTCCCCTAGGTCGACTCAGCCTCAAAATGAGTACCTGGTGCGATGCGTAAACATCGCCGCGAGGGAGACAAAGGCGGCCGGGCGTGGTGTTGGCCACCCACCCCCTCGCGTGCCGTGCCGGCCTTTATTGGTGCTCGCTAACAATACTTGCCCCAACAGTCTGTTAAAGCTCCACGGGGTATCTTTGTATTACTCATCACCTCCCGAGACAAGTTCTTGGGCAACACTTGGGGTGGGACCCTCGGGAAACCAGCCAGAGAGATGCTCCCAGGGGCACAACTGCGGCGGGGGGGGGGGCTATGTGAGATCCGACTGTGGGCCGCCTTCTTTCTCCCGACTCGCCTTTACCGAAATAGCTATGGATGTGTTTTTAACGCCGTATATAAAATATCACATAGGCTTTTTATTTTTCGATTTAAAGCTTTCGTGACTGCAGGGATTGGTATGCTTGGTTCTTTCGGTAAAGTCACGTAGAAGGGAAATAATAAAATAAAATAAACAATAACATTCTCACGACGTTTCGACTGCAACACAAGCAATCGTCATCAGGTGTGAAAACCACAGCAAGAACATTTGAAAAAAGTGGCGGTTTTTGCTTAACGAGCGCAACCGCCAGTTGCCGCGGTGCTGACGTTAAGAAAAAAGCGCCACTTTCTTCAAATGTTCTTGCTGTGGTTTCCACACCTGATGATGATTGCTTGTGTTGCCATCGAAGCGTCGTGATAATTTTATTGTATTTTATTACTTCCCTTCTATGTGACTTTACCGAAAAAACCAAGAATAAGCATGTAGGCTGTAACTAGATATTATTATTTAAGTTCCACCCGTGTATTGCGTTTAGATAAAGACAGTCTCAGTGACTATTAATAAAAGTTAAACTATTTAAAGGTACAATGCTAAACAATTAAGTTATCGTGCATCTTGCTTTCATGCCGGCCCCATCAGTCTAGGATTTACTCAAAGGGGTTGGTGCGTCACACAACCTGATGCTGCTCTATTGATACGATAGCCAGATGCGTACATCGGGCTTGGTCCATGGTAGACCTTGAGTCGTTTTTAATGAATATTTTTTTTCCGAATAATGTTGTCTTTACGTGTTCTTCTTCTTGGTTCTTTCGGTAAAGTCACGTAGAAGGGAAGTAATAAAATAATAAAAATATTTTTTTATGTTTTATTCCGACTGGGCCCCTACGTGTCGCATGACCTTGCCACACTTACCCCTTCTAGATTTGAAGTTTTCGTGACTGCAAGGATCTATACTCTTGGTTCTTTCGGTAAAGTCACGTAGGTTAAGAAAATAAAAAAAATAAAAATGAAATAAAAGATACAATTTGATTTATTTGTATCTTTTATTTTTATTTTATTTTTTACTTTCTTTACCTACGTGACCTCGTCACACTTACCCCTCCCCATGGTTTTAAAATGTCAGACGGGGGCACGAAGCTGTCGCGAGCCCGTCTTCTACCTGCGGTATTTTATCCCGGGGACAGAGTAGTGATGTCGTGGTCAGCTCACCGCGTCCGTGAACCTGGGGTCAGCGGAGGTCAACTCCAGGCCAAGGGCGAGAAGAGATTATTCGGTTTCTTCCCGCTCCCCCCCCCCCCGGGTACCGTGCCCCCCCCCCAAACCGGCACTGACCGGCGTGGGGAAGTTTGGTCAAACAACTGGCTGGATTGTGCTTGATTCGGATTGGTGAAAAGGTCGGTTAAGTTAACGTGTAAAGAAAATGGCAGTGACTCCCACTTAGTTGAGATGGTCAATGGGCGCCATGAGGTAGCATCCTGTGGCTAGGCGAAGTGCTTGGTTTTGAGTCGAGATTTGAAGCTTTCGTGACTGCAAAGATTCATACTCTTTGGTTTTTTCGGTAAAGTCACGTAGGTAAAAAATAAAATAAAATAAATGAAAACAACTAAATTAAATCACGGCGGTTTGGAGCTTTTGGCAACCTGTATAGGAGAGGTTTGGGCACCAAATGGGACTGGCTGAATTGATGATGGGACGTCGAATGGCTTTGTAGGCTAGGAGTAAAGTCTCCTTTTGTTGACCCCATGATAGTGCCGGCTAAAGCTCGTAAGATGTTATTTCGTTTGTTAACTTTTGCATGGACGTTTCTGCGCGTGTTGAGCGAAGCTGAACATGGTGTCAAAGGTTACGCCTATAATTTTTGGGGGTTTTGCTAGTGGGAGGCGTTGGTTGTTTATTATGACTCATAATTTAGGTTTTTGGGTCAGATCGCGTTATTTATAAATGTGTCGTAACCCTCCACCACCCGACATGGCCAAACATGGTCCTGATGGCAAAATAACACACAGCGTTTACCGAAAGCAAACGCACACTGATGCCTATCTGAATGCAGATTCACATCATCACCCATCTCAGAAATCGTCTATTATCAAAACACTCATACACCGGGCTAAAACAGTGTCAGATGGTGAGAGTCTAGTGAGAGAGATGAAACATGTTAAAGAAGCACTAAGACAGAATGGCTACAATAATTCTCAAATTAACAGAGCACCGAAGGCCAAATCACGAACGCAAAGCGACACTGCTGAAAGCGACAAGATTGTTCAAACAATCAAAATACCATACATCTCAGGAGTAACTGACAAATTAGCCCAGGTTTTACAAAAGCAAAACATTAAAGTAAGATTTGGTACAGTGCACAAAATTCAAAAACTGGTATCTGGAACTGAAGACGAATTGCCTAAATTATCAACAGAAGGTGTATATCGGATTAATTGTTTGCGGCAGATGCTATATTGGACAGACGGGACGCAACATCAGTGTAAGATTTAAAGAACACCAAATAATCATTTAATTATCTCAAACACAACTGTCGGCAGTGGCAGAGCATGCTTGTTAACAAGGACACTCAATTGGATTCTGAAAACGTTGAAGTGTTGTGTAAAACTAATTATTACTGGCCAAGACTAATTAGAGAATCCATTGAAATTGAGAGAAACAGAAATAACTTCAATGATGACGTCATCCTGATGCTGCTCTATTTAAGACCGGAAGCAACAGGAGAGCTTCACCATTCTTGCCCGATGAAGCTGATTGTAATTATCAGCGAAACGTCGGACTACTCAAATTAAAAAATGCTGTTGATTCTCTCTTCAGCACACCGGTGGGCTAACGAAGTGAATTATTTTGTCCGTTGAAAAACGTGACATTTGACTGTTTGGCCGTGTCGGGTGGTGGAGGGTTACGACACATTTATAAATAACGCGATCTGACCCAAGAACCTATATTATGAATAATATTGGTCGCGAAAGCCTCCCACATGTTAAATTGTTTATTATGACGTTGGGATGTAAGTTGGCTTGATGAGGATTAGGTGTGATCATCAAAATCATAGTCACCACCATCATCACCCTCATCACCATCACCCTCATCACCACCATCGTCATCACCATCATCACCATCATCATCACCACCATCATCATCATCACCATCATCACCATCATCACCACCATCATCACCATCATCACCACCATCACCACCATCACCACCATCACCACCATCATCACCATCATCACCATCACCCTCATCACCACCATTATCATGCGACGCCACAACCGTTGTCATGAACGCCAAACAGCGGCGGCTTCTCTACGTGGCCGCGATGCCGAATGCTCTCGGAGCTATTTAAAAACGGCGCTGCACCTCTCGGCCTCAAACTAAAACGCTGCTGTTTGGTCTGGGCCACAGCAACCCAGAGTCTTCGTCCCGCATCGTCCAGTGATAGAAATCGGAGCAGGGTGACTGCTGCTTGCCGGTTTGCTCGCCGCTCTGCTCGATTCCTTATCGATCATCTTATTGCGAGTCCATCCCCTGTCCCTCCGATGAAGCTTGGGAGATCTGAATGAGGTTAACATATTTCGCAAACAACACGTTGTTGTGAAAATCCAACGCAGAATATGCCTCGGTTTGATCTTCCACGAAGCAGCTCATGGTCCACCCTAAACCGGACCCACTGGACAAACCATGGCAGATGCAAATACCTGATGCACTAAATGGAAAACTCTCCCATAGTATGCGACTGGTGGTGATCCAGAACAGTCAGTCCAACGTGTCATGTCGCAATGCCCCGATTCACAAATACGAAGGAGGCATCACGGCAATGATACCATCCACTTGCCCATCACGTGATTGTCTGGGTATGATCGCCTGCGAATGAAACGTTAGTCGTTGCTCTGCATCTACATCAGCATCCGTGCGGATAGAAGAGGATGATCGCTCTCCGATTGCTACCGCCATGGTCACTGTTCCAGTGGGCGTCACTCGTCGATTCCTTACCCCTGCTGCGTCTGGGACTACCAGACACTGGCTGTGTATTTGTCTCGATGTACGTCGGCAATCGTGCTCATGTGAGGTGTGGGGGAAGGACAACAAACTAGACATAACAATTAGTTCTAAAGAAATTAATTTGTCAATCTACATGATTTGAAAATGGATAGCTCCGGTGGCTTCCTAATATGGGAAGGAAGAGCATTCCAGACGGCCGCGGAAAGCGCATCTGTCTCGTCCCTTCATTCACGCAGTCACAAGCCAGACTCTCCTGATGAGACACTCAATGTCGAAACCAGTCCAGAGTTATTTGCCCGTGTTGATCCAATGCTGCAGAAACTATGAACTCACAGGAAGGCCGTGTGGCTGATGGGATGTCAAGGAACGCTTTAATTGTTTGTATGTGGAGAGACTGCAACATGAATGAGACCCTTTTTGCCTGTATCAAAATGATGAAACATATATAAATAGGCTTTACTCTTTCTAGCAATGAAACAGGAGGTATGTGAAGATGTCGAAATTCCAAATAGATACCTTGTTCAAGTCATCACACATACTTGTGAAAAACATGCAAATAAACATGCCCTGATAATGCTCGCAACGTCTTTGAAACGGATTGGCCTCCACCAGGGACAGCCTTCTCGATGGCCTTGTCTCTACACCAGTGTTAGACCAGATGCATTGTCTGCTGATATATATTTTTTTTATTTCACGCAACGACGCTGATGATGTTTATCGAGCTACATATCAAGATGCATTCAGCTCATTAACGAGCATCTCTACACGTGGGAATGAGCCGGATCGTCCGGAGAAACCCATTCCTTGCGCGAGGGGGCAACACTCGATCCCTCTGCATCGTTGTTCCTGTCGTGAGTTCACGAGTTCGTGTTGTCCCCGCAGGAGGCACCCTGAGTGCAGCATGGCGGTAGCGAGGAGGTCGAGTCTGCTGTGTGTGGCGCTCCTCTTCTCGTGCCTCGTCAACCTCTTCTGGTTCCAGCGCGGCTCCACAACGACGACGACGACGTCGCGGGACGCCGTGACGGGCCGCGAGGGGAGCGCCCTCCAGCGCTCTCTCGAGAGGGTCGCCAACGGGCCAATGGTGGAGACACTCAACGACGGGACTCTGACGGAGCAGCTCAACGACATCGAGACCATGTTGGAGAAGATCCTCAAAGGTGACGGCGATTAGCGGAGTCGGCGTGGGACCACCACTGCACGTGTGTGTGTGTGGGGCGAGCTTGACTGCGGTGACCCAATAGGGCGGATTCATCATGTTAGTGTGTAGGGCACTTGTGGTGGCTAGGAGATGTTAACTACCTCGCCTGATGTGCAGGAGCCTATGGGTTCGATTTCGTGCCTGACGATGCCTTCTGTATATGTGGAGTTTGCGTCTCTCTCTCTTTCTCTACCCATGGTTGCATGGGTTTTTTCTCCTGAGTCCTCCGGTTTTTCCCCCTCCACATTTAGAAACATGTCCCACATTGAGAGTATACATCTCCACGTGATCATGATGATGATGGTAAGCCACTTCGTTGAGCTATAATTTGTGATAGCCAGGCCGCTACTGAAAACAGCTTCACATCTCATTCGGCCTTAGCTGGTAAAATAAAATAGTTTATAGCAGCCAAATACTCTGAACAGACATCAATTCTAAATGTGGAGGGAAAAACCAGAGGACCTCGAGACAAATCCATGCGATGACCACCTCCTGCATACCTGGCGAGGTAGTTAACATCTCCTTGCCACCGCGGCACCCCTACCTCGTCCTGCTATGACCACCCTGTTATCCGGTTCATCGGCACCAACATCAGCAGTAGCATCAGAAGAAGCAGAGCTAACAGGAGGACGTGTTCCATATGGGAGAGTTCATTGTGGATGGGCCCATTACCGCTCAGACGACGGGATTCACAGCAGACTTCAATTATATATCAACATCGCGTTACATACGCAACATGTGTTGTGTTGGCGATACTGCTGGTGCACAGACAGTAATAACGACATCGACACGGTTGTCGATAGCAACACCACCACTGTGTGTGGCATTAAAAGAAAACCCATAATAGGCATTTCGGCCAATAGCCCTTATTCATGGCAATTACTATGTTGCCCTCGTAATCTAAATGGGCATGCTCCCCCCCCCCCCCCGTCATTTACATGGACTTGGGGGGCCCCTTCCTCGTTATCTCTATGGGTGTGGGGGGGTCCCCCTCTCGTTATCTATATGGGTGTGGGGGTCCCTTGTCCTCTTCGTGAACTTCACTTCACACTCAACCCTAACCACATGCCCCTACGACTGGCATCTCCACCAAGTCACACGGCATTGATATGCGATGCTTTTTCTGGAAGTCTTTGCTGCTTTTTCCTGGATTCTTCTGTTGAGCGTAAACATTTTAAGATGTTCCTTGTCCATGTTTCTGTTTGTTGCGGTTGCACCCGATTCAAGAGCCGAATGGCTCACCGGGCGAAATCTAATAAATGAACTGAAACTGAACTGAACTGAAGTCAAGGGTGCAGATCGCAATCTCGTGCTGCCAACTCCCGCTCAGGTTTACCCCCCCCCCCCATTCCTCTCTACCACCCTCCACTGACCTTGGTGCGTCCTATGCAGTGTTCTGGCTCTCGCCAGGTCCATGCCCACGCCAGTCCAGACCCTCACCAGACCCTCGCCAGTCCAGGTGACTCTGTGATTTGCGAGATATTCGCGAGTTATTCTTTGTTTGTTTTTGTAAAGCCCACATGGCGCCGTCCTTAAATAATGTCACGCACCTAGGGGGGGGGGGGGGGGTCAGACATTTGTGACGATGTGTGACAAGGGGGGGGGGGGCGTTTGAGAGATGTGACGTCACATCAAAATGCGCCACTTTAAATAAATATAGACAACACGTTCTACTTAATTAAATAGACTTTTTAATAAATGTTTTCTCCTACAAGCGACATTAAATACGCACTACAATGACAATAGTTTAAAGCGATTTGAAGCATGTTTTATTGTTTCGGGGGGGGGGGGCAGAGCTTTGTGACGTCATATTTGAGGGGGTCTGACATTTTGTGATGCCGTGTGTCGAAGGGGGGGGGGGGGGGGTCAAAAATCGTCCAAAATCGCGTGACGTCATTTATGGACGTCCACTATAAACATCCCAGCTGTTGTCTGCATCCAGTAAAAAGACACGTTTATTAATTACTTCATCTTTATTATTATTGTTGTATTATGCTTATTTATCGCCAGGACAGCCTTGCTTGGTATATTCAGCCTGTAAAGTTTGTTGTGGTTGCAGTTGGTAGTGGTGTGAATCGACAACCTAACCAGAATCATCAATGACTTGGGAGCGTGGTTTTGGGTCATATACAGGCTAGAGGCCACAATAATTGTATTATTTCTATAATGTTTATCATCATCACTCCACTTTATTACCCAAGATGAACCTCAGGCGAGTCTCAAGTCTCTGCAGGAGGGTCCTGCCACTTTTTGCGCTCTTTCAATGGAGGAGGAATCAGAACATGTATTAATACTGGAGGAGGAATCCGAGGAGCTATAAAGCTCTTTGTCACAGATGTCCAGTAGGGGCACGTGGTCAGAACGTTACAACAACAAACACAATACACAAACACAACAGGAGTGAAAAGTATAGGAAAGGTAAACATATCACTTAAAAATATGCAAATAAAAAAAACATTTTTTTAATCTAGCGAGATGAAGCCCATTGAGGTATTAACTATTTTGCAGAAGCCACCTGGCCACAAATGATATCTCAACAAAGTGGCTTATCACCACGTGGAAATGTATAACAGCAACATAATCAGAATAATCGCAATGCATGTTTCTAAAATGTGGAGGGAAAACCCGGAGGAGGACCCGGAGAAAACATCCACGCGGCCACAGGGAGAGAGAGAGATAGAGCAACCGCAAAACTCCAAATAAACAGCAGGTATCGGGATTGGGATCGAATACACGACCTCCTGTATACCATCTCGCCAGTGCGTGGTTGGGGAGTGCGATCTACACAACATTCAACAATCGGGTCGGTGTGACGTTTCCCTGGTGGCTACAACCGGCATCATCGGGCAAGTTGCCATAATTGTGGAAGATGTCCAGTAGAAAGGTAGAGTTTACTCTGGCTCTCACCTGGACATTTACATCTGTTCATGGAGGTCACTCTCTCTCTACCGCGCCTATCTATTTACACACCATGAAGAAGGGTCATTGCCTGAAACGTCACATATTATACATATATTAACGTTTCATTTTCTGAGCCATCCACACACGCGCATGTCTGTAAACGCGCATGGTGCTGCCGTGGGCACGCACGGGACGCGTCGACTCGTTCTCGCTGCTCGGTTTGTCGGTGTTCGCCGCCCAAAGTCGTGACGAGTTTTTGTTTTATTTCTCTTTGCTCCGTGAACCCCCCCCCCCCCCCCCCGGTTCTCCGCTCCCCATTCCACTGCAATGTGCAACCGATGCCCACTGTTCTGGGAGGATTGTTGGCACGAAAAATAACGATTGTTTAGGTTTCACATGTGAAGGCTTCGAACCCAACCCTTGGCGCCTATATATGTATTCTGGCTAGTCTCCCAATGGAAATGTCACTGGGTACTCGAATTGTAAACATTGTTGTGGGTATGAAAGAATAAGATTAGGTTGAACCCTTTTTGGCAGAAAAACGTTGTTAAGATTAACCCCTAGTAGGCTTTCGTGACCAATATCATCTATAATACAGGTTTTATTGGGTTAGATCTCATAAATATATCAATGTTTCGTTAAACCCGCCACCACCCGACACAGCCAATTAGTAAGGTTTGTCACGTGAACAGAACATGGCAATTCGTGACTAGTACAGCACACCGGTGTGTTGGAGAGTAATTACAACTCACTTCATTCGGCGACAGCTAGATTTGTGGAGAAATCCTCCCGTTTTATTGCTTAAAAAGAGGGGTAAATGTGATGGCATCACTTGTGAGCACTTCTTGAGCAATGTGGGGGGGGGGGGGGGGGGTAAATTAATTCATATAAATGACGATGGGAACCCATTGACGGTTGGGTTATTTATATGGTAATTAACGTACAGTATGCATGCACATTGTGTGTACTAAAATAGCCGTACCTGTTATTGTTCAACGATCATCCCTATTGAAGTATGCTGACCTGTATAGGCATGCATTAAAACAATGTGTCATTTGATGATTCGCTGAAAAAACAGCACTAAGCCTGTAGCTATCCGAACGGTAAAACATTTTTAATCTCAATTCCGATAGATTCTGTAATTAGTCTTGGCAAGTAGTAAATAGTTTTTGCATAGAACTTGAACATTATCAAAATCAATTGAGTGTCCTTGTTGGCACTCGTGTTCTGCCACTGCTGACAGTTGTATTTGGGAGTATTCAATATTTATTTGGTGTTCAACCTGCTTGCCCACCATCGCATTTGCCACAAGTATAATGAATATGGTACACACCTTCTGTTGACAGCTTTACCATATAAATACATACCCCAACTGGCAATGGATACCCATTGTCATTTATATGCATTCATTAATCCCCCCCCCCCCCAACATCGCTCACGAAGTGCTCACAAGTGATGCCATCACATGTTGTACTCCTCTATTTAAGGAATGAAACAGGAGGACTTCTCCACAAATACGCCTGATGAAGCTAGTTGTAATTACTGGCGAAACGTTGTACTCAGATTGTAAATATTGTGGCTTTGCTCTCCAACACACCAGTTAGTGCTGTGCTTGTGACGAATTGGCACGTTCTGTTTACGTGACAAACCTTACTAATTGGCTGTGTCGGGTGGTGGCGGGTTTAACGACACATATTTACGCGATCTAACAAAAATACCTGTATTAAAATGTTAAGATGTTCAAACACCAAATAGAAACCTTTTTCAAAAAGTTCCCATATTACGAGGACCTTTTTAATTTACTTTTATACTGGAAAAAAGGTCCTATATTGTTGTGTTTACTCTCCAACATACAACTGGTAAGTGCTGAACTAGCAACCAATATGCATGATTTTGTTAGCGTGATAAAAACCTTGCTAATTGGCCATGTTGGGTGGTGGTGCCGGGTTTAAGGACTCATTTATGCGATCTAACCCACCAAAACACGTTCAGTATGGATAATAATTGAATTGATTGGTAACTGAGCCATGGTTCATTTCTTACCCCCGCCATCGCCCACGAATCCTTAACGAGATTTTTGTATAGGATTGCACAAGAGCGATGGGACATCGAAGAAAGAGGTCGTGTGCGAGGGGAACCAGTGGGTACCCGACCCCGAGACCCCGCTCTTCAAGGAGTGGGGCAAGGACCTCCCGGCGCGGCAGAAGCGCAAGGCGTGTGCCCGCTTCCTCACCTACGGCTACAACGCCTACCTGAGCGACCGGCTGCCCCTCGACCGCGACGTGCCTGACAACCGCCCTCCCGGGTACGCCACTCGGAGTCGCACTCTCGCTCAGCGTCGCCATTATTGTCATCACCACCATAATTATTAGCAACGTTATCATGAGTATTTAACTCTATGTAACCACATGTCTGTCAGTGTGACTGTAGATCTCTCTACGTCCTTGTAAGAGGTCTACCTCAGCTCCCAGTATACACGATTGCTAAACGAGATACGCGTGAATGCAAGTGCGTGTTTACTGTAATACGCTACCATGGGGGTCTGTGATAAACCGGATATTTTTTTTTTATCTCTGGGGCTTTTTTATATCAAAAATGAAAGAAGAGACTTGTTTGTTTGCTGTTCTCGAAAATTTACCTTGCCAAACAAGACACGGCCCACGTTGATCAGAGCGTATCGCTACTTCTTATTTCATATCGCCAATGTAGATGTAGAGCAACGACTACAATTTCACATACTGAACTGAACTAAAACATGTATTTTTTAAATCACGAATTATAGTAGATCAATGAATAGGCCAGGATGAGTCTCATTTGCAATCATGATCTGGGTCACCAAAATTGACTAAACGTGTTGGATCTTGATTGGCGATTTGTAATTGGTCGTTTCTTGCTTACGATTTCTACTCGCTTCATTATCGTACCTCTTGTTACTTGATTTATTTAAAAATTTTGGTCCCAGGGATCGTTTAACCATACTTCCCCTTTCCCGTGCCTCACCACAGCTGCAGCACCAAATGGTACCCGTCAGAGCTGCCGGGTCTCAGCCTGGTGCTGATCTTCTACAACGAGGCCGTCTCCATCCTGCTGCGCGCCGTCACCTCCGCCGTGCGCAACACACCGCACCACCTCCTCAAGGAGATCATCCTCGTCGACGACTGCAGCGACTACGGTGAGAGCTGCAGGGCTGCCACCTCAACCTTCTCCTCCTACACCTGAACCTCCTAATTTTCTACCACCGAATTCCCCACCTCCTAATCCTCCACCTACTAATTCTTGACCCTGTAATCTTCCACCTCGTTCTCCAATTTCTCCTCCACCTCGTCCTCCACCTCCGCCCCCACAGATACAACTGAAAGAGAGATGGATCTCTCTCTCTCTCTCTGTCAGCCCGGCGGATTTCCTGCAGCAAGGGTCAATGCAATTTTGGTATCCGATCTCGGCGGCACAAATAAACTCCCACTACCTTAACAAAGAATGTCTGTTTCCAGGCTGGTGACAACCCGAGTGGGTGGGTGGGGATTGTGTGGGTGGGTAAGTCAGTGAGTGGGTGGCTCAGTGAGTGGGTGAAAATTTGGTGAGTAGGTGGCTCTGTGGGTGGTTGGGAACTGGGTGGGTGGGAATTGAGTGGGTGTGAGTGGATAAATGAGCAAGTGTGTGAGTTAATTAATTCGTGAATTATTAAATAAACTAAAACTATTTAACAACTAAACTATGTTTTATTTCACCAAGTAAGGCCCACTGAACTATATAGCTCTTTTTCAGGAGCGACATGACTATACATGATATCCCAATGAAGTGGCTTAGTACGTGCAAATTTAAAGCAGCCAAATACTCTCAAAGCATGATTCTAAATTTGGAGGGAAAAACCGGAGGGCCTGGATAACAATCCACCCGACCACAGGGAGAGAGATGCACACTCCAAATATACTGATGAGTGCGAGAGTGGTTGAGTGAGTTACGTGCCGATCCACGTAGAAGGGTGCCCTGATCTGGAATCAAACTCGGGAATCATTATTGCTGTGCACCGCCCTCTCCACCAGAATCTGGTGAAAGGCCTCTCAGTCATGGCCCCGTGTAACACGGCTGCCACGGGGGTTGACGATGTTGTCACCACTTCACAGATGACCTGCAGGAAGGGTTCGACTCCCTCGTCCAGGAGCTGGGCCGCAAGTACGACCATGTGAAATTCCGGCTGGAGCGGCACACGGGACGGAGGGGCCTCAGCGCGTCGCGTGTCACCGGCATCCGAGCGGCCTCAGCGCCTGTGGTGGCCGTCATGGACGCCCATGTGGAGTTCCCCGTTGGATGGTGAGTCCGCTTTGCCGTGACGCTTTGCACCGTGAGTTCCATTGATCGTCAGAACCAGCATTGGGCCATTCTGGAGGGTGGGTGGGGTGGGTGGGGGAAGGCGTGATGACATCCAGGCGTGACCCATCCAGCTCATGGGCTGTGGAATGCATGGTGATGTCATTGTGCAGATGTGCAGCAGTGACATCACCACCGCACACATCTCCCTGACTGTGCGCCAGCCAGCTAACTCGGGGTTCCCCGTTGGCCAGTGAGTCCCGAAATCTCTCCCGCAACGGCTCGGCCCATTTCTACTTTTTGGGCCTTTCCATTGTTGACTCGGGCTAGGGGTACCGGTGGACACTGTTGGGCATTACATGAACCTTATGGCGGGACCCCGGGGTCCCATAAGCTCCCGGCTCTCGCATAAACTACGTTGCGACGTAATTTTATGTCTGTTGAAGGCGAGCGACAGGGGAATCAATTCCTCTCGACGAGCTCTACACGATGCACTAATCAAAGGCGATGACCGATTTCCCCCCCCCCCTCCCCATAGGGCCGAGCCAATCCTGGCGCGAATCCAGGAGGATCGCCGTGTGGTGGTCTCCACGGTGTTCGACAACACGCACTACGACACGTTCGTCGTACACCGCTACGAGTCGCAGGCACAGACGTTCACCTGGCAGCTGTGGTGCACCTACAGAGAGCCTCCCCTCGACTGGATCACCAACAAGGACCTCACGGCCCCCATTAAGTGAGTCGCACGCCCGAACGGACTGAGCTGGCTAGGAGATGTTGACTACCTCCCCAGGTATGCAGGAGGTTATTGGTTCGATCCTGACGCTTGCTGTAGATTTGGAGTTTGCGGTGTCTCTCTCCCCGTGGTTGCTTGGATCTTGCTCCGGGTCCACTGTTTTTTACCTCCACATTTAGAAACGTGCGTTTTTAGAGTATTTGTTTACTATAAATGTCCACTTGATAATCCACTTCGTTGTGCTATAATTTGTGATAGCCAAGTCGTTTCTGAAAAAAGAGCTGCATAGCTCAGTGGGGCCTTACCTGTGTAGAGGAGAGAAATACGCGGTGTGCACAGTTAGGCGGGTGCAACTGAGGGCAAACAGGTGTGTGGGTTGCAACATGAGGTTTGCACAGACAAGCCGACAGTAGTTAAGGGGAGAAGCTGGTGTAACTGAGGTCGAACTGGTGCTACGCTGTGACCGTATGTTGGCGCCTAGGAGATTGGAGATGGGGGGTGATGATAAGAGATTAATGGGATGACTGACGCCGGCCTGGCGGCAGCTTAAGTGAAAGCACGTGAGGACTCGGGATGAGCAGGGGGATATAAGCAGGAGTGTGTGTGAGCGAGGGGAGTTGTTTGCTGGGAACCAAGAGTGAAGACATCTCGCCGCTGCCACTCCAGCCGTCAACGGGACCTCAACCCTCACGCCGTCGCCGGGCGGGTGTTGGCTGAACCCCCCGCCCGGGACAGATGGGTGAGTGGGTCTGAGAGAGCGTAGGTGAGGGCAGCGGTGGAGATGCAAAGACGCTGTGTGCGGAGTCGCTGAGTGCGGAGTCACTGTGTGCGGAGTAGCTGAGTGCGGAGACGCTGTGTGCGGAGTAGCTGGGGGCGAAGCTGCTGAGTCGCTGAGAGCAGAGCTCCTGAGTGCAGGATAAGTGAGGTGCAGAATAGATAAGAGCGGATAGAAGTTCAGTATATGTGACTGTACAAATAGTTATAGGAGTGCCTTTAACTTGCGCAAGAACAGGTGAATAAAGTGTAAGCAGGTGACTTGTTTCAACATGTCGGTGTGAGTAAGTTCTGAAGACACTACACCTGGTTAAATCAAAAAATATTGTATCTAGTGAATGATGTGTCCGTTGCATGTGGCCTTCAAAATCCTTTCGCTTGCCAAGTTCACTCAAGTTGCTTTGACCCCCCCCCCCCCCCCCCCAGGAGTCCAATCGTGATGGGCTGCATGGCGGCCAGCAAGAGCTACCTGGAGGAGATCGGCTTTCTGGATGAAGGCATGCAGGTGTACGGAGGGGAGAACGTGGAGCTGGGCCTCAGGGTGAGGACGCACAGAAACTCAGACAAAGATCCCCCGTGTAGCCTTAACAGACTGTTGGGGCAAGTGCTGTTATAGCGAGTAGCAGCACCTTTGAAGGGCAGTACGGCACACGAGGGGCTGGGTAGTCGTCACCACGCTCTGCCCCCATTGTCTCCCCAGTGGTGATGTATACACACTGCACCCAGGTACTCATTTGACCTACGGATAGACCCAGGACCAGTTCAGATAATCTGTCCCTGATGTTGGCCGTGGGCAGGAATTGAACTCTGATAAACTAGGTTCATAGCGCAGTGTGCTAACCGCTACACTACTACAGAGATGCAACTTTGACCAAATTCACTCACTCACTCGTGCATGTTCATACAGACCGGCACAGGCATTATTAGATCACTGTGCTGGCCTGCTGCCTTGTTCAGAGTGGACGGTCATGGTGGCTGGGCTCCTCCTTACTAGAGGGAGAAACACTGAGCTCCAGCCCCATCTTGCAGCCTAATTCAGAGTGAAGGATCACACCGGCAGATCTATTGGGTGATCAGACAGCTCTCTCCTCCACCCCCCTTCTCCCCCCCACCCCGTGTCCAGGTGTGGCAGTGCGGGGGCAGTGTGGAGGTGCTGCCCTGCTCGCGCTTGGCTCACATCGAGCGCTACTTCAAGCCGTACGCCCCGGACCTGAGCATCCACATGCGCAGGAACGCGCTGCGCGTGGCCGAGATCTGGATGGACGACTACAAGAAGAATGTCTACCTGGCCTGGAACCAACCCGTGAATGTACGCAGTGCACTGTTACTGCGAGGCAGGGTAGAGGAATTGTGGGGCTGACTCCACCCAAGGCCGTGCCGGCCTGGGGTAGCTCCCCGCCTCTGCTAGGCTCTTGTGCACCATCATCGCTAGTCCCCGCTAGCAACTACTCCGGGGGCGCGTCACGCAGCCCTCTACCACGCCGGCGCACCTGGCTGGGGACTCGGCTGGTCTCCATCCCTTCTTCAGTGTGAACGTCTCCTGTATAGGACAGTCCTTCCTCTGAGGAACACCCTTCTGGAGGGGACTTCCCCCTCCTCTGAGTCCACCGGCGTGCACCACCCGTTCGTCATACCACACACCGGCTGGGTAACCACTCCGCCACCTCACGACCTCAGACAGGGGGTTAATACTCCACCCCCCCACTTCGATGAGTCTGAGGTGCCTGTGCTAGTGTGTCTTTATGTAGGTAGATATCTCTACACGTGTATGGGTGTCTGTGCATGTATGCACCTACATGTAACCAGCAACTTGTTTTGTTTCCTGTTGGCGAGCCTTCAACACTTCATGTGACGTCAGGGTGTACCCAATCTGGCACACGCGACAAGGCACTATATGTATAGCTGTACCATTATCTGCGTGTGGCCTGTGGAACTCAACACCTTCTCATCCGTCCACACACTTTAATTCCCCAATGCGCCCTCCACCAGACTATCCTCTCCCATACCCTGTGCCTCGTCCTTCCTGGTCTATGCCCACTCTGGGCCCTTGCCTCCTGATTCGCTACCGATAGGGGAGGGGTTGTGCAGGATTCGCCAGCCCCTATCACATGACCCAAACTCTCCCATTCCAGCCCTCCCCTCCTCCCTCAACTGTCTGTTAACTGTCAATCAACTTTTGAACTACTCTCAGCGAGAGGCAGTCTTTCCCACGGGCGTGGGCACGGCCATTTCCATACTTCTTCACGGTGGAACTTACCAGAGGTGTGGACTCGAGTCATGTGACTTGGACTCGAGTCAGACTCGAGTCATGAATTTGATGACTTCAGACTCGACTTGGACTTGCATAACAATGACTTTGTTCCACCTCTGAGGTGTGGACTCGAGTCATGTGACTTGGACTCGAGTCAGACTCGAGTCATGAATTTGATGACTTCAGACTCGACTTGGACTTGCATAACAATTACTTTGTCCCACCTCTGGAACTTACTGCAGGCAGGATAGACAAAGTAGTAACGGTGCCTGGATACAAATTGAAAAACCATCAAAAACTTTGTCACAGGCTTGTGTAAATATACCGTGTTTTCATAGCCTCAGAGATTTTCGAGCTTGGCCATATAATGTCGTAGTCAGCGTAGTCAGCGGTGATCCTGTCAGCATGGCCTTAACATGATCGTGGCCAAGAGAAGGTCAATGTGGAATATTGAGATTGGCCATGATGACTTTTTTTCTCCAGAGTGGGTTGTTGTGTGCAAGAGAAGTCTCTGGGGCCCATCTCAGGACATCAGTTCAACAATGAGTCGATGTGGATGTTAAGAACCTTTTGTGGGTGGAGATCATGCAATGTAGATCACGTACACGTGACTTCCGGCGAGGCAGATTCGCTCTGGAGTAGAGCTCACAGTGAGGAGTTCAACAAATGGACATCTAAGGCGAAACTTTTTTGAGCCAAAGGGTGAATCAAATTTGGGTGAGGATGTTGGTGTTCACTCGCAGCACCCGCCCCCCACCAGGTTTTTGGAGAGCTACATGGTTGGTCTTTGTCTTTTTTTGTTTACAGGGCTCTGGGATAGACATCGGCGATATCTCAGACCGCGTGGCTCTGCGCAAGCGGCTCAACTGCAAGAGCTTCGAGTGGTACCTGGAGAACGTGCTGCCCTCACTGCCCAACCACAAGGATATCGTCCAGTACGGCGTGGTGCGTAGTTCTTCTGCATGTTCAGGCCTGGCTTGTTCGCTTAATGGAGTCTGTTCTCCTAATAACGCGGTAGTAGTTGCGTTTGTGAAGAACATTACGTGATGGAAACATCGCGTTATAATAAATTATATATAATATCGGGCGAAGCACAGTCAGTGATAACACGTGAGATGCGCATGCAGGCTGAGTAGCATATAGAAGCATCCAGCAGCATTCCAATGCCTTGTGTGTGATGCTACGCCGAGGCAGCTGTTACAACCTCTTATTCCTACTCATGCGAGGTAGTCCGTTCACTCAATTATATCCAATTTGCATCCGCATTTGAAAAAAAAAATCTGTTCTTTAATCCATTTATTGCATTATATCTAATTTGCGTCATGAAAACAACAAGCGTTATAGAAGAACTGACTACTTAGACTGTTGGTGATGATTATTTAATTATTTGGTTAATTATCATTTAAGGAGGAGGGGAATAAAAGAAACTCAAACCGATCCTATTTCAGGCATACGAGGCGAAACGTCGGGCATACGTCGTAGTGCACCGAATGATGCGGTGGAGAGCGCGGGGGTGTAATGGTGGTGTGCGCTGCTGCTGTGGCCGGTGTCGCCCCTCTAGATGAGGAGCGTTGAGAGGAAGGACCTGTGCCTGGACCGGGGCGACCCCCAGAAGAACACCCCCATCATCCACCCCTGCCATGGATTTCAACCCCAGGTGCTCGTCACAATTTCCCTTCCACGTGAAGTTTGTTGTCCTTCACCCCCCCTTCTCCCCCGTACCTTTGATTTAGTGTAGTGTATAGTATCGTGTATAGTGTAGTGTATATTAGTGTAATATATAGTAGCGTATAGTGTTGTGTATAGTGTATTGTATAGTAGTGTAGTCCATAGTAGTCTAGTGTATAGTAGTTTGTATGTCTGTTAAACTTTCGCAACCGTATGTAGCAATCTGTGGCTAATCAGAGGTGCGGGGGGAGAGACAACAAACCAAAACACAAAAAAACAGATATGAGGGTTTTGTGTTGGACTAGTCCATAAAACCCTCAGGACTGAAAAGAGTATTAAAGACTGTCTTTCATTCTAGCCCTGCCAAGTTGGGGGGCAAATATTGCTGCTGTGTTTGATTCCCAACTGAGTAATTTGCATTTGAGTAAAAAAAAAAAAGTTGGGATCGTGACGCCACCACGACATCTTTAACGTCTGCCATGCAACCTGAAGCTAACGGCCCGTTGGCATTTATTACGGCCGCTATCGCGGTATTAACCGGGGTGTCCGTTGTGTATTGTTTAAAAACCACGTGCCTCTGCAAGACGAGTGGCGAATGTGGGAAGGCATTTTTTTCGAATTTGGTAAAAAAAATGTAAAAGCCTCACAATGGACTGTGGTGAATACGAGTCGGTGGTGGTCCTTGATAAATAACGTCACGAAACGATTCCTTAAAGAGCCGTCTGCTGCTCCGGAGCCGCAGGTTGCCGACCCTTGCCCATCGTAAATTGGACTCCCGTCGCAAACTGAACTCCAATGGTCAGAGGTCGGCAACCAAAACAACAAGAAGAGCCATTTTTTTTTCGAATTTCAAGAGCCGCACCGCAGTCACTTCAAGAGCCACCACATCGCGGCTCCGGCCGCCGCACGTTGCAAACCCCCTGCCCAAGCGCGACGGCCCTCTCTACGTCAGTTTAACACACTGCAGCAGTAGTTGGCCTTCAACACCAATATTATCTATAATAGGGTTTCTTTTTGGGGTTAGCTCGCGTTAATATAAATGTGTCGTTTAAACCCGCCACCACCAGCCGACACAGCTAATTGCTAAGGGGTTGTCATGTAAACAGAAGCCCGCCAGTTTAGTCACGAGTTCAGCGCTAACCGGTTGTGCGTTGGGAGAGTAAATACGCAGCGCCGTTTACAATTCGATTGACCGTGACGTTTGCGCCGGTGATTGCACAACGACGCTCTGGGATGCAGTTGGCAGTGGAAACGTCTACCAAGAGGATCATGGTGGGCTTTAACGTGGACCTGAAGTCTCCCGGAGTCATCTGCGTGGGGATGTCCGAGGCAGGGACTGAGCCCGCCCTGCTCGATTGTGACCTGGAGTCGGTGCAAGAGAGGATCCTCAAGTTCCAGGTGGGTGGCCCGCACCTGTGGACGCTTCACAGCATTCCGCTCGTTTATACCTAGAAGCGCCTTACCGCCATGACTCAAGGCTCTCTCGTTCAGGAGGGTCCTGCCTCCCCCCCCCCCCCCCCCCCGTGTGTATCCGTGTGTGTGTATCTGTTAGTGTATCTGTGTGTGTTTGTGTGTGTGTAAAATGTCGAACGCCTGCTGGCAGGAGGTCACGGGGCAGACCCAGGTGCCACAGGTCGACTGACTGAGATGACTGAGATGAATGGCTGATGCACCACCTGTGCCCCCTACTGTGCCTACTTGCTGTGCTTTAGCCATCCGGCGCTCCGCTCGTTGTTGTGAGCATCGCTCCACCGCCCTCTGTTGTTGTTGAAGGGCGACTGCCTCCAACTGCCCAGTAGCGTCCTTTACGAGCCTCCTCCACAGAGGCCAATCTTGACACCGCTGGTACCAGTCAGAGGCAAGTCCACTCAGCTCCACATCCTCCTTCTCTTCTCTAGCCAGTGCCGCGCCCATTTAGCCCCCTTGATCCCGCTGAATTAAAGCTGTTTGGGCATGTGGTGATTGGGCATGCGGGCTACATGGCCTAGCCAACGCAGCCTTGCCTGCCGGAGGAACTGACCGATGGGACTTGTCCAGATCTTTCGAGGATTTGTGTGCTCCTCACACAATCCAGCCTGGTTAAACCTAGGATTGATCGTAGGCAGGCCAGCCTAAATGTTTCTAACCGGCAAAGATGTTCCATTAGGGGGGTCCACGTTTCGCAAGCGTAGAGAAGAGAGGGAATGACTGTGGCTGAGAAGACCCGAAGCTTCATGCGGAGCAACAGACCAGGTAGCTTCCACACAGCGTTACGCAACCGATGAAACGATAATGCCGCTCGACTGATTCGGAGTGAAACCTCTGCTGTTAAACCGGAGCCAGTCATGAGCATGCTGCCCAGGTATGTGAAACTCTCCACTCTCCACAACTGCTCCATCACCGATTGGGAGTTGTGGGGGTGGAGTGCCCGATGGTACAAAATACCCAGGCAGGTGCTTCGTTTTGGTGGGGCTGATGATGGTAAGGCCCCAGCTCTTAGTGGCACACTCCAGTTTCAGCAGCAGCAGCAGCGTCTCCAACTCCTCCTCTGAATGAGCAGCAATTACCAAATCATCGGCATACATAATGTGATTGAGCAATAGGGAGCCATCCCTTGACCGCACCCGGGCATCGATCAGCCTCCCATTGTATTTGTACCAGATGGAAATTCCTCCAGTGCAGCTACTGAAGGCTTCACGAACTACGTGGTCGAAAAATATGTTAAATAATGTTGGAGCCACAGGACATCCCTGTCGCACCCCAAGGTGTACAGGGAATTGCTCTGACTCCCGGTCACGTAGTTTTACCCGGGCCTGCTCACCATCATGAAGGTCCTTAATGAGCATGAGCAGAGGGTCAGGGACTCCGAAAGCACGAAGAACAAGCCAGAGCCCAGGCCTACTGATGGTATCATAGGCCTTGACCAGGTCAATAAAACAGAAATGTAGGTCTTGTTGGAATACCCTCCACCTCTGTTGTAGCAAACGCACAGAAAATATGACATCTGTGCAGGACCGCCCTTTCTTGAAACCACATTGAGGCTCCGCAAGCCTCTCCTCAGCGTGCCTCGCAAGGCGATGTTGAATAATCCTTGCCAGGACCTTTCCCGCCACACTGAGGAGTGAGATGCCCCTGTAGTTGTTACAGTCTGTGCGGTCCCCCTTCTTAAAGAGGGGTACCACAAGGGCATCCTTCCAATCCTTTGGAACCCGTCCAGTTATCTAGACTGTTGTTAAGATGTCATGTAGGGCAGTCTGCGCACAAACGCCACGCTCCCTCAAGCATTTCGCTTGGGAGATCATCTCTGCCCGGTGCCTTTCCTGGTCTCAGACTCTGGATCGCCTTTAGTACTTCCTCAATAGATGGCACCTCAGCCAGCCACTCACAGGGGGTGACGTCTTCCTCCAATATTTGAGGCACCGCAGCCTCAGTAGGGTCATCCCCACTTTGTCCCGCGATGTTTTCTATGTCGCGGGATTCCCCCTCCCCCAGAACTTCCCATAAATGCTCAGCAAATCTGCAAACCTGTTCCTGGGTGTCGGAGATTGGATCACCGTTCTTTCCCCTAATGATGGTAATCGGTGTGGCGCTGCAGGTTACTTTTTGATGGAGTTAAATAGGGATTTGTGATGGCGGGCCATTGAGGCAGACTCCATCTCCTCCACACATGCGCACATACACACGTGTACATATCTGTTTTGTGCGTGGCCCCTGCTGCAGGACGGAGAACTGCGAAGCGGAGACGGAGCCAAGTGCCTGGAGGTGCGAGAGGTGGAGGGCGAGAGCTTTGGCGCTCGGCTCGTCATCCAGCCCTGCACCGGAAAGAAGTGGATCGTGGAGTTTTACAGTCCCCCCAAGTGATCCCAGTCATCATCCTCTTCATCATCGTCATCGTGATGAAGACGGCGATGACGATCGTGACGATGATCGTTTACAGAGCGAGACCAAATTTTCTATAATAATTATAATTAATGATAAGAGAGGTGGCAACTGATTTGTGCCTTTGGGATGTTTTTTTTTAAGCAATATATATTTAAAAGAGGAGAACTGTAAAGAAACGACAGTGAAACTCTCTGCTGTGTTAACACGGTTGTGCCGATTTCTGAAGGGCTGCATTTTGTTTTGCTTTGCGCGGGAATAGTTGCACGGCGAGAGCCGATATCACAGCGCGGGTGTCGATTGACATGGCTGGCACCGGCGTCACAACGGGAATGCCCGCGCGTCTCCGCTTGTATCTCCGTGTTTGTGTCTCTGCGGGTGTGTGTCTCCGTGTCTGTGTGTGTCTCCGTGTCTGTGTGTGTGCGTGCGCGTCTCCGCTTGTATCTCCGTGTTTGTGTCTCTGTGCGTGTGTGTGTGTCTCCGTGTCTGTGTGTGTCTCCGTGTCTGTGTGTGTGCGCGTCTCCGCTTGTATCTCCGTGTTTGTGTCTCTGTGCGTGTGTCTCCGTGTCTGTGTGTGTCTCCGTGTCTGTGTGTGTGCGTGCGCGTCTCCGCTTGTATCTCCGTGTTTGTGTCTCTGTGCGTGTGTGTCTCCGTGTCTGTGTGTGTCTCCGTGTCTGCGTGTGTGCGTGCGTGTATCCGTTTGTATCTCCGTGTTTGTGTCTCTGTGTGTATGTGTCGGTCTGTGCGTGTGTCTCCGTGTCTGTGTGTGTCTCCTTATCTGTGTGTGTGCGTGCGTGTATCCGTTTGTATCTCCGTGTTTGTGTCTTTGTGTGTATGTGTCGGTCTGTGCGTGTGTGTGTCTCCGTGTCTGTGTGCGTGCGTGTATCCGTTTGTATCTCCGTGTCTGTGTGTGTGTGTATCCATATCCGTGTGTGTGTGTCTTTGTCTTTTAGTCTCCATGTTTCTGTGTGTGTATTAATGTGTGTGTGCATGTGCGTCATCGTTTGGGGGGCCAGCGACGGCGGCCGACGGCAGCTTGCACTGCGCGTGCCTCGCCGGTGGAGAGGCGAGTGGGGGAGGCTCAGGGGAGTGGGGGGGGGGGGCTCAGGGGAGTGGGGGGGGGGGGCTCAGGGGAGTGGGGGGGGGCCGCATTGTCCACTCAACACCCCGGGCTTGGATCTCTCAAGTTGTCTCGCTCATCCACCGGCGCACGTTCTTTGCGTTCTCGGGAGCCAGTTGGTCGATCCCGATCCGCGTTACGTCGGCCTCTCGCGTATTTATTATTACTTGAGTTCGGGCGGTCGTGTTTTATAAGACACCGTTGCGTGTTGTGAATACACACTGAAGGAGTTTTGCTTTGAGTGAATCTGCGACGGGCGTGCGTGCTTGCCATGCCCCCCCCCCCCTTTGTTTCGCTAGTCGCGCCTCTGCTAGCAAAACCGTTCCTGTGCCGGGCGGCCACTCGCTCCCTCTTAGTCTCACGTACGGCTGATGTAGACGCAGGGCGACAACTACAATTACAATTTTCAGATAATAAGCGCGTCAGGAGTAAGCCGATTCGTGAATCATCATCGCTGCGATGAGGTCTCCGTAGTATTTGTGGATCGGGGAATTGCGTCGTTACACATCGTGTAATAACACGCTGGAGACGGCTTGTGGAATCGGTCCTTTTATTTCACTTCTTGCAGTTCACAAACACTCCCGTTGCTGGCAGGCAACGGGAAGCGGGCAGACAGCCACCAGAGACACACCGCCACGTGGCACCCGGAGCCCCACTCGCGCGTGGTCCCTCTCTCTCTTCGTTCCGTGTCTGACCCCGTGTCTCTCCTCTCTCACCTTATTTAATGCCTGGGTCACGTGGTACACTCCAGCCAATCCCCTCAATAGCCTGCGCCGAATGTTCCAGATTCCCCATCAACTCCCGGGACCACGCCCCTGACTTCTCTTCCCATTGGCTGAGGCCAAGACCAGCGAAACCAATCACCGAGCTGACATCCCGTGATCACGCCGAGGCCATGCTCCCAGGCTCTCCCCCCATTGGCTGTAAAGCGGGACCGGCAAAGCCGATCACCACGTGAATCCGACATAGGCTCTTATTACACATCGTACGGTGTGGTCTGGGTAGCCACAGTCGCAGACTACTGGAAAGTTTTTAATTTCCCATTTGGGGATGGTGGGGGAACGGTGGTGCAGCGGTTCGCATTCTGTGCTACGAACCCGGCGACCCGACTTCGATTCCCGCTCACGGCCACCAACAACATTGACGATTATCTGAATGTGTCCTGGGTCTCTCCTGTATGTATGTTGACCTTCATTGGCACGAGGTCACCTCGGTCTCAAATGAGTACCTGGTAAGATGTGTAAAGGTCGCCACTCGGGAGACAAAGGCGGCCGGGCGTGGTGCTGGCCACCCCACCTCCTCGTGTGCCGTGTCGCCCTTCATAGGTGCTGCTCGCCAACAGCACTTGACCCAACAGTGTGTTTAGGCTACCCGGGGGATCTTTGTCTTTGGTGGTGGTAGTGGCTATGCCGCTGCATGTGGCTGCTGCCTGTGATCCGGCACTGCTGCGAAGGCAATAGCAGCAGCTGTGAGGGTTGGTGGATCACCGCACAGACGGGTTGTGAAGCTCCCGTCAGTGCCCGTAGGTGTGGGCGTCGAGGAGGAGCCGTACTCCCTGGCTCTGCTAGGAGGAGGTGGTACAACCAAAGTGTGTGGACTAATCTCCATCTGTTCCGTCTGCACGGGATAGAGAGAGGTTGCTTCCCCGAGTCGTTCTATCTCTCTGCGTGTTCTAAGTCATAATTATTGTATTAATATCGCAGTGATATTTTCAGGCAGCTCGCATTCAAACGAGACGCGTGTTAACCGGGGCCGGCCGCCTTCCGTCTCGCTGCTGCGTTTAAAAACAAAGAGATTGAATGCAGTCTGCGGTGGTTTGGCAGTAGCGGGGCGATGTTGCTAAAATTATTATCTGGTGACTGCTGCTGCATTGGCAGTGGTTGTGCAAACAACAACAACTCTCAACGCATTCCGTGCAACAACATTGCCTGTTGTCCTTTCTCAAAGACGCCAGCGAGCGACGCTCTTCCACATACACAGGGGCGCCACGGTGGCGAAATGTCATCTCCCTCGCCTGGTATATAGTGGGTCGTGGGTTCCATTCTGACCCTCTTGCCTGCTATATATTTGGAGTTTAGCGTATTCTCTCTCTCTTTACTCATGCTCGTGTGGATTTGTCTCCGGGTCCTCCAGGGTTTCCCTTCACATGAAGAATCAACATCACGCGTTTAGAGTATTTTGGCTGCTATTCATTTCCACACCAAGGTGATGATAAGCCAGTTTCGTTGAGTATATCATTTGTGGCCAGGTCGCTTCTGAAAAGAGAGCTACAGAACTCAGTGGGATTTACCTGGTAAATAAAATGTATTTTAATATTCAGCTCTGCCGGTGATATTGTCCCGAGAACTTTATATCGCACACTTCCAGTTGCTATAACCAATTATTGACATGGCTGGCGAAGTCACATCACTCGCTGTCTTCCCTGCCTCTTTGTAGAAACATTTTATTGTCAAGGCCCACGTCAACCACGGAATGCGTCGAGTTTGTTATCTTCTTCCACTCTGCACGTGACGCCATGCACCACGTGTGCAGAGACCATGTGACGTCATGTGCGACGTGTGCAGAGACGTACTGACGCCATGTGCCACGTGTGCAGCAGAGATGAAGTGACATCACTTGGCGATGGGAAAAATGTCACAACGTCCTGTGCACTTAACGCCAAAAAACGTGCATCTCCCGTTTCCTGCTCTCTGTTGTTGCTGATGCAGGCAGGCAGTGACGAGAAGGAAACTGGCACTATTTGGACACACACGTACGATGGACAACATCAGGGAAATTTAAAGTGGTGTTTGTTGTTCGGTAAAAATGGAAAGATCCAGAAGGAGTGGAAGACCTAACAGAGATGACTTGAAGACATTAAGAGATTGGTGCCAGAAAGATGTGGCCACTACTTCAGCAGATTGGCACTACAAGATAGAGAGGAAAGTGAAAACAAATGTGAAGTCGACACTTACTACGGGCTGCATACCCATGGATTGTGATGATTATTATTGTTGCTATACTATGCACGTTTACCCAAGACTTTTAAAAAGGGTTCTGCAACATGTTTTGCACTAGGGGAGCGATGTTACTGCTCGGTGTGAATTCCAATTGAGAGGTTTGCAGGTACAGTTTTTTTCTCAGCGTTTGTTGGGATGTAATTTGGCCAATACCAATCACATTCTGTGTGTGTGCGGGTGTGGGTTTAGCTATGGCACTGTCGGGGGGCACAGCTGGTGCATTTGCCAGATCTTTGGTCGGTAAACCCATCGCACCTGCTGGGTCTGTCCCGTGGCCTTCCAGCAGCGAGCCTTCGGCACTTCACGTGACAGCCTCAAAATGCACCTGGCCTGGCACAGATGCCGTGGTGACGTCACCGTCACTTAGTGGCGAATGGCGGGTACGGGTCTGGGTGCGGGTTTGGGTTCAGCAATGGGAGGAGGAAGCCCACGCAGACCAGGGGGAGAAAGAACATCGTGAATCATCACAGGCGCTCGAGTCGGGAACGGATTGCGGCCCCCTTCTTGCTGCGAGGTGCGAGTCTCAGGGCTGCGTCGCCATCACCCTGCCGCCCCCGTTCCCCTGCGCGTACCTCTTCCTCTCATCTCACTCGCCTCTCCCCAACAGCGGTCTGATCTGTCTTTGTCATCCGGCACTGTCACAGCGTCCGTACGCTTGACTGCCAACCTTGACCCTGACTGCCAAACTTGACCCTGACCGTCAACCTTGACTCTAACCGCTAACCCTGACCGCTAACCTTGACCACCAACCCTGACCCTGACCGCCAACCCTGACCCTAACTGCCAACCCTGACCGCCAAACCTGACCGCTAACCCTGACCGCCAACCCTGACCACCAACCCTGACCCTGACCGCCAAACCTGACCGCTAACCCTGATCGCAAACCCTGACCCTGACCGCCAACCCTGACCGCTAACCCTGATCGCAAACCCTGACCCTGACCGAGCCTGTGGATCGTTGCCGGTCTGGATGACTGCACCACCGCCACCGTGCTCAGTGACGCGTGTCGGAGGCGATGAGACCGCGCGGGCCTCTGCCTCGCGGACAGCGAAGGGCTGTAAGTGAAACGAAACATCCATTGCTGTGCTGCGCGCTCCTATGCTGCAGTTTGGTTCATATCGGACTGTCTTAACCAATAGCGTAAGTCGAGTAACTCGCATAAGGAGGAGGGGGAGGAGGTGCCTTGCCGTGGAAGCGTAACGCGACCCGAGTTCGATTCCCGCTCACGGCCAACACCGGTGACGATTATTTTAACCGGTCCTAGGCCTCCCCTAGATCGACTCAGCCTCAAACGAGTAACTGGTGTGCTGTGTGAACATCGCCACTGGGGGGACAAAGGCGGTCGGGCGTGGTAAATCCAAGTCCCGGGCGAAGCCGGGCAGTCAAGCTAGTACATATATATCATAGTCTATATACAGTATATCATACTCTATATACAGTATATAATAGTCTATATACAGTATCCAATTAAAGCTTTCGTGACTGCAGGGATTCATCTTCTTGGTGCTTTCGGTAAAGTCACGTAGAAGGGAAATAATAAAATAATAAAAATAAAACATAATAAAATAATTCTCACGACGTTTCGGCCACAACGCAAGCAGCCGTCCTCACGTGAAGAAGAGGTCTGTCTTTCCCTGCTACGTGACTTTACCGAAAGAATCAAGAAGATATATACAGTATATGACAGTCTCTGGGGTGCGACCGTGCGAAAAGACATGAAATATCGTGGCCCCACTCTAACCGATTTGCGCGCCCCTCCTGAGCTCACGATGTAGCCACTGCGCACGTCGACCTCGACCCCCAAACGCAGTCGCCTCGTACTCCTCGCACGAGGCGCATTCTCACGTGGGCGATAGCCGCCCCCTCGTGGCTGCACACTGCAATTAACAAATCTGGGTCGTGGGAGCAGTCTTGTTGTTGTGCTCCTACAACGCGGTATTCGTTGCGTTCCTGAAGAACACCGCGTCAAATCGTGTTATTATAAATAACAGATAATATTCGGCTGCGTCGGGTGGAGGAGGGGACCTACGACACAACATCGAATCTAACTCGAACGTCAATTGTGAAGAATGTTCGGTTTGCTCTTCTCGAGCAAAGCCGGGCGTTCTATAGCCACAGCGGCCTTCATTTGTGGCGTTATGTTTCTCTGTCCCGGAAATCGGTTGAAGTTTAGTGTATGTGTGTTCTTTCCAAGTTGAGCCACAACTTCTCGAGGAAGAGTTGTGTGTGTGTAGCTTCAGCACGGTATACGTGCCCGCGAGGGAGAGTGCGTGTACCGATGGCTACATTGTGTGTGTTCAATACATCGTAGCTCAATATTGGTGTGTATAATAATACTACACATCCCACAAGCTCTTTCATTTAAGCCACTTCAGTAATTTATACTCGTCGCGGGTGTGTGTTGAACTTCTTTCGCACTGTACGTAGCCAACCCCGCTAATCGGAGGTGCCGGGGTTGGAGTCAGGACAACGGACGTCCAGCAACAAACAGCACTTTTAAAATAGTAACAATGATAATCATATTCTTGGTTCTTTCGGTAAAGTCACGTAGAAGGGAAATAATAAAATAATAAAAATATAAAACAATACAATTCTCACGACGTTTCGACTGCAACACAAGCAATCATCATCAGAAACCGCCACTTTTTTCAAATTTGTTTTGCTGTGGATTTCACACCTAAAGATGATTGCTTGTGTTGCAGTCGAAACGCCGTGAGAATTTTATTGTTTTATATTTTAAAAATTTTGTTATTTCCCTTCTACGTGACTTTACCGAAAGAACCAAGAATATGAATCCCTGCAGTCACGAAAGTTTAAATCGAAATTTAATGATAAACATTGTTTACCTCTTTATCCACGAGAGTCACACTGATTCGTGGAACTCATTCTCAGGAGGGCCTTGCTCGCTGATTGGGTGTTTTATATTTATTTTAAGATGCTTTGAGACAATTCAGGGCGGGGTGTGCTTGATTCTAATCTAATAAAAGCTGTTTCATTTTTACCACTTATGGACCCACTCATCTATGTAGCTTTTCTCCTAAGCGACCTATCACAAATGATAGGTCAGTTAAGCGGCTTATCATTATCATCATCGTGCAGAAATGCATAGCAACAGCCAAATAGTGGAAACGCGTGACGATGTTGATTCTAAATGTGGAGGGAAAAACTGGAGGACCCGGGGAAAAATCCATGCGACCACGGGGAGAGAGACACACGCAACCCCAAGATATACAGCAGCAGGCGTCAGGGTCGGGATCGAACCCACGACGTCCTGTATACCAGGCGACGTAGTTAACATCTCCTAGCCACCGTGGGGCCCAAGTCACGCAGGAAGAACCCGGAATAATCTGAGAAAACCCCCCAGAACCGCGCGAGGGAGCAACACTCCATCCCCGTAGAGATGTAAACAGAGTGGGCGATTAGTCCACTTGCTGTACGGTCTCCTCCGGCCCGGCGAGGAGAAGGCAGTACACCTCGTCGAGACCCACCCAAGGGGAAGGGAAGTTTCAAATCCCATCTGTGTGTGATCCACCAACCTTCGTGATGGACTGCTCCCTGAACCACAGCGCTGTGGATGGATCTCTCCAGGCCGAATGATGCTTATCTTGCGATATATATTATTGGTGCCGTGGTGCAGAGATGTTAACTGCCTGGCCTGGTATACAGGACGTCGTGGTTTCGATCCCAACCTTGACGATGCCTGCTGTATATTTGGAGTTCGTGTGTATGTGTGTCTCTCTCTCCCCGTGGTCGCGTGGATTATTTCCAAGTCCTCCGGTTTTCCCTCCACATTTCGCATCAACATCACGCTGCTGCTATGAATGTACAAGTGGTGGTGATGAGCCACTTGGTGGAGCTATCATTTGTGGCCAGACATTTCGGCAAAAGAGCGACATTGCGGCTCAGTAGTTTTGTTTTAGTATATTTTATTATTTATTTATTACGCTTGTTTTCCCAGAAGAGCTTCACCAAGTCCCAACGCTTTCAATAACAGCTACCTCGCTCGATTAAAGAGTCAGAATATATACGTAAAAATAATTCAGAATCTGAATATTTATTCTGGAGGAATCTGATGAGCTATAAAGCTAATTTTCACAGATGTCCAGTAGGGGCACGGGGTCAGAACGTTACAACAACAAACAAAACAACAACTCTATAGGAGTGCAAAGTATAGGAAAGGTAAACAAATCCCTAAAACATACAAATTCAAGTCTTTTAAAGAAATGACCCAGTCACAAATGATAACTCAACGAAGTCTCGGCTTATCATTATCATCATCACGTGGACATTTATAGCGGGAGGCAAATCCTCTAAACGCGTGACGTCGTTTCTTAATGTCGAGGGAAAGACCGCAGGACCTGCAGAGAAATGAAATCCACTCTCCCCATGGCCGCAGGGCCCGAGATGCCACCGCTGGTTCATTCGGTGGCCGCTTTCGCCACGTGCCCAACCTCCCCGAGGTGCCACCGCTGGCGGGAGCAGCGGCGCACCACCAGCCTCAGGCCCTGCTCATCGTCGGGGCTCTCCGTCACCTCCAGGCAGTTGCCGCTCTCCGTGTTCCGAATCTCTCCGTCCTGCGGGTGCCGTCGGTGGGTGCGTGGGTGGGCGGGTGAGTGAGTGAGTGGGTGAGTGAGTGAGTGGGTGAGTGGGTGAGTGAGTGGGTGGGTGGGTGGGTGAGTCAGTGAGTGGGTGGGTGGGTGGGTGGGTGAGTGAGTGAGTGAGTGGGTGAGTGAGTGGGTGAGTGAGTGGGTGGGTGAGTAGGTGGATAGGTCGGTGGATGGACAGATGGATGGGTGGGTCAGTTGGTTGACGGGTGGTTAGGGGATATAAAAAAAGGAAAAATCATGCACACGCGTGGGTTATGTGACACTTTCCACTGAGGCGAGTTTGTCCTGGGAAGTATGGCACTTAATTAATTATGTATACGTCTTGTTTACCCAGGAAAGCCTCACTGAGTCTCAACACGTTTTCTTAGCAGGGTCTTCCTAACCTGCTGGTCATTTCTCAGCATTGGGGATGTGGTGTTGGCCAATAGCAGTTCCACTGTGGATGTGGGTTTAGCTATGGGAGATGGAAACCGAAAAACACGGAGGAAACCTACGCAGAAGAGGGGAAGATTACACACTCCACACACACACTCCCACACACACACACTTCACACACACACTCAAAACACACACTGCACACACACACTCCACACACACAAAGACAAAAATCCCCCTTATAACTTTAACAGACTGGGACAAGAGCTGTTAGCGAGCACCTATGAAGGCCGGCACGGCACACGAGGGGGTGAGTGGCCAGCACCACGCTCGGCCGTCTTTGTCTCCCCAGTGGCGATGTTTGACACACCGCACCAAGTACTCATTTGAGGCCGGAATCGACCGAAGGGAAGCCCAGTGGCAGTTCACATAGGCGTCGCCGATGTTCGCCGTGAGCGGGAATCGAACTTATGTTTCCAGGTTTGTAGCGCAGAGCGGCAACCACTACGCCAGCACTCCCCAGCACCACCAGCACCACCACCAGCACGGTCACCTGAGTGAATTTCCAGTGCATCCTGCGTCTCTGCTGCAGAGCGAGCGAGCAGGCGATGAGGGCCGGGCCACCGCTCTCCCTCCCATCCACCTCCTCCTCCACCTCCTCCACCTCCACCAGGCAGCGTCTCTTCGGCCTCCACAGGTCCAGGCTCCAGTCTCCAATGAGCAGCTCGGACGTGGCCGTCAGGCACACGCGCTGCGCCGCACGCGACACATCCACCGTCGCGTCGTCGTTGTGAGATGTCAACTAAACTATCTTGAATTTTACCAAATGATAGCTCAAGGAAGTGGCTTATCGCCATCGTGTGGACATTCACAGCAGCAGCCACATACTCTAAACGCGTGGTGGTGTTCATTCTAAATGTAGAGGGGGAAAGCGGAGGACCCGGAGAAAAATCCACACGACCACGAGGAGAGAGACACACGCAGACTCCAAATATACAGCAGCAGGCGTCAGGATCGAACCCACGAGCTCCTGCATACCACGCGAGGTAGTTAACATCTCCTAGCCACCGTGACTCGGGACATCTATCGTGAGATCTATCGTGAGATCCATCGTGAGATCGTGAGATTTAAGATGAGATTTATCGTGTGATGTGAGATCAATCGCGAGATCAATCGTGACCCCTCTTCGCCATCCCGTTAGAGAGAGACGCAGAGGGCGAACCAGGCGCGTTTCCTGTCAGGCCGAGTTGGCGAACGCTCTGCCCACCCAGAGCCTCACCTGCGTGGAGTAAATGTGGCACGGGTAGAGGATGGGCCGCTTCTTCTCGGGAGAGCCTTGGTCCAAACACAGATCTTCTCTCACTTCGTTTTTCATCTGCCGAGGACAGCAGAGGTGAAGGTGGACGGCGCAGAGGTGGTGCAACTTTATGCCTGGAGGTCTCCCCCTGTTCTGCAGTGAGTCGGTGGTGAATGTGTGAGTATGTGAGCGAATGGCTGGGTGAGTGGGCAGTCGGAGGCAGTCGCCCTCCAGCAACAACGGAGGGCAGATGAGCGACGCTCACAACAACGGGAGGAGGGGTGGGGCTGATTGGGGAGGGGCTGGGTGGGGAGGGTGGGGAGGGGCTGGGTGGGGAGAGTGGGGAGGGGCTGGGTGGGGAGAGTGGGGAGGGGCTGGGTGGGGGGTGGGAGGGGTGGGGCTGGGTGGGGAGGGGCTGGTCACCCCGTGGTGCCCTTATAAAACTCAACGTTTAACCTACTCACGCCGGCTTGTGCCCGCCCTCACAGTCGGCCATATTTTTGGAATACACCACGCCGCCGTTGACCTTGGCCATTGACCGAGCAACCCAACGTTCCTACCAGCTCCCTCCGCAGGAGGAATGTGTTGTAGTCTGTGCCCTCATTCGATGGGAGCGCGACATGTGCCGCAGAAAATCATATTTTATTAGAAATTATTTGAAATAAAGGTAAGCGTAAACATTTAGTAAGCGACATTTTCCTCAACTATTTTTTACTGTTGTTAGCATATCGGATGACGTAGATTTAAAAGGACGCCGTTCATTTTCATTGATGACAAACTCAATGTTCTGACGGGACGACTGCATGACGAGCGCCATGTTGTTTTACTTTTGTTTAAGCTTAAATATTAGTTTGACTGTTCTTTTTAGGTGTAATATACCTCACTTACAACGAGTGAACGACTTGTTACCAATGCAAAAAATTGCAAAGAGCAGCCAACAAATGAATTGCAATAAATAAATAAATACATATGTAATTAGCTTTTTGTTTCTAAAATACAAAATTTGTTAAAATTGCTGCATGTAAAAACAAGTTACCATAAAGCACTTAGCGCCTCATTGCATTTTTCCTTTCTTAGTAGTCTCTGTCTTATATTCCTGCTTGGTCTAGCTGTTCAGGGAATGTTATTGGCTTCTTGCTTTGTGTATTTATTATTTAAATCATATACTCATATGTAATTTCTTACATTGAAATTTTACGATATCTTTGAGAATTTAGTACGGTTTTAATTTGTAAATAAAAACATATATGTGTCAGATGGATATAAAAGAAAGCATGAGTCAGAACACGAGAAGAGGAATACACAATACACAAGGATGAAGCATTGAAGGAGATATAAGGGATATTTTCTGAAGTTCATGAACAACGATGTGAAGAATGGAATTATCACTATTAATGATAAAGCTGGATCATGATAATAATGAACCTCATGAAAATGTTGTTCTTGTTGCAGACGATCATTCGCATATAGAGGGTAGATCAAGTGAAGAACAGCTCATGCTCTCCTTGGAACCAGATGATGTGGTGGAAAAAAATCAGACTCCAAGGCAAACATCATCTGCTGCCTTTACGAGTTGGCTTGCCAGTGATCCTGCACTCTGGACAGAAGTCACCGCAGATTTTGAGTCAGAAAAAGGCGAAATACACATGCCAGATTGAATGATCGATTCAGTTTCCTTGTAGATGGATCACTGTTCACAGAGGAAATTGTTGTGCGGGCCAATGCATTGGTTGCCACATATCCAGCAGATCTTACAACATCATCCACTGATTAATTCCTGTTGTTAGTGCACTTGTATGCAGAGAAAAAAACAGTGGCAGATTTGCTCAAATCTGAAATATCTGACAAGCTGATCAGCAGTTTTACGAATGTTTACATTTCTCTCAGGATGTATCTTGCCATCTTGAGAATAAATTGTGAATGGGAGCGTTCTTTTTCGAAGATAAATCAGATTTTAAAAATGCCGCCGATTAACCATAGGACAACAACACTTGCCGTCCCTTGCACTACTTTCTATTGAGAATGAGATTGTGCGAAAAACACCATTTGAAAAACTTTATTAGCTAATTTTTCAATGAACAAAAATCTTGAAAAGTTCACCTCCAGTGTTAATTTCTCTCACCTTATGAGAATAGGGTTTCCCCTTTCTGGCAACAAAAGAGTTGTGTTAAGATGTTAAAACACCAAACTGAAACCTTTTACAAGGAATCATGTCTGCATTAACCATGATACTTGTGGTCAGAATGCAAACAAAGACGTACTCTGATAATATATGCATTGTCTTTGAAACTGATTGGTCCACACCAGTGACAGCTTTCTTTTGAGCCGAGTCTCTAAACGGTGTTAGACCAGACGCCATTTTCTTGCTGTGGTTATTCCACCTGATGAAGATTGCTTGTGTTGCGATCGAAACGTCGTGATTTGTTTAATTTTATTTTACCCACGTGACTTTACCGAAAGAACCAAAGAGTGCATGATTCCTTGTAAAAGGTTTCAGTTTGGTGTTTTAACATCTTAACACCTGTTTGTTGCCACAAAAAAGGGGAAAACCTATTATCATATTTTGGTACTGGCAAAGGAGGTCCCATGATGTAGATTCTCTCACCTTATAAAAAACCGATTGACATGACTGCCTCTCTTTATACACTGTGCCAATACTTGCTATGTACAGTATAATAATATTTATTCAAGAAGATATCTTTGGTACATTATTTATCAAACAAACAAAAAAGAACATGGTAAAAAAAAATTCCGTAGGCCCAAGGCACAGTGCCTATTGGATAAGAGGTCCTTGCAGTACTCCGTACCGCATACTCACCACGCCGTACCGCATACTCACCACGCCGTACCGCATACTCACCACGCCGTACCGCATACTCACCACGCCGTACCGCATACTCACCACGCCGTACCGCATACTCACCACGCCGTACCGCATACTCACCACGCCGTACCGCATACTCACCACGCCGTACCGCATACTCACCACGCCGTACTGCATACTCACCACGCCGTACTGCATACTCACCACGCCGTACTGCATACTCACCACGCCGTACTGCATACTCACCACGCCGTACTGCATACTCACCACGCCGTACTGCATACTCACCACGCCGTACTGCATACTCACCACGCCGTACTGCATACTCACCACGCCGTACTGCATACTCACCACGCCGTACTGCATACTCACCACGCCGTACTGCATACTCACCACGCCGTACTGCATACTCACCACGCCGTACTGCATACTCACCACGCCGTACTGCACGATGTCGTCGTGACGTGGCAGTGAGGGCAGCACGTTCTCCAGGTACCACGCGAAGCTCTTGCAGTTGAGCCGTTTGCGCAGAGCCACGCGCTCCGAGATGTCGCCGATGTCGATCCCAGAGCCCTGCGCGGTGACACCAACGAGACGAGAGTTGCACACCCAGTGAATGGGCCAACGTTGCACGAACTTTGAGCCAACGTTGCACCAACGTTCGGCCAAGGTTCTATGTTCACTGGGAAGTAATCGGGCGGTGACGCTAGGGTCCAGCGGTGGCGCATTCGCCGCTCGTAGTTGCCGAGGTTCGACTCCGGCCGGTCGCCCTGGTTAACACTGCCGCCGTGACCCTCACTAGGACAAGCGGATTGAGAAACGAACGAATATCTACATCAGGTCAATATGAATATGCATTGCGTCTACATGATTATGCATTACGTCTACATGAATATACATTACGTCTACATGAATATGCATTACATCTACATGAATATGCATTACGTCTACATGAATATGCATTACGTCTACATGAATATGCATTAAATCTACATGGATATGCATTACGTCAACATGCATATGCATTACATCTACATGAATATACATTACGTCTACATGAATATGCATTACGTCTACATGATTACGCATTACGTCTACACGAATATGCATTACGTCTACATGAATATGCATTACATCTACATGAATATGCATTACGTCTACATGAATATGCATTACATCTACATGAATATGCATGCGTGTGCTGCACGTACGTTCATGGGCACATTCCAGGCCATGTACACGTTCCTCTTGAAGTCGTCCATCCAGATCTCGGCCACACGCAGCGCGTTCCTGCGCATGTGGATGCTCAGGTCCGGGGCGTACGGCTTGAAGTAGCGCTCGATGTGAGCCAAGCGCGAGCAGGGCAGCACCTCCACACTGCCCCCGCACTGCCACACCTGGACACGTTGGGGGGGGGGAGGTGGTTGAGGGGGGTCGTCACCGATAGCCCAGCCACTGTGACTGTCCACTCTGAACAGGGCAGCCAGATGCACGTATTTGTGTTGAACTTGTCGTTTTACTTTTCGCGCACCTTCGATTATCACGGTTGCGAAAGAAGTTCAACATACGTACAACACAAGCCAAAGATCCCCCGTATTGTCTTTGCAGACTTTTGGGGCAAGTGCTGTTAACGAGCTCATATGAAGGCTGGCACAGCATACCAGGGGTTGGGTGGTCAGCATCGCGCCCGGCCGCTTTTATCTCCCCAATGGCGAAGTTTGCACACCACACCAGGTACGCATTTAATGCTGAGTCGACCTAGTGCCAATGAAGGTCAACATACATACAGGAGAGACCCAGGACCCATTCAGATAATCGTCAATGTTGTTGGTGGCCGTGAACGGGAATCGAAGTCGGGTCGCCGAGTTCGGACAGAATGCGAACGGCTGCACCACCGTTCCCCCACCATCACCAAATGGAAAATTAAAAACGTTCCAGTAGTGTGCGACTGTGGTTACCCAGACCACACCGTACGATGTATAACGACGCAATTCCCCGATCCACAAATACGAAGGAGACATCATCTGGGTGTGACCACCTGAATATTGAAATTGTAGTTGTCACTCTGCATCTACATCAGTCGACCTAGGGGAGGCCCAGGACCGGTTCAGATAATTGTCACTGGTGTTGGCCGTGAGCGGTAATCGAATGCGAGTCGCCGGTTCCGTAGCGCAGCGTGATAACCACGACACCACCGCTCCCACAACATTTTTACATCATACATGCACATTATTCGGCACCGTGCATACTCAACGGTACTAATCGGAGGTGCGGGGGAAGGACAACAAACTAAAACACAAACAGGAGTTCTAAAGAAATGAGTCTGTCAATCTAGATGATGTAAAAGTGCGCAGCTCCAGTGGCTTCCGAATGTCGGAAGGGAAGAGCGTTCCAGACGGCCGGAGGAGCGCGCGACAAGATGGCCGTCGTTGTTCGATGGCCAGCCAAAACCCGCTTCTGCTACTCGCTAGTAACAGCACTTGCCCCAACAGTCTGTTAAGGCTACACGGAGAATATTTGTCTCTGTGTCTCTGCGTCCTCACCCTGAGGCCCAGCTCCACGTTCTCCCCTCCGTACACCTGCATGCCTTCATCCAGAAAGCCGATCTCCTCCAGGTAGCTCTTGCTGGCCGCCATGCAGCCCATCACAATCGGGCTCCTATCCACAAAAAACAACACACAACAGACAAAGATCCCTCCCACGTATAGCCTTGATCAGACTGCTGGGGGAAGGGCTGTTATAGTGAGTAGCGGTACCTATGAAGGTCGGCAGCCACACACACTAACTTACGCACACACACAAAGACAAAGACCCCCGTACAGCATTAACAGACCGTAGGGGGAAGTGCTGTTAACGAGCACCTATAAAGGCCGGCACAGCACACGAGTGGGTGGGTGGCCAACACCACGCCCGGCCGCCTTTGCCTCCCCAGTGGCGATGTTTACACACCGCACCAGTTACTCATTTGAGGCTGAGTCGACCTAGGGGAGGCCCAGGACCGGTTCAGATAATCGTCACTGGTGTTGGCCGTGAGCGGGAATCGACCGCTCCCCACACACACAGCTGGGATTCACACTCGCTCTCGTGTTTAACTATCCCACCTATCAACCAAGAACTCAACAATGTTTTCTCGCTGCTGACTCAGGTCGTGATCCCATCCTTTATGGGATCGCGCTGCTGCTGCTGCTGTCACCATCCTAGAATTTCACCCAGATCTAGAAGAACGCCACTTGTGAATAAGTCAACAACGGCGGACTTCCAGAATAATAATAATAAAAGACCTCCTCGTTTGAGACCACATCATCATCACACCACCTCCTTCTGGCTTTGACATTTCCTCGTCCAGTAAGACACTGGAGGAAGCATCGACCGCATCATGCAGCCCATTACAGTGGAGCTCCTGCCGCGGGGCAGTGCGAGTATGTGGGGTGACATGGTGGTGCGGTGGAAGTGGGCTCAGTAGCATCGTTATCAGTCCAGGGGATATGTGGGCATAGCAGCTCTACATTATCAGCTCGGGGGGGGGAGGGGGTGCTGTGATCTGTTCGGATATTGCCCCAATATTTGATTTGTCTCTCGCACAGTAACGCAACCTCGAGGCTATCACGGTACACACACCACGGCTGCTCCTCCCGCGCCCCTAATCCACATCGTCGTGACGCGCTCACGGTCTCGAACATTTCACGCTGTAGGGGGCGCTCCGCCTTCGAAAAAATGGCAGCCACTTCCAGCTCCGTAGTAGTGGTGTCTTTGCATTAGAATTGTAATGAAAATAATCGTTAATTAAGCGAATTAAATTGAAATAAAACGTGCAACACAAATTAAATGCATTTTCATAAAAAATATAAAAACGTAAATCCGCGTAAAAAACAAATCTCATCATATTCTTGGTTCTTTCGGTAAAGTCACGTGGAAGGGAAATAAGAAAGTAATAAAAATTTATTTTTATATTTTTATTACTTTATTATTTCCCTTCTACGTGACTTTTCTTGGTTCAATTTCGATTTAAAGCTTTCGTGACTGCAGGGATTCATCTTCTTGGTTCTTTCGGTAAAGTCACGTAGAAGGGAAGTAATAAAATAATAAAAATAAAACATAATAAAACAATTCTCACGACGTTTCGGCCACAACGCAAGCAGCCGTCCTCAGGTGAAAACCAGGTCCGTCGAGGCGACAGAGTCTGAATGAAACAGCACACGAGCTTGGAGCATATATATAAGCTGGGCGCATTGACAAAGGAATTTGCATATCAAAAGGAATTTAGCATATTTATGGGAAATGCAGGAATGTGATTAGTACTGCATATGCATGTGCATTATGCAGGATTAACAGCATCAAAGGGAGCTGCAATTACTGCTGCTGCTGCAGTTGCTGCTGCTGCAGTTTCTGCTGCTGCAGTTTCTGCTGCTGCTGCTGCAGTTGCTGCTGCTGCTGCAGTTGCTGCTGCTGCTGTTACTGCTGCTGCTGCACTTGCTGCTGCTGCTGCAGTTGCTGCCTTATCCATTTTAATATAACACTATGTATTATTCTACCCACCCTAATGTGTATCACACTGCTATATGTTTACTATACAATTACGACACCATACATTACTCTGCACACTGCACCATGCCAGTGAGTGGAACGCGGTCTGAAAGTCACCGTAAACGTGAACACAATCAGTTAAGATCCGAAATGGTTTATTACGTCCTTCCAATGATTGCTAAGCCAGAATCCATCTTCTCGGTTGAAATTGTCTCTGTGTTTGTATATGTGGATCGCCTCATGAACGAATCTCTCATGATAGCCAGATGGCTTGCAGAGAACCTCTGTCTTGGAGAAGTCAATATCATGTGAGCCCACTGAGTTGTAACAGTGATCTGCCACGGCTGAGGTGTTTGTCCTACCGTGTTTCAGGTCTGCCTTATGTTCACTGCAGCAGCAGCAGCAACTGCAGCAGCAGCAGAAACTGCAGCAGCAGCAACTGCAGCAGCAGCAGTAATTGCAGCTCCCTTTGATGCTGTTAATCCTGCATAATGCACATGCATATGCAGTACTAATCACATTCCTGCATTTCCCATAAATATGCTAAATTCCTTTTGATATGCAAATTCCTTTGTCAATGCGCCCAGCTTATATATATGCTCCAAGCTCGTGTGCTGTTTCATTCAGACTCTTTCGCCTCGACGGACCTGGTTTTCACCTGAGGACGGCTGCTTGCGTTGTGGCCGAAACGTCGTGAGAATTGTTTTATTATGTTTTATTTTTATTATTTTATTACCGAAAGAACCAAGAAGATTTTCTTGGTTCTTTCGGTAAAGTCACGTAGAAGGGAAATAATAAAGTAATACAAATATAAAACAAAAATATAAAACAATAAAAATGTTTTTTTAAAATTATTTCATTATTTCCCTTCTACGTGACTTTACCGAAAGAACCAAGAATATGAATCCCTGCAGTCACGAAAGCTTTAAATCAAAATCTCATCATGGTGACTGTCAAGGGGGGCCCCCAAATCGTAGCTTTGGCTACCACCTAATGGTCTGTTACTGCAACATGAGCCTCACCGGATGGTCCGTCACCGCCGTGTGAGCCTCACCGGATGGTCCGTCACCGCCGTGTGAGCCTCACCGGATGGTCCGTCACCGCCGTGTGAGCCTCACCGGATGGTCCGTCACCGCCGTGTGAGCCTCACCGGATGGGGGCGGTGGGGTCCCCCTTGCGCACCCAGTCGGCGGGCGGCTTGAGGTAGGCGCACCACAGCTCCCAGTTGAAGGCCTGCGCGTTGGCGATGTAGTGCTGCACGCGTAGCGTATCGTAGTGCGTGTTGTCGAATACCGGCGACAGCAGTAGGCGCCGGTTGGCCGCGAGGCGACCCAGGATCGGCTCGGCCCTGACGCGGTAACGGCAGCAGCAGCAGCGAGAAGAGATGCGTTACAATTCATTAATTCGTCATGCGTAGTCGGCGAAACGTGCAATCTCTTGCGACAGCATTCGATTCGCTATGAGCGGTAATTAAATACCACGCCCAAAAAATCTGGTAACAGGGTACCAATAAAAAATCCGGGGACATCTATTCCGGCCACAAATAATAGCTCAACGAAGTGGCTTATCACACGCTGATGTTTAACGGCAGCCAAATACTCTAAACGCGTGACGGCCATTCTAAATGTGGAGGGGAAAAAACTGGAGGAAAAGTCCACGTGAGTACGGGGAGAGAGAGAAAGAGACATGGGTGCGTCAGATTCGGAATTGAAGCCACGACCTCCTGTATATACAAGGCGAAGTAGTAAACATTTCCTTGCCACTGTGGCGCCCCCTCTGGATGGGTCGAACTCGGCAGCCAATGGAGACCTCCTCGTCAGCTGCTTGACACGCGGTCGGGGGGAAGTGGCACGGTGGTGGTAACGTCACAGCTGTCTGTCTGCGTGATGACGTCATCACGCATTCCACAGCCCTTGAGCCGGGTGCGTCGCGCTGTGACGTCATAATGCCTCCCCTACCTCACCCACCCCACCCTTCAGCATGACCCAGTGCTGGCTATAGCGATTGATGCAACTCGCGGTGCAAAGCGTCAGGGCACAGTGGACTCACCAGCTAGAGAGAGTTTGGGACTCAGCAGCTAGAGAGAGTTTGGGACTCACCATCCGACGGGGAACTCCACGTGGGCGTCCATGACGGCCACCACGGGCCCTGAAGCGGCCCGGATGCCGGTGACGCGCGACGCGCTGAGGCCCCTGCGGGTCACGTGACGGACGAGGCGGATGGACACGTGCTCGTACTTGCGCTGGAGCTGGGTGATGTTTTGCGTGAAGCCCTCCTGCAGGTCACCTTGATGGACGAGACGCAGAGACCCACACGGAACCCCTCTGGTCATTATCACCAGCGAGGGGTAATGCATACGATATCTCGGTGGGCTTTACCTGCCACACAATTACTCACCAACCCACTCACTCATCCACCCACCCACCCACCCAATTATTCACCCACTGACCCACTGACCCACTCACCCACCCACTCACCTCACCCACCCACCCACTGACCCACTCACCGACCCACTCACCCAATACCCACCCACCCACTCACCCACTCACCCACACAATTACTCACCAACCCACTCACTCACCCACTCACCCACACACTCAATACCCATCCACCCACTCACCCACACAATTACTCACCAACCCACTCACTCACCCACCCACTGACCCACTCACTAACCCACTCACTCACCCACCAACTCACCCGCACAATTACTCACCGACCCACTCACCCACCTCCCCAATACCCATCCACCCACTAACCCACAGAATTACTCACCAACCCACCCACTCACCCACCCACTCACCCACCCTCTCACCCACCTAATACCCACCCACCCAACTGCCCATTCACCGATCTACTCACCCACCTCCCCAATTCCCATCCACCCACTGGGGTTGCCACCAGTCCGGGAACAGCCATTCTGTGTTCAGGTGGCGGGAATTGATTTGTGCCGCCGAGAACTTATGCAAGGATTGCGTCGACCCTTGCTGCAGGAAACTCGCTGGGCTCACAGAGAGAGAGAGATCTGTGTCTGGGTTGTCTCTGCTGCGAAAGAGGTGGAGGAAGAGAAGGAGGTGGACGAGGAGGGGAAGGAGGTGGAGGAGGTTGAGCAGGAGTTCAAGTTCAAGTTCATTTATTAGGTATAGCCCTGTGAGCCATTCAGCTCTTGAATCGGGTGCAACCGCAACAAACAAAAAACAAAAACATGAACAAAAAACATCTTAAAGTGAATATGTGACTAAGTGCAAACAGAAAATCCAAGAAAAGACAGCAAAAATATTGCAGAAAAAACACCGTACACCAACGCTGTGTGCAAAAATCTCAGTGGGATGCAAGTCAAACAACAACAACAACCACAAGACAGCTTAGATTAAGGCCATCAGTTTAACTCTGTACTACAACAAACAAACATGGCTAAACCAATACACTTTTCGAAATCACCAAAATAAAGCCATGAAAGCAATGAAAAAGCAATCATAGGAACTGTGACGGAATTTTCACAATAAATGGCATAACATGTACTACCAAAACCCTGCAGCCATAGCTGGCTGCATGAGTCACTCCACAACAGCAGGAGCATCAATCGGAGTATTGTAATTTTTCAATGCACCTTTAAGATCAGCACACTAAATCAAAACACAGGTCATACTTTGTAGCGATCATCCGGAGCGAAACATTTTATTTTAGGTCACTGAATAGCACTGGCAGCTAAGGGTGTACAACTCCTCTAGAGCAGTTTTGAGTGAAGATCTCATAGGTAGTGACTCAAGTTTCAATTTATTGGCAACAGCATTCCAGACCCTGGGGGCATCAATAGCAAAGGCCCTTCCTCCAGTATATGTACGGCAATAGGGAATATTAAGCTGGTAAATGAGCGAAGACCTTAGGTCAAATTTCTTCTTTGAAACAGAGATGAGATCCAGCAGGTAATCTGCAGATTTTTTTGCAAGTACATCATGAATAAATAAGATCTGGTGCACAAGCCGTCGAACATTCAGAGATGTTAAGTTTGACCCAATGTAGAGATCACAGTGGTGAGTCCTATATGGGCAGTTCAATGCAAATCTTAAGGCCGAGTGATACATTGAGTCAAGCTTCTTCAGTACAGTACTTGGGGCTGATTTATACACAATGTCACAGTAATCAAGTAGAGGCAGTATGGTAGCTTGAATCAATTCCAAACGGAACATAGGGGGGAAGCAGTGCTTGTGTCGATATAGAAAACCAATTTTAATTTTTGGTTGAGTTGGAGGTTGACGTGGAGGAGAAGGAGGAGGTGGAGGAGGTGGAGAAGGTGAAGGAAGTGGAGGAGGAGGAGGTTGATGAGGAGGTGGCAGCCCCGCAGCTCTCACCGTAGTCGCTGCAGTCGTCGACGAGGATGACCTCGTTGAGGAGGTGGTGCGGCGTGTTGCGCACGGCGGAGGTGACGGCGCGCAGCAGGATGGAGACGGCCTCGTTGTAGAAGATCAGCACCAGGCTGAGCGCCGGGAGCTCCGACGGGTACCGCTTGGAGCTGCAGCTGGGGGGGGGGGGGCGGGAGAGGGGAAGTATGGTCAATTGACCCCTCCAGCGACTCCACGTGGTGAAGAATGGGAAATACCCCCCCCCCCCCAAGCAATCTGCGTGCTGGTGTCTGGCCACTTCGCTTCCTGCACGGCAACCTCGGGGTGCGTGGACGGCACCACGCCCGGCCGACTGTGTCTACACAGTGGCGACGTGCCCACACCTCACCAGGTACTCATTTGAGGTTGAGTCGACCTAGGGGGGGGGAGGCCCATGACGGCTTGAGATGATCGTCACCGCTGTTGGTGTTGGCCGTGAGCAGGAATCGAACTCGGCTCATAACCGGGCTTCGTAGCGCAGCGCGCTGACTGCCGCTACGCTACCGCTCCCTGCCACGCACTCGCTCACACAATCTCCCACCATCACAAACATTTCTCCAGAACATGCAAACTCCATACAGATGTAAAGTAGTAACTCGGCAGGAGACGACTTCACGGGTAGCACACTCTTTATTTTCACCAACTTGTAGTTACACGGATGACTAACACCCTACTTCGTTACACGGGTGACTAACACCCCACTTAGCTACTCGGGTGACTAACACCCACTTAGCTACACGGGTGACTAACACCCACTCAGCTACACGGGTGACCAACACCCACTCAGCTACACGGGTGACCAACACCCTCCTTAGCTACTCGGGTGACTAACACCCACTCAGCTATACTGACACGGGCTCTTACGCCCCGTAGCCTTCCGGGACACACCCAGCCGGGGTGCCCGTCTCGGCTCTGGGTACCACCGTCCCGACCCACACGGGCGTCGGACTACGGTCCCCCAGTCTCGGCTCCGAGCCGCACAGGGCCCCGGTCCTCACAAGGACGGTGGGACTAGGGGTCTCGGGCCACTACCTCCTCCACCCCGTCTTCGGTCTTCAACTGGTTAACACTGACCACGAGTGCTCTCGCGCGTCTCCCTTTATACCCCTCCTGCGGACGTCGCTGAGAGCACCCACTTATCTGACCAATCACTGCGCACTCGCTACGATCCTCTTTTCCCAGCTTGTGTCAGCGCGCCTTACCACCGGCGCGCGCGTCCATACCACGCCCACATCGCGTGCCCAACCCCGCGCCCCGTGATCCATCACTGTCGGCGCACGTCAATACCACCACTACACAGAGATGCGCCCGAGTCTAAACTAAACTATTTAAAAAAAAAATTTTTTACCAGGGTAAGGCCCACTGAGCTATGTAGCGCTTTTTCAGAAGCGACCTGGCCAGAAATGATAACTCAACAATGTGGCTCATCACGTGGACATTTATAGCAACTAAATACTCTGAACAAGTGACATTGATTCTAAATGTGGAGGGAAACAATCGGAAGACCTGGACAAAAATCCACGTGACCGCGGGGAGAGAGACACCGCAAACTCCAAATATACAAACACAGACATAATTTCAACCGTGATGATGGTTACAAACTGAGTAATCATTGGAAAGATGTGATTAACCATGCAAAAAAGATTTAACTACACTTAGTTGGCCAATCTTATTTGACAGATAACTATTACAGGTTTACCATGTTTAGTGGTTGTCTCCTTGTCACAGGTTGAGTGACAAACCGTACCTCTCCATAACAAAGTCTCACCCTCTTAAGACACACCTTACCATATGAATAAAAAGTGTGCTTTACTTGGCCCTCCCCCCCCTCTCCAACCATTATATAAACGGAGTGGTAGCTCCTGCAATCTCTCATTTACTTGATACAGCTGTCGTGGCTGTGACGGTTCCACCTGAAGACGGAAGCTTGTGTTGCCTCCGAAACGTCGTGATTTTTATTTTATTTTACTTTGATTAATTTTAATGTTTTACCTACGTGACTTTACCGAAAAAACCTAAGAATACAGCAGCAGGCGTAAGGGTCGGAATGGAACCCACGACCTCGTGCATACAAGGCGAGGTAGTTAACATCTCCGAGCCACCGCAGACGCGAACTCAGACGCTTCTCGCTGTGGGGGCGGGCGTCCCCGTTGCGTCCCCCACTCAGCAGCAGCAGCAGCGCTGCGGTGCTGGCTGAGCAAACAGCGAAGCGAACCCTTGACTCACACTCGGGGCCTCCGTCTGGAATGGCTCTCGCCAGACCCTTGAACTCTTCTTATTGGCGGTATGAGTGTGTCTGGAGGACTGAGGGTGAACAAACCTTGGGTATATTTTGGGAAAGAGACGCGTAGACCACATGCGCTCGTACGTACGATGAACTTCTTCGGCACCGTAGGTAGCCAATCGTGCTAAATCGGAGGTGCGGTGGAAGGTCAACAAACTAAACACAAACATAAGTTCGAAATAAATTAGTTTTCAATATAGATGATTTAAAATGCATAGCTCCCATTCGCTTCGTAATATCTGAGGGAAGAGCGTTCCAGACGGCCGCATCAGTCTCCCTCGAGCCTCATACGGCCCTCAGCCATTGGTGGACATTGCACATTACTGTGGGGTGGAGGCGAGTCTCTATCCGTAGGACCACCGCTGTTGACTTCCCTGGGGTAATTTAGCATCTCGCGGCGGATATGAGATGTCAACTACCTATCCTGCTACACCGGAGGTCGTGGGCTCGATCCCAACCCTGACGCCTGCTGCTGTATATTCCGAGTTTGCGTGCCTCTCTCTCTATTCCCGTCGTCTTGTGGATTTTTCTCCTGGTTCTCCGTTTATTTCCCTCCACATCTCGAATCAACGCCACGCGTTTTGATTGTTTCAGCTGCAATACATTTCCACACGGTGATGATGACAAGCCACTTCGTTGAGCTATCATTCGTGTTCGCCAGGTCGCTCCCGAGAAGAGAAAGAGTTCCGAAACTCAGTTGTGGGCCCTTACCTGGAGTTCTAATTGTATCCGCCCCGGAGGGAGGGATTATGTTGATGGGGCTGATTCATCCCCAAACCCTCCCCCCGCCCCTCCCCACCCCTCTCTCAACCAGGACTTGACCTCGCTGAGCCGCCACTCGGCCCGCCTGCCGGGGCCGAGGGGTTCGCCCGCGTGCTCCCGAGCGCCCGTCGACGTCACTTCACAGGCGGCGTTCGCTTTCCAACAACGCGGCCCCCCCGCTTCCCACAGAATTTGAAATTAAAGCTAACAACTACAGTATTTTCTATTATTTTATTTGTCCACCAGGTAAGGCCCACTGAGCTAATTGGTGTTTGCGTGTCTCTCTCTCTCCCCGTCGTCGCGTGGATTTTTCTCAGGGTCCTGCTCCGGGTTTTCCCCCTCCGCATCCAGAATCGACGCCACGCGTTTTGAGTGTTTCAGCTGCTCTCGATGTCCACGTGACAAGCCACTAACTTCGTCGAGCTATCATTTGTGATCGCCAGGTCGCTTCTGAAAAGAGCCAAGCAGCTCAGTGGGCCGCCTTACCTGGTAAAGCGAAGTTTGTAGTTTAGTTTACAAGCGGCCTACGCTTTCCAACACGCGGCCCCCTTTCCACGGAATATTTATTTTTGTATTTGACCAGGTAGGGCCCACTGAGCTATTTAGTTATTTTTCACGACCTCCTGTGTACCAGGCGAGGCAGTTGACATCTCGACACCGCCCGCGGCACACAAATGCGCAGTTCGCGACACCCACGTGACGCTCCAAAGGGTGACGCGCGGCAATGGCTTCGGGACGACGATGATGGTGGCGATGATGATGGTGGTGGTGGTGATGACGATGATGGTGGTGATGATGACGATGGTGGTTGTGATGGTGGTGACGATGATGGTGGCGATGGTGGTGGTGATGATGACGATGATGATGACGATGGTGGTGGCGATGATGATGGTGATGACGATGATGATGACGATGGTGGTGGCGATGATGATGGTGATGACGATGATGATGACGATGATGGTGGCGATGATGATGGTGATGACGATGATGGTGGCGATGATGATGGTGATGATGACGATTATGGTGGTTGTGATGGTGGTGACGATCATGGCGATGATGACGATAGTGGTGACGATGATGACGGTGATTACGGTGATGGCGGTGATGAGCGAGGGTGACTCCGAGTCGCATACTCGGGAGGGTGGTTGATGACGATGATGATGACGATGATGATGACGACGCTAATGATGACGATGGTGGTGGCGACGATAATGGCGATGATGAATGAGTGACTCCCGAGTTGCATACCTGGGTGGGGCGGTTGATGATAATGGGGATGACGGCGATGCTGATGATGCTGATGACAATAACGATGATGATGATGCTGATGAAGACGCTGATGACACGATGATGATGTTGACTATGATGTTGAAGATGATTATGATGATGGTAATTATGATGACGCTGACGGTGATGATGACGGTGATGATGACAGCGATGATGATGACGACGCTGAGCGGGAGTGCGACTCCGAGTGGCGTACCCGGGAGGGCGGTTGTCAGGCACGTCGCGGTCGAGGGGCAGCCGGTCGCTCAGGTAGGCGTTGTAGCCGTAGGTGAGGAAGCGCGCGCACGCAGCGCGCTTCTGCCGCGCCGGGAGGTCCTTGCCCCACTCCTTGAAGAGGATCTCGGCTGGCCTGGCCACCAGCTCATTCCCAGGGCACACGGCGTCCGCGGCCTCCACCGTTCCCGCCGCCTCCGAATTGTTCCTGGCTGTTGCTGTTGTTGTTGGAATAAAGTAAAGCGTAAAACGCGCGCGCGCACACACACAGGTTCAGCAGACACCCCGTGAAGATTAGACTATAAAAAATACTAAAATCTGTTTTTATTTTTCCAGGTAAGGGCCGACTGAGCTGTGTAGTTGTGTTTTTTTTCAGAAGGGATCTGGCGATCACAAATTATAGCTCAGCAAAGTGGCTCATCATCATCATCATCGTCGTCGAATGGAAAGTTATAGCAGCACGCGCGATGTCGATTCTAAATGTGGAGGGAAAATCGGAGGACCCGGAGAAAAATCTACGCGACCACGGGGGAAGAGAGGGAGACACGGAAACTCCACATACACAGCAGCAGGCATTGTCAGGGTCGGGATCGTAGCCACGACTTCCTGCATACCAGGCGAGGTCGTCAACATCTCTGACGCTGTCGCTGCCCGACAACGACAGCAACCTGGGTTCGATTCCCGTCTGCGTGAAGTTTGTATCTTTGAAAAAAGAGTGTCATATCTCATCGGATATCTCGAGTGAAAATGTATATTGTGATTGTGTATGTTCTCCCCCTGCTCTGCAGAGTGAGTGACTCACTGTTGAGTTTGTATGATCTGACCCTGTTCTGTAAAGCGAGTGAGTATTAGAGTGAGTGTGGGTGAGTAAGTGTGGATACTGGATGCTCTCCCCCTCTTCTGCGTGGGTTTCCTCCGTATTCTCCGATTTCCCCCTCCCATAACTAAACCCACACCTACAGTGGAACTGCTATTGGCCAAACCCACGCCCCCGATGCTGAAACATCCCCGTAAAATCACTTAGAATCAGAATATGTATGCATACTGGATGACTCTGATGAGCTATACATAAATTGTTCACAGATGTCCAGTCGGAGTGGGTCAGAACGTTACAACAACAAAGAATACAAACCCAAGGACAGGAGTGCAAGTTATATAAAAGGTAAACAAATCACAAAAACGAACGTAAATAAAACTAAACTATTTCTATTTTACCAGGTAAAGCCCACGGAGTTATGGGCTTATTTCTCAGGAGCGACCCGCCTACCGCAAGTGAAAGCTCAAGGAAGTGGCTCTTCGTGTGGACATTTTAGCAGCCAAATCATCAAAATAATCTAAAACGCAAATTTACACACGACCACTGGGAGAGAGAAACGCAAACTCCATATATACCGCAGGCATCAGGGTCGCGATCGAACCTACGACTTCCTGTGTACCAGGCGAGGGAGTTAACATCTCAGAGCCACCGTGGCGATTTGGATCACACACCAGCAGCATTATTGCTCCGGGCGCGACAACCCTGGCAGGACCCTCCTGAACAACGAGAGACTTGAGACTCTCCTGGGTAAAGGAGCGCACTGATGATGCGGATTCTTAAACAATGCGGATGCTGAGACGTAGCAGCACAATTGTGACTGAGCTGGTAATGGGAGAGATGAATCATGTCAGCCCGCTCTTAGAGCTCAACATAACTTTATACTCGATCTTCGTTCGCATTGTGTTCATCTATCTTCATGGAAATCACTGTGGCCGCTCCTGTCACGCAGATAGGTGTGCTGTGTGTGTGAGTTTTTCGGTTTTCGAACCAGCGTACTTCTCAGCTACACCCATAACAGTGACATTCGAGACCCACCAGAATCACATCGGGACCAATATGCTTATACACGGAGCCACAGACTCACAATGCTACAGACTCCCTTAGAGACCCACAGACTCACACAGAGGCGTGGGGATTTCAATCTAAGGGCGCCGCGGTGGCTAGGAGATGTTAACTACCTCGCCTGGTGTGCAGGAGTCTCGTGGGTTCGATCCCGACCCTGACGCATGCTGCTGCTGTATATTTGGAGTTTGCGTGTCTCTCGCTATCATCATCACCGCGGTAGCTAGGAGATGTTAACTACCTCGCCTGGTATGCAGGCGGTCGTGAGTTCGATCCCGACCTTGACGCATGCTGCTGCTGCTGCTGCTGTATATTTGGAGTTTGCGTGTCTCTCTCTATCATCACCACCGCGGTAGCTTGGAGATGTTAACTACCTCGCCTGGTATGCAGGCGGTCGTGGGTTCGATCCCGACTGCTGACGCCTGCTGCTGCTGCTGTGTATTTGTATTTTGGGTGTTTCTCTCCCCGCGGCCGCGTGTATTTGTCCCGAAGTCCCCCGGGTTTTCCCACCACATTTAGAATCAACATCACGCGTTTAGAGTCTTTGGGCTGCTATACATTCCCACGTGGTGATGACAAACCACTTCGTTGAGCCGTCATTTGTGATGACCGGGTCGCTTCTGAAAAAGAGCTACACAGTTCAGTGGGGCCTTACCTGTTAAAATAAAAATTAGTTTAAGAAGAGTTTCAATCATATACGCACGTTATCCGGCAGCATCTGCTTAAGCAAAACAAAGTATGTGCCAGTTTCGACCTTCTGGATGTCATCAGCAGAGCAGGTCAAGTTATAACAACGCATTTTAAGACTGTAATATGTATTTGGCCGCTACACATTTCCTACTTCGATAGCCACTTCGTTGAGCCATCATTTGTGGCCGGGTGGATTCTGAAAAGAACTACACAGCTCAGTGGGACCTTCCCTGGTAAAACATGTTTTAAGTTGAGGGTTTTGTTTAAACATCACCACCGTGTCTGCCCAGTGTCGTGAGACGCAGTCGCTTTTAGAAGCTCTAATACATGAATCCGTTCTGGTCAAGGACAGAGCAAACACAACGCTGCGTTTATTGACTCAAGCCCAGAACATTGGGCAGCGGTGTCAAGTTCCCGGATACAATTTGAACTTTGCCAAATCCACTCGTAAACCCCGTGTCATCGCACCCATGTACGAGTCATTAGTGCACCTCGTGCACTCGGTGCACCTATCACTCACCCACTCACTCACTCAACCTACTCACCCACTTACTAGCTCACTCGGTCTACCAATCACCCACTCACTCACCCACTAACTCACTCACTCACCCACTCGGTCTAACCACCACTCAACCATTCACCCACTTACTCACCCACTCAACCACTCACCCACTAACTCACTCACTCGGTCTACCAATCACTCACCCACTCACTCACCCAATAACTCACTCACTCAACCACTCACCCACTTACTAGCCCACTCGGTTTACTAATCACTCACCCACTAACTCACTCACTCGGTCTACCAATCACTCACCCACTAACTCACTCACTGACCCACTCGGTCTACCAACCACTCGCCCACTTACTCAACGACTCACCCACTCATTCACTCACCCACTCGGTCTACCACTCACTCACTCATCTATTCACTCACTCACCCACTCGGTCTACCAACCACTCGTCCACTTCCTCACCCACTCGGGATATTCACTTTCGGCTATGTACACATGTTTACATACAATCATGGCGAGATGTTATCTACCTGGTCTGGTATGTAGGAGCACGTGGGTTCGATTCCGACCCTGACGCTTGCTGCATATTTTGAATTTGCATCTCTTTCTCTCTCTTCTCGTGGTCGTGTGCATTTTTCTCCGGGTCCTCCGGTTTCCCCCACCACATTTAGAATAGAAATTACACGTTTAGAGTGTTTGGGCTGCTATACATTTCCACGTGATGATGATGATAGTTCAGTGGGGCCTTGCCTGGTGAAATAAAACCTTAGTTTAAGAAGAGTTTCACTCACATGCGTACATGAACCGGCAGCATTTGCTTAAGTATAACAACGTCTGTGCCGATATCGACCTTCTGGATTTCGTCAGCAGAGCAGGGCTTGTTAAATAAATTCTGCCGGGTTACACCAACGCATCCTAATACTCTAATAGGTCAGAGCACTTCGTGGCATTTTTTTTTATTATAGAAACGTCCGTCAGCAACAACGTGCTGAAGAGAAGATGTATTTAGAATCCGTGAGTGTGTGTGTGTCTAATGCCATCCGCCTGCGACACGGTTCAGAAAGACTCCGGTCACTGATCTAAGAAATATGGAACACAACGTGAAAAGTGAGCAAAGAATATGGAGCAATTACGAAACAATAAATGAAAAGTGTCGCAAGTAGGCATGGAGAAGCGCATGCTTGGAATGACATCGTATGCACGTGTGTTGAACTTCGTTCGCACCGTACATAGCCAACCGTGATATTCGGAGGTTCATTGAGAGACACGCATCGTGTAGAGCAGCGACTATTCTCAGTCTTGTTTTGGTCACGACTGCACTACCCCCTGCCTGACCCAACGTACTTCCGAGAAATCTACGAATAATGAGCATCAGTATTGTAACCACATGTCCATCTTGTGAGGTACACCCAAACGAGCTAGTAACGTCCATCTTTGGATTGACCATGGCTGCTATGGTTGATGATAGTGGCGGCTCGGGGGGAGGGGGGCCTTCATCCAGCAGTGGATTTGAGCGCGGCTGACAACAACAACAAACACGACTGTCAAAGTCCCGTACCTTGCACGAGCGAATCCAACAGCCGTTCGATGTTGCCGAGTCGCATTTCGGCCACCCCAGGCCCCGCGTCTCGCGCCTCTCCCACGGCGGACGCCGCCGATTCCCTCCCGTGCGGCCGAACGCGCCCCGCGTCGCGGCTGCACCGCAGGAGCCACCACGCGTTGGCGCAGCAGAGGGCCGCGAGGACGAGCGCGCACGCGGCCCCCTGCCCGCGTGCCGGTGTCGGCAGGACCATGGCCGGCGTGGGTGCCTGTGGGGGTGCCTGTGGGGGTGCCTGTGGGGGTGCCTGTAGGCACGTGCGCGCTGGCCGGCGTGAGTTGTACCGGGGGCACGAGCGCGCTACGAGGGATTTTATGTGCAGGTCCGTTCAGCGGTGATCGATATTTGAGAGGTCGCTCAAAAATTGAGATTGGCAGGTGTCAAGAACTTCCTGCTGTTCTTCGTGCACTCAACTCTCTCTCTCTCTCAGCCATCCATAGATTTTTGTTTTGTTTGTTTTGATTTCAAAATACTTTTTTCTGACATGACACACGCGCACTAAAGGAAAATTTACAAATGTTGCAATGCGCAGGACATCGTGTGAGAAATGTAGGTCGCCAACGTGCATGTATGATGGATTTCTTTCGCACCGTACGTAGCTAAACCGTGCTCATCGGAGGTGTGGGAGGGGGAAGGACGACACACTAATACACAAACAGCAGTCCTAAAAATTTAGTTTTAACTTAGAATTAAAAGTGCATAGCAGTGGCTTCCGAATATCGGAAAGAAACGCGTTCCAGACGGCCGCATCAACAACAACACTATCAGCATCACCACCACCATCATGTATGCGTTATGTTGAACTTCTTTCACGCCGTACACAGCCAACCGTATTAATCGTAGGTTCGGGGGAGGTGGTAGACAACAAACTAAAACACATAAAGCAGTTCTAGAGAAATGAGTTTGTCAATGTAGATGTTGATTTAAAAGTGCAAATCCCCCAGTGGATTCCTAATATCGGAAGTGAAGAGCGTTCCAGACGGCCGTGGAAGCAGCGCATCAGAAAGCGCCGCGCCTTTGCGGCGCCCCGTCAGTTTGTCCCGCGGGAGCTGCGTTCGGATCCCAACCGTCCCCGCTGCCACATTGCAGTTTGAAGCCTCTCACGCGGGCACCCAAGTCCCGCCCACGTGACCCACGGCCGTTGGCGGTCAACCAAAGTCCCGTGCACTTGTTCAGCCCATTGTCGCTTCTGACGTGGGCCCGGAGTCCCAGGTGAGTCCCGCATCCATCACGCCGCGGTGCTAAGAGATGTTCACTACCTCGCCTCGTACGCAGGAGTTCCTGGGTGCGATCCCGACCTTGACGATGCCTGCTGCGTCGCGGTGGCTAGGATATGTTAACTCCCTCGCCTAGTATACACGAGGTCGTAGATTCGAGCCCGACCCTGACGCCTGCTGTATATTTGGAGCTTGCGTCTCTCTCTCTCCATGATCGCGTGGATTTTTCTCCGGGTCCTTCGGCTTTTCCCTCCACATTCAGTGGACCTTACCTGGCAAAATAAAAAACAGTTTATAGTTCAGTTTAGTGGGTTCGAGTCCGACCCTGACGCCTGATGTATATTCGCAATCTGTGTTTATCACTTTCCCCGTGGTCGCATGGATTTTTCTCCGGTTTTTCTCTCCGCATTTAGAATCAACATCACGCGTTTGGCTGCTATACATTTCCACTTGATGATGAGACGTTACTTCGTTCAGCTGCCATTTGTGAGTCAGGCCGCTTCTAAAAAAGCTACGTAGCTCAGTGGGCCTTACGTGGTAAATATAAAAATAGCTTCACAGTTTGTAGTTTAAACCGATTTGATCGTGGAACACTTAACTTGCCGACTTAACACATATTTGACGCTGCTATTTACAGCAACAACAATAATAATATTGCTATTATTTGACGGCTTATTGATTGGGGGGTTATGAAGAAGACATTATATTGTTAATTTAAAGTTGATCATAAAGTCTTGGTGGGAGAAGAACAACACCTGCTGGGTTTCCCATCTACAGGGGGTTAGGCAGTGTGGTGTTTGTGGCGTGTGGATTCTGACACCGTGATTCTGGCCGACGTGTTCAGGACAGCTTTGTATGCCTGTGAGACTTGGACATCAAAAAAGACTGCCAGAGATAAGATATTGGCATTCGAAATGTATTTATATCGACGGATACTGCATCTAAATTGGATCTAAAGAGTGACCAATGTAGAAGGATAAGGCTGCACATGGACCTTACGATGCAGGCAGTGATAAAATGTAAACTGGAGCTGTTTGGACACATGTGTAGGATGTACGATATCAGGAGAATTCAAAGTGTGTTGTGTGTAAACATGGAAGGACCCGGAAAGAGAGGAAGACCTCACAGAGAATGGCTTGACGACGACATCAGAAGAGGTTGGTGCCAGACGAGACGTGGCCTTGAGCAGATTGGCACTGCAAGACAGAATGTGGAAACAAAAGACGAAATGTGCAGTGGACATCTACGACGTGCTGCGATCTCCCCGTGGATCGTAACGATGATGTTGAACTTCTCTCGCACCGTACGTACCCAACCGTGCGATTCGGAGGTGCGGGGGGAAGGGCAACAAACTAAACACACAAAGCAATTCTAAGTAAATGTGTGTTTCTATCTCGACTTAAAAGTGGCTTCCTAAGACAGTCCGTTCTCCTACACTGCGTTAGTTGTTGCGTTCCTGAAAAACGCCACGTTATGGAAACATCGCTTTATAATAAATAATATATAATATAGGGGTAAAGGACAGTCAGCGACAACACGTGAGATGCGTACGCAGGCTGAACAAAGACGGAGCCGCGTGTAGGTAGCATCTAAAAGCATCCAGCAGCATCCCAATGCCGTGTGTGTGATAATGCTACGCCGAGGCAGCTGTTACAACCTCGTATTGCTACTCACGCTGCCACGTAGTCCCGTTCACTCGGCCGCGTTATATCCAATTCGCAACCGCGTTATAAAAAATGTGCTCCCGAATACGTTCATTGCGTAATATCCAATTCAGCGTCATGAAAACAACACGTGGCGTTCGAGCAGAATGGACTGCACACAATTCCACTGTCTTCTCGATCACTCGTCCCTTGATCGCCACAACGAGAGGCCCAGGACACGGTTCAGAACGTCACCATCTCATTGGTCCAAGACTCAGGCGGCCTGTACACTCATTACAGCCACAGCTGGAGGTGGAGAGAGAGACAGGGTCACGGCCAGTCGAAATAGATTTCAAGGTTCAACCAGCTTCTTCCATAATTCTATTTATATTGAGATTATGTTGTTGGCAGTGCTGTAATCTTGCGCAGGGAGAGAGAGAGAGAGGGTGATTACTCCATTTGCAAATAGAAATGAGTTGGACCGGCTACAATATCTTTTGAAGAAAACACTGCCGCTTCTTGCGTGGAATATTCATATCCTGAAGCAGAAGATAAGTGCTGGATACAGCCGTCACATTTGCAAATGTGATTTTGTATCTTTGATCATGACCTCTGTATCGATGTTTCAATGTTAGCCTGTCGTTGTATTGGGGGACGACTGATGTGAGCTGTTATCTTGGTGCGACCTGGGACTATTTTGGTGTTGTTTTTGCTGCCTTGCTCAAATTTGATAGATCGGGCTTAAAGAGTGAATTAGTTTTTTTATTCATATTGCGTGACTTGGTAATTTTTGTCTCTATTTTGCATTCGTAACGTTGTTGATGATGGACACCTGTGAAAAAGAGCTTCATAGCTCATCGGATTCCTCCTGCAGCACAAATGCAGATTCTGATTCTGTTGAGATTAGGTTATATCTGGTGGTGTAATCCTTTGTCGGGGAGGGTGCGAGTGCTTAATGAACATATTAAAACTGCAAGGAGCATGAACCTGATCTGGCCAAGTTGGTGAAGATCTTCGTTTTCGTCGGCTGATGTTGATGCAGAGCGTTTCGATATTGAGCGACCAGCGGTCACTTTGACACCGAGGTGGTCGGCTGAGCCAGCTGGTTGCCTCAAGAGCATTGGAGTGGTCAGCGGTTGTGACGATGCCTCCTCCTCCTCCTTCCTCCCTTTTCCCCCTCCCCTTCCTCCTCCGTACTTTCGAATCTGGCATCGAGTCTACGTCAGATGCTGCATGATTTGGTTCTGGGTAACAACCAGGAATGTTTGTCCTTAACGCTCGTGACATCACTCCACATCGACCAGCCACCCTCATTAATATTCATGAGCAGGTGACGTCCTCACAATGGACACCCACCACCCCTTCTCATTAATAAGCATGAGCGGGTGACGTCACTCAATATGGAGTACTCCCCCCCCCTCACTAATAATCATGTGCAAGTGACGTCATTCCCCATCGAACAGCCCCCCTCATTAATAATCATGAGCAGGTGACGTCACTCCACATCGAACAGCCCCCCTCATTAATAATCATTATAATGTGACCTCCTCCAAATGGACCCCTCCCCCCCTCATTCATAATAATTAGCGGCTGAAGTCACTCTACATGGAGAGGGTCGAGGCGCCTCCTCCCCCCTCGGCATCAACTCACAACCCTCACTCACAAGGCAGAACCCTCACGCCACGCCGTCTCCGTGACGCTGTTGAGACATCGAAGTAAAAAGGAAGTCGTGATGAACAAGGGATTATAACCTTAACATGAAAAAGGTCTGTGTCACCGCGGCCTTACTAATTGCACACGAATTGATGCAATTAATATCAGGTTACAGTCTGCTTTTTGCTTGCAAGTTTCAGATTTACTGCAATAAACCCGTCCTTGGATGGGAAAAGGCTAGTTAAAACGGACAAGCAGATTTTTGGCAACAATTATTTATTTTCCCGCGATTCGCCAAACCAAGACAATCTTGTGGTGTTCGCGTTCTCGCGATGTCGAAGCGGTCAGAAGACGATAGTTTATGAGTGGCTGTCACGTGACGCTTCACACGGTCTGTTGTTGTGTCGCAGCAAATCCAGCCATGATGATGATCGGCTGGCTCCGTGTTCCAAAGGCAGATTTTGACCCAAGCCCTCGATTTGTTCGGGAGGGTTCCTCAATTAATTCCTCGGTGGACCGGTGGCATTACAGAGATTACACCTCGTGGTGGTGTCGCGCCAGTCATGCGACATCACTTTAAAATCGAGATTGAAAAATTTATTTCTTTAGAACTACGTTTTGTGCTTTAGTTTGTTGTCCTTCCTGCCCCCCGCCTCACCTCCGATTAGCTTGGTTGGCTACATGCGGTGTGAAAGAAGTTCAACACACATAGGTACAAAGCGGCTGGTGAATCTAAGTACAACTTGGACCATGAGCAGCTTCGTAGAAGATCAAACACCAGCCATCCTCTTCGTTGGCTCTTTCACAACAAGGCGGTGTTTGTTTGCGAGTTCTTTTGAACTCCATTCAGCTCCCCAAGCTTCATCGGGAGGGATTGAACTCGCATTGTTGAAGGTTAAGTGCATAGGTCCAAAAGGGGTTTGCATGCGAATCGGATGTACGAGGGTAACTTGCCATTTCTTTCCGTGTGACATCGGTGGCGAGGGTAAAGCCACTGGGCCCTGAAGGCAGCGCGGTGAGCTCAGTGCGATGGTCACCTGCAGGCAGGGGCGGTTTCTTCATTAGGGCGATTGGGCGACGCACCACCAAAGTGTGAAAGGGACTTTTTCAATCACATTCAAAATCTCATTCAACCAGAGTTACGCTAGCCGTTACTGTGCCTCTGGATATAGTCCAATCAGCGTCATGTCACGTTCTGTGGAGTACCGCCTCTTTTTGGACGATTTCACGCTGGCTGAGAATCGCTCAGAGTGTTCCCATAGACTTACATTCAAAGATGTTTTTTTTCGAACGGCGGGCGCTCCAATGCATTCTCTACGGCTTCCGGGAGGGCTCGCACTAACGTGGTTACGTCATCATACGTAAGCACGTTTCAGTCAACACAATTATTTGTCGCCACCTAGTGGAATCTTTAATAAAAGAAACCGAGTGGATTGTAATAATAGTGAGTATAGAAACAAACAGGGAGATGTATTGTAAGAGTCACTTTATTTTTCATTAATATTAAAGTAGTGAAGTTGCCTTTACATGCTTAAGCTGTTAATTTATCCATTGCATGGGTGGACCTTATCCTTATCAATCATCCAGACATTTGCCCCCCCTGAGAGATTTTGCAGGAGCCGCCACTGCCTGCAGGTCGCTTCTGACAAACACACAGGCTAATGCCTCGGTGGGCTTTGCCTGGTTGGATGGGGATGGTTAACTTTGTATGCTTTTGGCTGATTTGATCACCTTTCTTGTACTTTGCACTACCATCGTGTGTTTTGTGCTGTTTGTTGTCGTAGCGTGCTTACCTGCCCGTCCCTGACATCTGTGAAAAAAGACCTCCATAGCTCATCGGATTCCTCCCAGTATAAATATTGATTCTGATTCAACATTACGGTTCTGATGATGTCATGACGAACTCCGGTGCCGAACTGAGCCACAAGGGGAGGCAGAGTAGAAGCCACGCATCACACCCCCTTCTCGCCCCCTCCACATTCCCCGCTCGTGGTCAGATGGAAGAGGGGGATTAGAGAGGGTTTCGTAATGCGCAAAGCAAACGCAAACTCCGAATATACAGCAGGCGTCAGGGTCGGGATGGAATCCACAACCTCCTGTATACCAGGTGAGGTAATTAACATCTCCTAGCCACCGTGGCACCATGTGAAATGAATAAGGGCCGTTGCCTGAAAAGTCAACGATTACAAAAGGGTACTTTTAAGGACCCCATGTTATTGACAGACATGTTGAGTTGCTGTTATTTGTGCTTGTGCACAACTGCCAACACAGCAGCAGCATCACCAAATGATTTGTGTCTTATCAAGACGGGATACGATGGCCGTGGCGAGGAGGTCGAGCCTCCTGTGTTTCTTCCTCATCTTCTCTGGCATTGGAAACCTCCTGTGGATGCTGAGAAACTTCGCCAGCACCTCGACTGTCACCGTCAGATCAGTACAGGAATCGACCCCCCTGTCTAGGGACAGTGCAGTGCCCTACGAGCCTTGGGATCTCGCCGCGCAGCTCAATAAAATCGAGGACATGCTGGAAATTATTCTGGAAGGTACGTTTCGCGAAAATGTCTAGTGCTTTGTTCCACATCTGAGCGAATAGTTGCGCAACTCGCTCACATAGAAATTAAACTCTTGTGGAGATTCATAGACCCGCACAGAGACTCATCAACTCGGGTGGAGATTCATAGACCCACACAGAGACTCATAAACTCGCGTAGAGATTCATAGACCCACACAGAGACTCATAAACTTACATGGAGATTAATAGACCCACACGGGGACTCATCAACTCACGTGGAGATTCATAGACCCACAGAGACTCATCCACTCACACAGAGATTCATAGACCCACACGGAGATTCATTAACTCACGCAGAGTTCCATGAGCTAACGTAGAGATGAATCCAGTGAAGCGAATCTCTCCAACCCCGCCGCCCTTGCAGATGGCGGTGAGTCTGAGAAGACACCAGTGTGTAAAGGGAACGAGTGGGTTTATAGCCCCGAGACTCATCTCTTCAAGGAGTGGGGCAAGGACCTCTCGGCGCGGCAGAAGCGCAAGGCGTGCGCGCGCTTCCTCACCTACGGCTACAACGCCTACCTGAGCGACCGGCTGCCCCTCGACCGCGACGTGCCTGACAACCGCCCTCCCGGGTACGCCACTCGGAGTCGCACTCTCAGCATCGTCATCATCAGCAGCAACGTTATTACTGCCATCATCATTGTCATCATCATCATCAACTATATCATCGTCGTCAAATTCATCATCATCATCACGACCATCGTCATAATCACCATCATAATCATTAGTTTTGATGGGGCTGATTATCACGGGCTACTGAGGCAGACTCCATCTCCTCAGTAACTCGCGACCACCACTCATTCTTGAAGCATCGCACGGCTCTCTGAACCTCCGAGCGAAGGTTGCGGTAAGCCTCCTCATTCTCTGACGTGGGAAGGAGTGTGCCTGTTGCTGTTTCTCAGCCAGCTAGAACACGTCCTCCCATCAGCCAGGGTCTCTGGGGAGGTTTGGACCGTGTACCCAAAGCAGCCATTGTAGTCACAGTCCTAAACCTTGCCCATTTCCCCTCGGCATCAGGAGGAGGGGAGGGGGACAATGCCAACCCCAGCTGCAAGTGATGATGACATTCTCACTTTTAACTTTCATCAACTTGCCGACACCAGGCCAATGAGGGTTTGCATGGGGTCCAGACACCCACCATTGGAGTGAAAGAATGGCCGGCACATCTTATAGATGACAAGCTGATGGTCAGTGGGCGGATGAACTCCACAGTAGGTCCTGGTGTCAAGGACATGGGCCTCCATCCGCTGTTCCGTCACTATATAGTCCAGAAGATGTTCTTGCTTGGACCCGGCGTGCATCCAGGTTATGGTGTGGATGCTGTAATGCCGGAACAGCGTATTGGTAAGTCTAGCAGCCTTCTACCGTTGTTATTGAGCTGATCTGGCCTATGCCTTCCAATTACTCCAGCTCAGTTGCCAGCATCATGACCCACTTGGGCATTAAAGTCACCCAACTGGATGACTCTATCTCGAAAGGCCACTTTAGCTAACACCTGTGACAGGAGGTCATAAAAGGCATCCGACTCATTGGCCTTGCCTTGATCCCTTCATCATGTGTATCTTCGGTGGGGGCGTAAGCAACCACCACCACTCCTTTCCTCTGGTTGATATGGAGGCGAGCCCACAGTAGCCCGAGGCTTGTAGCTTCCCACACCTCACCGCCATGCTCCACGCCCCCTTCATTCTTTTGTTCAGAAGAAGAGCCACTCCCTGTTGTTTGCTAGTTCCCTTCCCCGAGTGGAGGACTGTCCACCCCTCATGGTGACTGGAGCCAGAGTTAGTCCACCGAACCTCTAAAATACCACAGAGATCCAGGCGGTACTGGCCCAGTTCCTGACAGAAGAGTGGTAGCCTCTCCTCCGCAGTTAGCATTCTAACATTCCACATGGCCACTCGCAGTGGCATTTTGTTGCTTCTGGAGGAACTCCCTGGGGTTCAGTTTCCTAGCTTCGCCAAATGGAGTTTCGCCAGGTGAAGTCATAGACGTCTGTCCCCCTGGGACATCTGGAAAAAGCTTAGCTGAATATTTTTCACGTTCTGTGGTACTTAAATTGAAGGTGGAGGGGTTCCCAGCCACTCGCACCCATCCAGAGCATCCGTTTGGCCACTTTGGTGGGTACAAGCCCCATGAGGGATACAGCCGATCGGAATCAGCCTTCCCTCCATGGCATTGCTCACATCCACTACAGCGTTCCCATTCGGCACCACCAAGGAGGTAGAGAGTTAATTTGGCGAACATCATCATCAACGCTACCATCATCACCAACCACCCCCCTCCCCCAGATATGCGACTCACTCGCAGAGTTACACTCATCATCATCACCATCAGTGCTCGCCAGCTGAGCGCGAGTACGAGTGTGCGTCAGCACTGCTGGACTAGGGCTTCCCCACGTCGTTCGTTGTTACGGGGATCGTTTGACCATACTTCCCCTCTCCCGTGTACCCCCCAGATGCAGCACCAAAAAGTACCCGTCGGAGCTCCCGGCGCTCAGCGTGGTGCTGATCTTCTACAACGAGGCCGTCTCCATCCTGCTGCGCGCCGTCACCTCCGCCGTGCGCAACACGCCGCGCCACCTCCTCAAGGAGGTCATCCTCGTCGACGACTGCAGCAACTTTGGTTAGAGCTGCAGGGCTTCCACCCCCTTGATTTCCTCCTCCTCAACCTCCACTCCCGCCTATTTTTCACAGGAGACCAAATCCGGTTGGCTTCCTCAGTCGGCCTGGAGAGTTTAAAAGCTCTCTGGAGAGGAGAGGCTGAAATTGCTCCTTGTTGGGGCGCCACAGTGGCTAGGAGACATTGACTACCTCGCCTGAATTACAGGTCGTGGGTTCGATCCTGACCCTGACGCCTGCTGTATATTTGGAGTTTGCGTTTCTCTCCCCATGGTCGCATTGATTTCTTTCTCGGTCCTCCAGTTTCCCCCTCCACACTTAGAAACGTGCACTCAAGAATATTTGGCCGCTTTACATTTCCACGAGCCCCGTCGTTGAGCTATTATTCATGGCTACCTCGTTTTTGAAAATGAGCTCTAATGTTCAGTGGGCCTTACCTGGCAAAATATACGTATTTAAGTTACTCGCTTAAGTTTGGAGCTAGACCACTACCAACTGGACCTCTGTGGAATACAAGAAGCCTAGTGGACTGGTTCTGGCTCCAGTCGCCACGAGGATGGACGGTTCTCCACTCGTGGCAGGAAATGGCCAACTCCAGGGAGTGGGACGTGGGGCGTACGTGTGGCGGCATAATGTATAATAGCCCATAGAAACCTGTTATGCCAAATTGTCATCATAACATATTATACACATTTCCATTCGAGATGATTTAAAACTGCATAGCTCAATTTTCTTCCTAATATCTAAAGGAAGTGTTCCAGACAGCCACAAAAGCGCATCAGAAAGTGCACGATGCAATGGCAGTCTTTGTTTGATGGTTAACATAAAAGCTGCTGCGAGGATAACCAGAGTTCGAGTGATGGTTTATGTTTCTTGACGAGATCAGTAAGGTATTGTGGTTTATTTGTGGCAAGCACTTTGTGTGTAATGAGTGCAACCTTATCATGTATGTTTGGCAATCGGAACCAATGCAGCTCAACGAGCACTGGACAGACGTGGACAGATATTGCAATATCTGTCACAGCACGTGCCAAAGAATCTTGTACATGCTGCAGCTTTGGTAATGTTTTTGACATACGTCCCGTACAGTAGTGAGTTGTAATAATCGAGCTTTGTCGATACTATGCTACACGCTGCCATGTTGGTCGAAGGTGTTGTAGAGCCCTGATATAAAAATTGCAGGACCTGCCTATATTTTGCACGTGGTGATCAAATTACATAGTTTGGTCAAGTATGGTGTTGAGGCGTTTTAGTTGAGTAGAAAACTGAACTGTTGGAACCTGATCAACAACATTGTCGCTTGGCCCCTAATGCCTACCAGCAGAACCTCCGATTTTTCTGGATTGATCATTTTTTTGCTACTTAATGATGATAATGAATGCAGACCAATTTTTTTTAATGCTGCTCTCACCAGGAGACCTGCAAGAACAATTCAGAGCGAGGATTGCGGCACTGGATCGCAAGTACCCAGAGGTCTCCATCCGCATCGTCCGGCATGCAACGCAGCGTGGGCTCAGCACGTCGCGCGTCACCGGCATCCGGGCCGCTTCGGGTCCCGTGGTGGCCGTCATGGACGCGCACGTGGAGTTCCCCGTCGGATGGTGAGTCCCACATCAAGGCAAAGGTTCCCCCCCCTACCCGTGCATAGCCTTTACCAGTTGAGGAGAATGCTAATAGCAAGAAGCACCGATGAAGAAGGCTGGTTACGGCATGGAAGGGGGGTGGAGTTGGCCAGTGTAATGCCTCGCATTGCGAGGAGCATGGTTGCCACTCAAGAGTCTGCACAGCACAACCCGATCTGAGGTTGGACGGTGCCTGATGGGTGCCCACCATGTACAGCCAGGCTGTCATAGGGCTGCGGGGCGGACGTTGTTTATATCGAGTTATAGTGTACGTTCATACTGCCGCCTTCATCAATCCGCACTGACCAGCCAGGATGAAGTGTGGTCAAACGGCCTCCACAACCAGCACGGCGTGGGGAGGCCCTCATCCAGCAGTGGATTGACAAAAGGTCTCGATGCTAATACGGACATTGTGCGGTGCTCATCTCCACCAGCGGAAACTCCACATTTCCATGGCAGGGACCATTTATGAGGCCCACTGACGACTTCGTACAAGCGGTACCCGCTTTGTGCGAAGCAATGACTTGCCTATGTCAACCCTGGACCCTACAATCACTGCAATGCTATAATAATGTACGCATATGAACAACAGTGCATATCGCAACATCGTATTCAATATGCACAGCTGTATCACTTTCATTTAAAGCATTCACAACAATAATTAGAACATTTTGGCAATGAAAATAGGGATAACATTTCGGCATTTAATTCAAATCCTGATCACGGTTTTCACCATGCGGTCAGCGCGTCGGAACGGGAGTGACAAAGCAAACGATAAGAGTATATATTACGATTATAACTATGCAACCATTTTAACAATAGCAATAGTCGTAATTGTTATTATTGGAATTGTTGGTCTCGCGCAAAGAGGGAACCACAATGGCCGCTCCGGCGCCATGACGAGCAGCGATGTAGGTCAGAGGCTCACCAACAACATCCGCTCTGATTGGACGAGACGTTTGCTCTCGTAGCTGGGCGCAACCATTCGAGTATTAACTACTAGCTTTACTATCCGGCTTCGCCCGAGACTTGGATTCTTGTCTTGGATTAATACACGGCCTACGCGGAGGGTGGGGGGGGGATGCGTGACACTCCAGGCACACTGCGTGACGCTGCCGCATGCAGGTGATATCACAGATGTGACGTCACTGCTCACTTGCCGTGCAAAATATATCCATTATTGCGCGCCCCCCTCAAAAATACAAACGTATATTTTTATACTTTTTGCATTGTGTACAGTCTGGAAGCTACCCACATGCCAAATTTCAAGTTTGTTGCATGTTGGGAAGTATGCTAAACATTTTGAACAGGCACACATATTCACAAATTTCCCTTTTATATACAGTATGTAGATTAAAGTGAAGTGAAAAGCACGAATAGGGCGACGATCGGTGGGACCTGCACCTTTCTTTAATGAAATCTTGAATTGTCACGCGATACGAGTCTGTGTAGAAAATTGCAGCTCGTTAGGTTTCATAGATTCGAAGTTATTAAGCGTAAAATATTTGAAAGACTATAAACAGACAACACGGCAAGTTCAATTAAAGTGTGTAAAAGCATGTATCGTGGACTATCTATCTGCCTAAATGACTCTGTGGATACAGCCTGTGAATAAAGTGTCTCCAGGGCTCTCTCTCTCTCTGCCTGAAGACTGAAAAACTTAAATATAATCCCACGTTAACCAGTACTGTACCTTTTAAACGAACCTCCTCTGAAATTCCTTCACCAAGGCACACACCTGTTGATATTTGCAAAACATCCGACCAGGTAACCAATTCATTTGAAGCCATAAATATTTGTCATGTGAAATAACTTTGCTCTAAACTCTTTGATAACATTTGTAAACTTAATTAATGACGATGTTCCCGAATTCAGACCTCAAATCCAGACGTTTTAAACCTGCTCCTCTGTGTTTCTCTCTCGAACTCCATAATATTTCACCACGTTATTCCCTCCTATGTAAGACTATCATTTATACACTCCCGACCATCATTTATTGGGCTCAGCAGACTCGAGCAGACCCGGGAAAATTGGTCCCTGCCGAGCGAGGACGGGCTTCCGTGTGGCGTCAGGCCACAATCTCCTGTGCCCAACTCTCTCTACCTCCCGCAGGTTACAGGAAGTGTGGTACAGCAATGGTTTTTGCAGGTTGCAGGCAGTGTGATACGGGAAGTATATGAACAGGGTCAGTGTTTCAGGCAGGGTGGTATTCAGGCCACTCCCAGCCATCGTAGTGTTAGGGTGGTGGTTCGTGTCCTGCGCTTTCAAGGAGGGAGTGTTGGCTGTTGATGAATCTCCCAGGCGTCCACATTTCTGCAACCCGTGGGCATTAGACTTCTACAGCACCACCGAGAATGGGGGCTGGGAGCCCCTTCGGCAAGCATGATCTCTGCAACGGTGGGCGTCCGACATGTACATTACCGTCGAGTGCGGAGCACAGGAGTTTGAGGTAGCACGGTGAGTTGACCTCGGGTCTGAGGCGACAAGCTGCTTTTGCATCAGAGCCCAGGGCACTTGAGGCTGCAAGCCTATCCTGTCCTAGGCCTGGAAGGGCTACCTTCCAGACTCTGCTGTACAGTTGGGTCACTTTCAGGGTGACGTGAGCGGGTTGATTGTTTCGTGATTGTTTTTGGCTTATTTCTGTTGCGTTAAAAAAATATATATCTTGCAAGGGTCGGTGGTTCTTCATTTTTGGCAGACTGTACTGAGGAGTGGGTGTGTGCTGAGAGCTTGGGTGGGCTGGACTGCTTTTCTAGCGGTTTAGGAGAGAGGTCGTGATGGACCCTAACCCAACTCTCACAATGTTGTTGTTCATTTTTACGAATTAGGGCCGAGCCCATCCTGGCGCGGATCCAAGAGGACAGGCGCGTCGTGGTCTCCACGGTGTTCGACAACACGCACTACGACACGCTCGAGGTCAACGGCTACCCGTCGCAGGCGCAGACGTTCACGTGGCAGCTGTGGTGCACCTACATGGCGCCGCCCCTCGAGTGGTTGACCAACAAAGACATCACGGCCCCCATCAGGTACCTCCCCCCGCCCCCAAGGCTTCATCCAGGACATGCGGTGAGCTGGCAGCCCTCTTTTTAAATCCTTTATATTAAGTTCGCTTGCTTGCTTGCGTGCTTGCTTGCTTACAACCGTGCAAATCTTTCGCTCGTTTTATAACCCACTTCCCGTGATCCAATCGAGCTGACATTTTCCACAGACTCGTTGTGCGAGACAATTAATGTTCGTGAAAAAAAATTCCCAAAATGTTACACTTTTTAGGCAAAAAAAAAATATTTTACATATATGCAAATAGAACTCATTCATGGCTTTGGCTGAACGTCACAGTGTAAGAGCCCAGAGCGTAACCCCTCCACAGGCCGTGGCGGAGTAGCGCAGTTGGTAGCGCCCTCGCTTCCCATGCCAAAGGTCGCGGCATCGATCCCCGCATCCTCCACAGGCGAATATATTTTTAAATCCTTTATATTAAGTTCACTTGCTTGCTTAGGACCGTGCAAATCTTTCGCTCGTTTTTTAACCCACTTCCCGTGATCCAATCGAGCTGACATTTTCCACACAGACTCGTTGTGTGTGACAATTAATTCCAAAATTTTACACTGTTTAGGGAAAACAAATTAAATATTTAATTACCAATTGCTTAATGGTGGCAGACAATCATCTGACCCATAGGTGGCAGCCATCTCAAGCCAGAGGACGAGAGGACTCTAGCCGCCACGCATATAAAGGATTTATAGTGAAAAACTTTTTTTTACGGGTTTACTTGTTCTCCTGAAGTCAACCCCACCCAGATTTATATAGCCAAGCACCGCACGGCCACTAACCACACCCACTTACACATAACCACACTCACATCACCACTAGCCATGCCCCTTACACATACCCACATCCACAATAACACTAGTCACACCTACTTATATAACTACGCTCACATGAACACTATCCACACCCACCTATACATAACCACACCCACTCAAACCCTATCCCCTTGCTCACACAGCAAGTGGCTCGCGCGGGTATTTCCTGGCTGTTGCCGTGTGTTGTTTGGCACGTTTTGCTCCACGCTCTGGGAGCCTCCACCCGAAGGCGTAGTGTCGTGAAATCTCGGATCGTACCAAACAACACACAGCGAACTTTGTCATCGAGTTTACCGACCCCCCCAGGAGTCCAATTGTGATGGGCTGCATGGCGGCCAGTAAGAGCTACCTGGAGGAGATCGGCTTTCTGGATGAAGGCATGCAGGTGTACGGAGGGGAGAACGTGGAGCTGGGCCTCAGGGTGACGACGCACAGACGCAACCTTGAACGCACTCACTCACTTTCGGGTGTCCATACAGACAGACACAGGCCTTATGGGTTCACTGTGCTGCCGGCTTCCTTATTCGGAATGTACAGTCTGTTCTCCTATAACGTGGAATTCCTGAAGAAGACTGCATAATAATATATAACATAGGGTAAAAGCACAGTCCGCGATAACACGTGAAATATGTACACAGGCTGAACAAAGACTAAGGCGCGCGGGTAGCATCTCGAAGCATTCAGCAAGCATCCAACCTCGTGTGATACTACACTGAGGCAGCCGTACGACTGCCTATTCGTACTCGTGCGACGTAGTTTTGTTAACTCGATTGCGTTATAGATTGAATACGTATTCGCGTTATGAAAAAAAGTGTACCCTAATACATTAATCTCGTTATATCCAGGTTGTGTTATAAAACACCCGTTATAGGAGAACAGATTGTACTTTTCTGCCATGGCTTTTCATTGCTGTCTGGGCTATTCCTGTCTCCAGGTGTGGCAGTGCGGGGGCAGCGTGGAGGTGCTGCCCTGCTCACGCTTGGCTCACATCGAACGCCACTTCAAGCCGTACGCCCCAGACCTGAGTTCCCACATGCGCAGGAACGCGCTGCGCGTGGCTGAGATCTGGATGGATGAATACAAGAGGAATGTCTACATGGCCTGGAATGTGCCCATGAACGTACGTGGTGTGGTCTAAGCCTTCGTCATCATTATAGTTATCATCAGCATCGGTCATGATCAATCTGCTATTGAATTGTTGCATCACAAGTCCGCGAATGATGATGCTGATGTTGGTGGCAATCAATGCATAAAAATACAGAAACATCTCGGAAAGTTTAATTGCGAGTTTATTCTTCCAATTGTTATGGCTGCCACGCAGTGCTCTGGGATAGACATCGGAGACATCTCGGAGCGGGCCACCGCCTTGATTACTTCCCAGTGAACATGGATCGTTGGCCCAACGTCGGTCTAACGTTTGTGCAACTTTGGCCTAACGTTCAATGAGTGTACAACTCTCGTCTCGTTGATGACCTCTGCGCAGGAATCCGGGATCGACATCGGCGACATCTCGGAGCGCGTGGCTCTGCGCAAGCGGCTCAACTGCAAGAGCTTCGCGTGGTACCTGGAGAACGTGCTGCCCTCACTGCCACGGCACGATGACATCGTCCAGTACGGCGTGGTGAGTATCCAGTAGGGAGTGGTGAGTATCTGATTCCCGTTTCCATTGGCACAACTGAGCCATGCCAAGGGCCGAGCCAGCCCAGCGTGGCTTGGGAGGCACCAGTATTGTTTTTTCTACTGCAGGAGCTGTAGCCGTTCTGCTGACGTTGGGACACGTAGCGGCACAATTCAGTTCCTTAAGAAGCTTTGAACATGTGGAACTAAAAGTCGGACGTTGTGCCGAACGACACATAGCGGCCGAACGACACATAGCAGCACAACCCAGAAACTTACAAAGTTATATCGGCTTGCCGAAGATGCGGGGAGCCCCTCGGTAAGTGCCTATCCTCCCACAGGTGGAATGTGATGGGTAAGGGGAGGGAACCGAGGTCTTTATGCTCGGCGCGTCCTGCTGAGGAGCCGGGTTGGAGGCACGGGCAAGGGGGGCATATTGGGAGGCGCTCCGAGGCATAGGAGGGAAAGAGACCACGGCCGCCACCGCCCCTCGGCTCCTTCAGGCGATCAGCTGCAGGGATGTGCATCATCCCCACCTTCCCTGCACCTCTGATTAGCATGATTGGCTACGTGCAGTGCAAAAGAAGTTCAACATACATACATGGTACCTCAGCTCACTGCCATACGTATGGGTCCTTCCGCCGTCAAAAGTCCACCGCCTCATGCACAACGTGGGCTGAGAAAGGGGGTCTCTTGACAGTTGCACTGCGGGCCCCCTCCGGGAGTTCTCCAGGGGATAAGGGGATAGGCATCGCCGCCCCGCCATCAATAGCGGCCATCAGAAGGGGAGCCAGAGGAGAAGAGTCAGATAATCTCCGTTCCGCCCTCACAGGGTGCCACACCCCGGGCCGCCCTGGGGATGGGGGGGAAGGCCCAATCCCGACTTAGACCATGAATGAAGTGGAAGGAATAAAGAAAGACTGGGGAACCACATGGCAGCCTCCCACTGCACGCCGCCGCCTGATGCGTACATGCCGCCCAGGCACCGCTGTCGTGGACCTGGGTTGTCCTGCGCTGCCCAAGGCTGGAAGGTCCCCATCTCCAGGACGCTGACTCAGTGTGGACCTCCATTTCCTTTCGAGCCCCTGCTGCCCCTGCAGGATCTCCTGCACTTCTTTGCATCCCATTGCTTCATCCAGCATCAATCCCCCCCCACCTCCCCCCAACATGGATTTTAATCTTTGCCGGGTACAGTAACTGGGAGTCCACCACGGTTCTACCAACCAGGTCATTGTGCAAGGGCAGGAGGAGGTTCCTCTTTTTGGCATCCACCAGAGTGAGATCTGGGGCGATGAAAACATGGTTACCCTCCCTTTTGCCACCCAAGCAGACTTTGGAGCCTCATAGGCGCCCTAGCGGGCCGCAAACAAAATCAGCAGGGGACGAGGTCTCGCATCATTTGCCTCCATTAGATGCCTCCTGCCTCTTTTTTCCACCCGGTGCACTTGTGCAATCCCCTCCGACTTGAGCGGCCAGGAGATTCTGGGCATCTTAAAGCTTCGGGCAGGTGCAGCTGGATGTAAGTGAGAGCACCTTGGTAAGCGTTGCCCTAAAACACCTCCGGGAGGCCGTAAGTTTTAAGTTGACACACCTGCCTCTTAGGTTCGAGCCTGTTGAGGTCCCACGCTCCTCCCACGGGGATCTCTGGTCTCACCTTGACCGGAAAGGCCAGCGACGATGAAACCTTGGCTTTTTTTCCAGGGGGACGCGTCTTCCATGGCAGACAAAGATACGGGCGGGGGGGGGGGGGGGGAGGAATCCCGCTAACCTAGGCACAAGGTTAGGCTCGAGCTGCTCGTTAAGGGCCCTAGGCCTAGAGGGTCTGTGAATGCCCTGGGAAGCTCCAAAATTTAACCTAAATATCTAAGGCTCCATCTACGTACCTGAAGCTAAGGAGATGGGAAATTATTAAACAGGTAAATGTGGTTTATCGTGTTCAAGGAGTCGTTTTCTGAAGTAGGGATAGGAGCGGCTCGCTCAGCGCTGCTCACTCGGCCATTACGTCACCGGAAGCATGCATTGGCTTTTTTTAAGGACAGAGACCCTAAAACACTCGTTGTTCATGAACGTTTGCTCGCATGTAATCATTCCAAAATATACAGCGTTCAACTTTAGTTTTTATTTCAGATGACAAACAACAAAAAAGATGGCATGTGCATGGACAAAGGAAACCCAATCTCACGGCGTCCCATTCTGTACCAGTGCCATGGATACACCCCCCAGGTATTGTATTGAATAACTGGCCAATTAACTCGTGGTGTTGCTGTGGTGTTAATGGCTATTACACTGAATTTGCACTGCAAATTATTCGGCGAGACTACATTTCCAGTGGTGTACAACCACAAATAACAATTAACCTTACACGTTCATAAATATGTGACGTTTCAGGCAATGGCCCTTCATAGCACATCAATTATGAAGAACACACTTCACACTCACCACACACAAAGTGCTTGCCACAAATGAACCACAATACCCTGCTCATCTTGTCAAGAAGCATACACCATCACGCAAACTCCAATCATCCTTGCAGCAGGGGCTTTTGGAGAGCCATCAAACAAAGATGGTCGCCACATCGCAAGCTTTTAGATGCGCTTCTGCAGCCGTCTGGAACGCTCTTTCGATATTAGGAGCCACTGGAGCTATTCACTTTTAAATTTAGATTTAAAACTAATTTGTTTAGAACTGCTTTTTGCATTTCGTTTTTTGTCTTTCCCCTGCACCTCCGATTATCATGGTTTGTAACGTATGGTGTGAAAGAAGTTCAACATACATACATGCGGTTGGCTACATACAAAATCGTACCCAGGGCCTTCTTTCTGTGTGGAACAAGTGTCACCGCTGCACCACCCTGGTACCCCGTCTGTGCGTATGTCTGCTTGTGTTTGTTTCATTGAGCAGCTGGCAATGAGAACCTCAGACAACCGGATTATGATCGGGCTGAACGTGGACTTGGTGAGCCCCGGAGCTGTGTGTCTGGGAGTGTCGACATCGGGAGTCGAGCCTGCGTTTGTGGACTGTCAGCTGACTGGTCAGGAGGCCAGCAGCCTGCTTCACTTTGAGGTGACGGACTCGAAAGTAACCACGTGGGTTTTTATGTAGCCAATATTTTGGTTCGCAATTGTTTGTTGGTTTCAGGCCATGTAGCAATGTGACCAGATTTGACTCGTTACTAACCCTCCTTCGTTCATCTGCCTCCCCACATAGAGACTTATATTTTAACTAGCTTTACTACCCGGCTTTGCCCGGGACTTGGATTCTTGTCTTGGATTAATACACGGCCTACGCGGAGGGTTCGGGTCAGGGGGATGCGTGACATCAGCAGGCACACTGCGTGACGCTGCCGCATGCGGGTGATGTCACGGATGTGACGTCACTGTCACAAAATCTATCCATTATTGTGCCCACCGCCCCCCCAAATGCAAAAGTCTATTTTTATACTTTTTGCATTGTGTACAGTCTGGAAGCTACCAACATGACAAATTTCAAGTTTGTTGCATGTTGGGAAGTATGCTAAACATTTAGAACAGGCACACGTATTCACAAATTCCCCTTTTATATAGACTAGCTTTACTACCTGGTTTCGCCCAGGACTTGGATTCACCACGCCCGGCCGCCTTTGTCTCCCCAGTGGCGATGTTCACACACCACGCTAGTTACTCGTTTGAGGCTGAGTCGAGGCCCAGGACCGGTTCAAATAATCGTCACTGGTGGTGGCCGTGAGCAGGAATGAAACTCGGGTCGCCGGGTTCGTAGCGCAGCGCGCTAACCACTACACTACCGCTCCCCCCCCACACACACGCGTGCGCGTCCATATGTACACATACACGCGCTTGCTGCAGACACACACAACTTTCAGGGTGTGTACGGCAATAAACGACTGAAGCAATAAAGCAATGCTGCACGAAGAACGCCTGAGACTTGCAACACATTTGTATTTCACTTTACCCGCGATCAGCAGGCACACTCCGTTACACTTCCGCACACGGGTCACATGACAGATGTGACGTCACAGCTCACTTGCCGTGCAAAATATGCATTATTGCGCCCCCCCCCCCCCCCCCCCAAGATACAAAAGTCTTTAATAATGTTTGCATGGTGTACAGTCTGGAAAGTACCCACATGGCAAGTTTCAAGTTTGTTGCATGTCGGGAAGTACGCTAAATATTTTGAACAGACATATAGATAAAGTGTGCAGGGACACAAACATGGAAGGAAAAGCTGTATTGCCTGATTTTCTATTCCCCAGAGCACCGATGATGATTATTTAGTTGCTGATGGACGGACGGCTTTAAGGTTGGGACAGCACGGTGGCGAGATGTTAACCACCTTGCCTAGTATACAGGAGGTCGTGGTTTCAATCCTGACCCTGACGCCTGTATATTTGTAGTTTGCATGTTTGACTGTGGTCTTTTGGATCTTTCTCTGGGTCCTCCGGTTTTTCGTTCTACATCTAGAAATATGTGTTTAGAGTATTTGGCTGCTAAACATATCCACGTGATAAGCCCCTTCATTGAGCTAACATTTGTGATAGCCAGGTCACTTCTAGAAAAGAGCTAAACAGCTCATTGGGTGAGTACAGATAGTTTGAAAGATCCAACGTTTGTTTACTGTGTGGCTGCAGAACGGAGAACTGAGGTTCCAGAAAGGAGAAAAGTGCCTGGAGGTGAAGGAACCTGCTAAGACAAGCTACAGCCTGGAGCTCGTGCTGGTGCCCTGTTCTGGGCAGAAGTGGGATTTGGCGTATTTCCACAAATCGTAGCCCCAATACAGGGAACACATTATACAGGTAGGAACAACAGGTTCCACACTGCCCACCAGGGATTATTTGTCTGTCGTGCATAACACGGCCCCGCCCCACCAGAGCCCTCCCATTGGCTCGGGGGCGCCGAATACAATTATTTAATTAATCGAGCTCGCGGGTTTTCGCCGACCAATGGGAGCGGTGGGTTGGGGTTGTTAGAGGGGGGGAGGGGGTTAGTGGTGGGGGGGGCCACCTCCGCGACTCGGGCCAATGAGGAGACGGGCGATGTTTCATTCACAAAATGGAACTGGGGGAGGGTGGTTCCATTCATAAAATGAAAGCCTTGAAAAGAAAAAAAGCGGATCTTTTTTCCTCGTGTTTCTTTCAACATTCACAGCCTTAAGGTGATTCAGTTTGTCCAAAAAAGCAAATGTAATTCCTTGTAAAAGATAAAACAAACTAATGCATTTCTAGGTTAACATGAAGCATATAAATCAACACCCCCCAATAAAAAAATACTTTACAGAGTATTATATGACAATGCATATTACAGGTAGGAACAACAGGTTCCACACTGCCGACCAGGGAATATTTGTCTGTCGTGCATATTTTTCTGTCGTGCATGAATGCGCTGTCCAACTACTTGCCCACTCCGAAGGAACGTGTTATCATGATGTCATCATCGTGCTGAAAGCTGTCGATCATAATCAGAATATTTTTTTATATACTGGAGGAATCCCATGAGTTATAAAGCTCTTTTTTAAATAGTCCAGTCGGGGCGGGTAAGAACGTTACAACAATAAACACTACAAAACACTGTAGGAGTGCAAAGTACAAGTAAGGTAAACAAATCACCAAAACACAAACAAATACAACTAAACCATCCCCATCCCATCAGACAAACCCCACTGAGGTATTAACTTATTTTTCAAAAGCGACCAGGCCACAAATGGATAGTTTAAGAAAGTGGTCCAACATTTGAACGTTTATAGGAGCAAAATAACCTAAATAGTCTAAACGCAAGTTTCTAAATGTGGAGGGAAAAACCGGAGGACCCGGAGAAAAAATCCACGTGACCACGAGAAGATAACTCCAACTATGCAAACTCCAAATATACAGGCGTCAAGGATCGGGATTGAACCCCCAACCTCCTTGTGTAATCAATTCCAAAGCTTCGAAAAGGCAATAAAACAACAGCAAAAACAGTCATAGACCACACCAAGACAACCTATAATCGCTTAATAAAAATTACAATTGAACTCTCAATACATTGTTAAGGATTCAATTTACAAATCACATGGGCAAATGTGGCTGTATCCAACACTAATCTGCATCGGAATATTTTTGGAAGGAAGTATATGATGTTAAGTTAAGAAACAAGGTTGTTCTAAAACGTTGGTGCAGCAATGCCAAAGGCTTTGTCACTAGCACCTTCTTGCTACCAACATATTCTACGGTGTGCCAGATGCTGGCACAGCAGAGACCGGTGACTTGTGAGGCCGACAGAAAGGTCATTAGCATATTCCACTGATTATTTCAATAGTATTAGAGAGGCTTCCCAAAACATTTAGGAGTAAAGGGAATTTCTGATATTTGAAATTCATGAACCCACAACCCTGAATAGAGCAATTTACGGAGAATATTTTTTAAGTGTCTTTCAAGCCCTTGCTGTCCAATTTGAGAAATGATGTGTCGTTTAAATAAATGTGTTCCAAGATGAGGTTACGCTATTTTTGAACCCGACAAAGGGATGAGGTTCGTCCAGGACTCAAAAATAAAACTATACAACCAGAAATCTGGGGCGAGGCTACCCACCGACGTGTCACTGGGGCTGTGACGCCCACCGTTGAAGCGACGCGTCACTGGTTCCGAGGTCTGCACGGTGAGCCAGCAGGAGATGTAGTGAAGGCCACACGCGCATGTTGACACAAAGTAGACCATATTGGTGGAGGTTTGTGTCATCCTCTGGTACGTCGCTTAGAATTGTGTTTCGATTGATTTTAAGATACATTTAATGTAAATAGTCATTTAAGAAATGCTGTATAAGCATATCTGTTCTATATTGTCATCTTATCACGCTGTTTATTAAATTTGAAGGGCTCGCTTGAAGGTGGTTGAACTTGAGGTGCTTCTTCTGGGGGTTGTCCGCTCTTCAGGACGGGGTACGTGTTGTGAAGAGAGCGGTTACCGTACGTTTCTAGTTGGGCTCGTGTAACAAAATCACCACCATCGACAACAACAGCCACCATTCGCAATGAATTTGCGGTGAAGTAATGCTAGTGCCTATGCCAGGCCAGGTGCACTTTGAGGCCATGTGAAGTGTCAAAGGCTTGCTGACAGGAGGTCACGGGATAGACCCAGGTGCCATGGATCCACTGACTGAGATGAAAGGCAGATGCACCAACTGTGTCTCCTACTGTGCCAACCTGCTACATTTTCGCCGCCCGGCACTCCCCTCATTGTTTTGAGTATTGGTTATCTGTCCTCTGTTGTTGGCGGGCGATTGCCTCCAACTTCCCAGTAGCATCCTTCACGAGCCTCCCCCACAGAGGCCGATCTTGACATCGCTGGTACCAGTCTTTGGTAAGGCCACTCAGCTCCACTTCCTCCTATGCCACATCAGTCCATCTCTTTTCCAGCCCGTGTCGTGTCAATTTAGCCCCCTGTGTCAGGCCACACAAGCTGCTTGGGCATGTAATGGCTGGGCATTCTGACTACATGACCCAGCCAATGTAGCCTTGCCTGCCGAAGGAGCTCACTGATGGGAATGTGTCCAGATCTTTCAAGGATTAATGTGCTCCTCAAACAATACAGCCTGTTAAACCCACAATGGATCATCGGCTGTTCAGCCTAAATGTATCTAATTTGTGCAGGAGTTTCATTAGAAGGGTCCATGTTTCAAAAGCATAGAGAAGTGATGGCATCACCGTGGCTGAGAAGACCCAAAGCTTCGTGTGGAGCGACAGATCAGGTAGCTTCCACACAGTATTACGCAGCTGATGAAAATATAATGCCACCCGACTGATCCGGAGTGAGCCCTCTGCTGTAAAATTAGAGCGAGTCATTCACACTGTCCAGGTATGGAAAACTCTCCACTCTCTCCACAACTGCTCCATCACAAAAGGGGAGTTGTGGGGATGGAGTGGTTTAAGGCACAACATATCAAGGCAGGTGCTTTGTTTTGGTGGGGCTGATAGTAAGACCCCACCTCTCCGTGTCACACTCCAGGTTAAGCAGCAGCGCCTCCACCTCCTCTGAGTGAGCAGCAATTACCAGATCATCAGCAAACATAACATGGTTGACCAATAGGGAGCTATCCCTCGACTGCACTCGGGCATCGATCAGCCTCCCATTATATCTGTACAAAATGGAAATTCCCCCGGTACAGCTATTGAAGGCTTCACGAACTACGTGGTCAAAATCGATGTTAAATAATGTGGGAGCCAGAAGACATCTCTGTCGCACCCCAAGGTGTACAGGGAAAGGCTCTGACTCCCGGCCACGTAGTTTTACCCGGGCCCGCTCACCATCATGAAGGTCCTTAATGATCGTGAGCAGAGGGTCAGGGACTCCGAAAGAATGAAGAACAACCCATAGCCCAGGCCTACTGATGGTATCATAGGCCTTGATCAGGTCAACAAAGCAGAGATGTTGGTCTTGTTGGAATTCCCTACACCTCTGCTGTAGCAGACGGACAGAAAATATGGCATCTGTGCAGGACCACCCTTTTCTGAAACCACAATGGGGCTCCGCAAGCCTCTCCTCAGCATGCCTGGCAAGGCGATGTTGAATAATCCTTGCCAGGACCTTTCCCAGCACACGGAGGAGGGAAATGCCACTGTAGTTGTTACAATCTATGTGATCCCCTTAAAGAGGGGGACCACCCTTAAATAGGGGGTCCACCAAGACATCCTTCCAATCCTGCAGAACCTGTCCTGTGATCGAGCCATTTGTGATAATGTCATATCGGGCAGTCTGCACACAGATGCCACCCTCCCTCAACGTTTTGCTTGGGAGATTATCTCTAATGTTCCTGGTGTCAGAGTACAGATGTATCCCCACACTTCCTCCACAGATGGCACATCAGCCAACCACTCACAAGGGTTGGCGACTTCTTCCAATATTTCAGGCACGACAGCCCCAGCAGGGTCGTCCCTACCTTGTTCTGATGTTATCTGGGCTGAGGGCATTCCCTTCCGCCGAATACCTCATAAATACTCTTTGGTTCTTCTTACAAAAAAATCAGCAGACTACCTGCTGGATCTTCTCACTTTTTCGAAGAACAAATGTGACCTAAGTTCTTCGCTCATTTACCAGCTTCACATTCCTTATTGCCGTACAAATACTGGAGGAAGGGCCTTTGCTATTTATGCCGCCAGGGTCTGGAATGCTATCGCCAATAAACTGCAACTTGGATCGCTCACTACCTGTGAGATCTTCACTCAAAACTGCTCTAGAGTAGCTGTACACCCCTAGCTGCCACTGCTATTCAGAGTGACCTGAAATCAAATGTATCATTCCGGATGACCGCTGCAAAGTATATTCTTGAGTTTTGATTATAGTGTGCTGATCTTTAAAGGTGCATTGAAAATGTTTGATACTCCTACTGATACTCCTGCTGTTATGGAGTGACTTATGCTGCCAGCTATGGCTGCAGAGTTTGGTCGTCCATGTTGTCTAGCGTTTATTGTTAAATTTGAATCATAGTTCCTATGATCACTATTACATTGCTTTTATAACTTTATTTTGATTTCGAACACGTTTGTTTTAGCCATGTTTGTTTGTTGAAGTACAGAGTTAGCCTGATAATCTTGATTTGAAGCTTTCGTGACTGCAGGAATCCATACTCTTTGGTTCTTTCGGTAAAGTCATCAGGTGATGGATGCTTGTGTTGCGCCCGAAACGTCGTGATTTATTTTATTTTATACCTACGTGACTTTACCGAAAGAACCAAAGAGTTAGCCTGATAACTTTGATCTAAATTGTCTTATGGTTGCTATTGTTTAACTTGCATTCTACTAGGATTTTTGCACACAGCGTTGATATACGGTGTTTTCTGGAAGATTTTTCTGTTTTTCCTGGATTTTTCTGTTTGCGCGTCGTCACTTTAAGATGTTTTCTTGTTCCTGTTTTTGTTTGTTGCGGTTGCACCCGAGTCAAGAGCCGCATGGCTCACAGGGCTATACCTAATAAATAAAACTGAA